TTCTTTGAGAAAAGAGTTCGAAGAGTTGGCCGAAAAAAAGGGGACTCCATCCTTAAAAAGTGGCACCAAATGAGACAAAACATTATTAGTCCATCTTTTCTTTTCCCTTTTCTCTACTTTTACCCTTTTTAAGGTCTCGAATAGGCTTCTCCGATCGCATAAAAGAGTAGCATAAGAATCATTCGCTTTGGAGCTTTTCTTGTGAAAGAATTTCTGCTATTGAATGGGAACCTTTAACTTTTTTTGTCTGAAATTGTAACCAATCGAAATCTTGTCGAAATATTGCCACTTTTCAATCCTTTCTTTACTTTAACTGCCTTACTTTACTTATTTCTTTCCTAATTTTAACTTTAAACGATTTGGGTCGATTTGGGCCATGCCAAACGAGCTGTAAATACTTTAATAGTACCCACCCCCCTAATGACGGTGCGGAGTGTTGTGTAGTCTAGCTTTGGACGCGTTTTTCTCGACACTGGTTTATGCTACAATGCGCGCTTTCATATCAAAAAATAGCCCGGAATTTCAGCTACTAATTTTCGATTCTATTAGGTTATAAACGATCGTTTTAGAGCCATTTGTGCACCAAGAAGTGCATCAAAAACTTGTTTATTTCGTAGAACGCAAAAAAAAAAAACCATTAATCCGTATATCCGTATCCGTAAATCGTAGCGCATAGCTGCTCGAATAAGAAATTTTTCGTCCTCCATTTTTTTCAGGAGAATAGGGGCTCAGAAATTTGAAAGGGGTGTTACCGTAAATACTGTGAATATACGAAAATACTTTAATAGTACCCCATCCCCCTAATGACGGTGCGGAGCGTTGCGTAGTCTAGCTTTGGACGAGTTTTTCTCGACACTGGTTTATGCTACAATGCGCGCGTAAGTATCAAAAAATAGCCTTGAATTTCAGCTATTTTTTGATACCAAAGACGCATTTTTTGTAAGTACGGGTGCTTTGAAAAAAATGAAATACGAAAAAACGCGACTGCGACTACGCAACTGTACGAGGGGGTACTATTACAGTACTTATGGTATGTAGATTAACTAGATAGATTCCCATGATTCTAGCCGGATCGTTTTTATTGTTTCTAGGCTTATTTTGACCTTTTAAAACACTTCAACCTATATTTTTGATTCTTAATGAAAATGTTAGAGCAATTTTCATCAAGAATCGACCGTAAAGTGCCGTCTTTTAAAGGTTTCCTTTCAAATCGTTTCAATCTAACGTTTTTCCTCTTTTTCTCAGCAGTAACCCTTTAATTTTAACTATTTTAACTATCATTGGATACAGAATAAAATTGCGCGTCGAATGATACCAAAATCAACTCAAAATCAAATATCCATGCAAAGTTGTTGGCTAAAAACCTTCCGAAAACTTTCGGAGATGATTCCTGTTGCTAGTTATAGAATTTTTATTCGTTTATTGTATTGTTTATTGTAATGTTTATTGTAATCTTTATTCTTTATTCTTTATTAAAAGCTTTTCAAGAGCCTTTCAAGCTGTTCAAGCTGTTCAAAAGTTTTTTTAAAACTAAAAACTTTACAGCATCGTCGCTTTGTCATTGATTTAGTCGAAACTTTCAAAATCCTCCGTTGTAAACAGATTAGCCCTTTGTTTATAGACTTTTTCAAATTTAAACCGCGGTCAAGGCCCAGAAGTGGCTCATTCCTTTTGCAAATTCCCTTTGCTTCCAATGCCTCTTTATCAATGCCTCTTTATCAAATTCATTTCCCGTTAGAGCCGCTAGATTATGGAACTTGCTCCCAAACGACATACGAGAAATTCAGTCGCTTTTCATATTCAAGAAACGTATCGATGCTTTAGATCTAGTGGCTCTTTGCCGTAAGTAATTGGCTCATTGATTTCAGTATGTATTGTATGATTAAGTATCACTGTGCATTTCTCTATGATTTCTTTCACTTTATCGTTTGAATAAAGTATTATTATTATTTATATTATTTAAACCCGAATCATTCACTTTTTGCCCACTTTCAGTGTGAATCTTTTCAATTAAAAGGATTGAATTTCAGTGAACATCTCGAAGTGAGATTGAAAGATTCAATTTTAGATATTTTTAAATAAACGAAAGAAAACTGACGCTTGTTCAATTCTTAAATTCTCCTTAGCTTTGCTCTTTATGCCTTGAGTTTTTTGCGCTCTCTTTCTTGACCATTACACATCATGAAAAATTCAAATGTCGGCCACGGGTCGACTACAGACAATGCATTGTTTTTGAAGGGATTTTTTTGGCACCGAGAAGCCAGTTTTTGCCAAAAAATGAACACTAAATCCATCAAAGCATTACTTTTTTGAAAATTCTCAATTTCCTGCTAGTAGTAGAAGCTTGATTTGTGTTGTTATGACTTATTGAATGAAGGAAATAAGAAGATAAGATTGTTCGCTAATCAGTAGGATTGTTCCAGAATTTTTGTCGGGCTGAGGTTAGGCAAGGCCAGGAGGCAAGTCCTGACCTAGCTTCTGGACTTGGGCCAGAAGTCAAGTCCTGAATTGGCTTCTGAACTTGGGCCAGAAGTCAAATCCTGACCTGGCTTCTGGACTTGGGCCAGAAGTCAAGTCCTGAATTGGCTTCTGGACTTGCCTAGCCTAGTCTTGCTAGTTTGCTAGTCTTGGGCTAGTCTTGCTTGTCTTGCTAGTTTGCTAGTCTGCTAGTCTGCTAGTCTTACTAGTCTTGCTAGTCTGCTAGTCTTACTAGTCTTGCTAGTCTGCTAGTTTGCTAGTCTGCTAGTCTTACTAGTTTGCTAGTCTTGCTAGTTTGCTAGTTTATTAGTCTTCCTAGCTTGCTAGTCTGCTAGTCTTCGTAGTCTTGCCAGTTTGCTAGTTTGCTAGTCTGCTAGTCTGCTAGTCTTGCTAGTCTGCTAGTCTGCTAGTCTGCTAGTCTGCTAGTCTGCTAGTCTTGCTAGTCTGCTAGTCTTGCTAGTCTGCTAGCCTAGTTTCTTGAGCTTGTCAGAAGTCAAACTTTGAGCTTAACAGATGAACTTTGAGAGCACTAGCCTGGCCGGGCTAGAGTTCTCAAAAGTCTGGATTGGATCCTGACAATCCATCTTCTAGATTCACATCTAGAAATAAATGAAAACTTTTACCTCTCCAATTCACAACGCAAGTCTTGCATCCCAGCTTTAAATTTCTTTCAAAGCGACTAACAACCTATAAGTTCTCACAAGACATTCTATTCTTGCACTGCTTCTGAAAATTAAACCAATTAGTTGTTTCAAAATGATTCAAAGTGTTTCAAAGTGTTTCAAAGTGATTCATCAAAGTGCCCACTAACTGGACAAGTTCCTTGTTGAAAGAGAGGAAAGAGAGGAACGAGAACAGAAATGACTAATTATCAGCGTTCACTCTTTTCTCTCTTGTTCTAAATGACCATTACTACACGTTTCCTTTTGATGATAGAATGATTGATACGAGTTGAATCTTTTCATAAAATTGGAATGCAAAAGGCTAGCAATGAGCAAAAATAAGGCTAGGAAAGGCTAGCAAAGGAGGCTAGCAAAGGCTGCAAGTATAAGTGTTTCACGCGTCCTAATAGCAAGGCAATAATTAAGGAGCTTAGAAGTTCTAATTCAAATTGAATCTGGTATCTAGTCAGGCTGCTCCAAGACCAATTTTCTGGGTCAAACCTGGCTAAATGGCTTGGTCTTAGCTCAAAAATAACGGTACAGACTTTCTAGACTTTCTAGAAAGCCTAGAGACACTAGAGACGGAATTACAGACTTTCTAGACTTTCTAGAGAGGCTAGAGACACTAGAGGCGGAAGTACAGACTTTCTAGACTTTCTAGAGAGTCTAGAGACACTAGAGGCGGAAGTACAGACTTTATAGACTTTCTAGACCTTCTAGACTTTCTAGAGTGCCTAGAGACATCTCCAGTTGTTGACTGTTTCATGCTCTTTCTCCCACTCCTCCTCCTCAAACTTCTACTTACCCCGTCAAAGTTAGTGCTTAAGAATGAAAAGAAATGAAGAAGGTGCCCGGGTTAGTTATCCCTATGCAAAAGAAGAGAGGAGGGCAATAGGTGCTTCCCCTTTCACTTCATTCAGAGAGGGGTAGGCTGTGATTCAGTGATGGATGACGGGCCGGGAAAGAGAGAAGAATTGAGAGATTTGGTAGCCAACAAGAGGACAAAAAGACTAGGAGATGGGGGCAAGGTGCGCGGGTGAGATTGGTGAAGAATGAAGGAGGAGAGAGCCTCCAAATGAGTTCTCCCTCAATATTTTCACCTAAAGACTTTTGGGCTTGACAGGGAGTTCTTCGAAAAAAGCTCCTGGATGAAATTCTTGAATTCTCAGCGATTCTCAGTGATTCTCAGCGATTCTCAGCGATTCTCAGCGATCTAATCATGTCCATGCAACTGCTTTGATTTGGATTTTTGATTTGAATCACATCCAAGAAGCCATTTTGATTCTTAAAGCTACAATAATCTGCACAAAGCTAGAAGCTAGCTAGAACTACGTCAAATTTGCTTTGGTGCAGACTATTTACCGATTTCAATCAACAAAATCGATCACTACATCAATTATTTGAATCTTTTGAGTCCAGCTGGATAGTCCAACGTTCAACTCACTTTTGTCCAAGCTCTTTAGCTTGACCAAACCTGTACCAGGCTCACTTCAGGCTCACTCGGCTTTGTGGCTTCACTCAAGCCTCAATCCTGACCTCCAAAAAGCCATTTCAACCCCAGGATTCTGCTACAAGTTTTCCAGATCTATCTCCAGCAATTCTACAGTTATTTTCCACTTGTTGATCCAATTTCCTAATCCAGAATTGGATCTAGAATTGGATCCAGAACTCGATCCAGAATTGGATTCATTGGACCTAAGTCTGACTCTTCCTTGAGTCCCAGACTTGCCTGAATTCATAACTAGTTTACCTGGTTTTCCTGGTTCTACTTTTTCAACTGGATTCGAACACCTGGTTCTGCAAGTTATCCATTCAAGTTATCCAAGCTATCCTTGTTGACCCTCTTTTCTAATCCATTCCATGTCTCGAAATGTGTCCATTTGTGAGGAAGTCACATATTTTGACACCACACGTAAGCTTTTGAAGAAGTAAACTAGTAAACTAAACTAGTAAGCTAGTAAACTAGTAAGCTAGTAAGCTAGTAAGCTAGTAGACTAGTAAACTAGAAAACTAGTAGACTAGTAAACTAGTAAACTAGTAAGCTAGTAAGCTAGTAGACTAGTAGACTAGTAGACTAGTAAACTAGAAAACTAGTAAGCTAGCAAACTAGCAAACTAGTAGACTAGCAAACTAGCAAACGAGCAAACTAGTAAACTAGTAAACTAGTAAACTAGCAAACTAGCAAACTAGCAAACTAGCAAACTAGTAAGCTAGCAAACTAGCAAACTAGTAAACTAGTAAACTAGTAAACATTGTTGTACTTTTTCAAAACGTTTCTTTCCGTTATTTCCATTATTCATCTCAATAGGTTTAGTCTTTAGTATGCTCAGGAATGCTTAGAAATTGTAATTGTTGTTTCGTGCAAAAGGATGAAAGCATGAAGAATCAATAAACATCAATAAAATTTAGACGAAGCTGGTTCGGCGGAGAGTCAAGCCACCGAAAACGATCGATTGATGGAGTCGGATGATGAGGGAAGTATTCGGATTGAAGTACCACAAAGGCCATCACATGGAGGGAGTAGTGGAAGTGGGCCGAGAATGGGCAGGAGGTGAGGAGGTTTTCGAAAGTTTAAACGCTGTTTAAACATTGTTTAAACATTGTTTAAAAGGTTAAACATTGTTTAAACATTGTTTAAAAGTTTAAACGTTCTATTTCTTATATTCTTGTAGTCATTTGGCCAATTGGCCGATCTAAATACTTAAACCTTAAAAAGTTACTCAAACATTAGGCCAGTAATAATTCTTAGATCAATTCAAGAATTATTACGCTGTCCAGAAAGTCTTTTTGTTCATTTCGTTCATTTCGTTCAAAAAAATCATCAATTAACCTACCGTTAATACTGTAATAGTACCCCACCGCCCTCGTACAGTCGCGTAGTCGCAGTCGTAGTCGCAGTCGCGTAGTTGCAGTCGTGTTTTTTAGTATTTCATTTTTTTCAAAGCGCCCGTACTTTCAAAAAATGCGTATTTGGTATCAAAAAATAGCCCTGAATTTCAGGGCTATTTTTTGATACTTACGCGCGCATTGTAGCATAAACCAGTGTCGAGAAAAACTCGTCCAAAGCTAGACTATGCAACACTCTGCACTGTCATTATGCGGGTGGGGTACTATTACAGTATTTACGGCTCGTTTGGCATGGCCGAAACCGGCCCAAATCATTTAAAGTTAAAATTAAAATACTTTAATAGTACCCTATCCCCATAATGACGGTGCAGAGTGTTGTGTAGTCTAGCTTTGAACGAGTTTTTCTCGAGACTGGTTTCTGCTACAATGCGCGCTTAAGGAGCAAAAAATAGCCCTGAATTTCAGCTATTTTTTCATACCTAAGCGAACATTGTAGCATAAACCAGTGTCGAGAAAAACTCGTTCAAGGCTAGACTACGCAACACTCTGCACCGTCATTATGGGGATAGGGTACTATTAAAGTATTTTAATTTTAACTTTAAATGATTTGGGCCGGTTTGGGTCATGCCAAACGAGCCGTAAATACTGTAATAGTACCCCAGCCCCATAATGACGGTGCGGAGTGTTGTGTAGCCTAGCATTATGGGGGTGGGGTACTATTAAAGTATTTACGGTATAGTTTTCGATATAGAGAAATCAATTTAACTAAAAACTAAAGAAAAGATTACGGTAGCTTTTCAACTTATCCAGCTTTTAAAAACTAAAGAATTCCTTTTACTGGAAAGAAGCTGCTCTTGAATCTTGATTGATTCTTGAATCAATTCTCAAGGTTCATGCTCTGGACTAACCCACATCTGCGGGTTAGTCCAGAGTTACTCTTCTCCAGAGTTACTCTTACCAGTTACTTCTCTAAAATGCATCAGTTACAATAACTACAGTACTTATTTGCTTTTTACAAATCTATAGTTTTTCAGATTCACTCTGAATCCCCTAATCTTCGCTAAAGAAGAGAAAGAAGCCCGTCGACAATCACTCGCCCAACTCAAGCTCAGCTATTACCCGAAAAATCAGAATCGTAAGTCAAATTGATCAGCGTAAAATACGGATTACAGTACTTAGTACAATACGGATTACGGTAGCTAGTACAGTACGGATTACGGTAGCTAGTACAGTACGGATTACAGTAGCTAGTACAGTACAGATTACGGTAGCTAGTACAGTACGGATTACGGTAGCTAGTACAGTACGCATTACGGTAGCTAGTACAGTACGGATTACGGTAGCTAGTACAGTACGCATTACGGTAGCTAGTACAGTACGGATTACGGTAGCTAGTACAGTACGGATTACAGTAGCTAGTACAGTACGCATTACAGTAGCTAGTACAGTACGCATTACGGTAGCTAGTACAGTACGGATTACGGTAGCTAGTACAGTACGCATTACGGTAGCTAGTACAGTACGGATTACGGTAGCTAGTACAGTACAGATTACGGTAGCTTGGGCATTTTAGAAAATTTTTCTCTGTCAACGCGTACAAGACAATTTCTTTGTTATTTTTCAGCTGAAGCCTACGATGCTGGGATGGGTTTTTGTGGCTGGTTGCTGATGTTTCTCTCGTGGATTCTAATGCTCTCCACGTTTCCTATTTCGGTTATATTTTGCATAAAAGTGAGTTGATCAAAAAGGTTTACAAGAAAAATCAAATATTTTTCGTAAAACGGTAGTTCAAGTACAATTTTCAGGTAGTTCAAGAATACGAAAGAGCCGTTATTTTCCGGTTGGGTCGTTTGATCGGTGGTGGAGCAAGGGGGCCAGGTTAGTGATCAAAAATAAGATAAAAAGATGAAAAGAAGATGAAAATAAGATGAAAAATGAAAAATTTCAATTTAATTTCCCATTTTCCTGTCATATTTCTTTACTTTTCAGGCATTTTCTTCGTTCTTCCATGCATTGAAGCGTATACGAAAGTCGATTTGAGAACGGTTTCGTTCAATGTGCCACCACAAGAGGTAAATGGGACCACAAGATACTTTCAGTCGGATACTTTGAGTCGTATACTTTGAGTCGTATACTTTGAGTTCAAACTTTGAGTTCAAGTACGGTGATTTTTGCGTTTTAAAAAACGCATTACTCGCGAGGAACACACTCTACTCCAAATGATACATGCAATAATGTTTCAACAAGTGAATAACCAGCATTCCTCTTTTCTATTTGATGCCAATGAAATACGGTAATTGAAAATTGATCAATGTTTTCTCTAAACATTTGACTCTTGTGTCTCGTCGACAGTTCCCGAAATGGTGGGAATTGATCGAGAATGCCTCGATATTCTCGCTTGAATTGGTGGATCTTCTGTGTACGGTGGAGGTTGAATCGGGTTGAATTGAATTGAATTGAGCCTCCGTTGAATTGAAAACACTCTACTGTTGAATGTTTTGGAATTTGTAAAGTTAGAAAATGTTATTTTTTATTGTCAAGTAAGCTTACTATTGTCAAGTATGAAAAGAAACGAAAAGATTTTCTGGACAGAGCAGCTAAACTTTCGAGAGCCTGACCACAGTGAAGGGCAAGATTAAAATCAGACCTAAAGGGCAATTACGATTAGAAAATCCTTTGGAAACAACAAGAAAACAAGAAAACAAGGAAACAAGAAAGCAAGAAAACAAAAGAAAAGAAAACAACAAAACAACAGAAACCAAAACTTCAACAAAAACTTGGTAACATTTAGATCTTGACGAAAGATTCGGTGACCGTCTCGGTGGATGCTGTCGTTTACTATCGAATTTCAAATGCAACCGTATCGGTGAGTCAATTCAAAAATTCAAAAATAATACTCCGAATAGTTCAAGCCCTGTCTTGTTTATAAACTAGACTTGAATCTTTACGGTTATCGGGGGAGGAGCGTCGAGCGATTCTCGAGGGGGAGAGGCGAGTTTTTGACCATTTTGCAGTCCGATTTTAGATAGGTTTTTGTTAAAAATCTTTTATGAAACAAATAGTTTCTGAAAGTTGACGTTCTAAGCTATCTAAATCTTATTAAAACTTCATAATCTGACAAGTTTAAGATGCTTAAAAATGAGCTGCAAGTTGGTCAAGAACTTGGGCACCGGCGATCATCACTACCCCCCGCCGTTAACCGTAAAGCACCCTAGACTCTACCACTTTGCTCAAACTGAAGTATTGTCCAGTACTGTAGATACCAGAAGTATCTACAGTACTGGACAATGAAGTTATCATATTTGAAAAACGATCGTCACTTTCGCGCGTCTGTAACTCCCATGTCTTTGAGTTTAAACTATTAGTGTGATACATTTTCTGAAAGCTCTTTTCAAGGGCTACACAATGGTAATATTAATATTTAGAAGTACGGTAAAGACAAGAGAGTTACAGACGCGCGAAAGTGACGATCTTTTTTCAAATATCATATTTCATTGTCCAGTCGTGCATTTTGTACCAAAATACCAGAAGTATCTAGGTTTTTCAGAGATAAATTCAAGAATTTCCATTTAAGACTAGCACTGAACGATTTTTCCTTTCGAAATGTAGAAAGAGAAAACAAACAGCCTCTTTCGAAAGTGGCAACGAGAAAAGCGGCTGTGTTTTTGGCGGGTCAGCTGAAGAGAGAAAGGGGGAAAAGGACAGATTGAGCGCTCTCTCTGCGTTCTTTTCTTTCCCCCATAAACATTCCCTTTCTGGCGCAGTGTGTGCACAGAAAGGGCTCCAAAATCTTTCTCTCATTGGTTATAACCCAGTACAACAAGGTACGCTTGGGATTCCGACCTGGATGAATAATCCGGTGTTGGTAACCGATTATTTTTGGAATAGTCCTCCTGGGGTATCCGGGAGGACGCTAAAGAGCAGAAATTAAATAGAATTCAGTATTTTTGAGTTTGATTTGCTCAATTGCCTTAGTTTTTTTAGTAATTTGAAGATCTTTATATAAGAATTATTAAGTTGAGGAAAAAGTAATGTCGGTTTTTGTCACAAAATTGTTTATTGCTAAAAGAATAAACAAACGCACATCAATCAATGAGATATTCTTCATTCTTATTGATTACTTGTTCTCATCTTCGTCCCTTCGCAATTCCCTGATCCCATCCTCAAAAAAATAAGGAGTTTTCGAGCCAAAATAAGTGTCGAAGTTTCTTTCCATGAATATCGGGTTTTGAAGTTGATTGTGGGGGTTGACCTAGAGAAATTTTGATGTTTCAACACCCAATTTCTTTAAAGCCTCCTTAACTCTCATCAACCGTTTTGAATAAAGATCAGCGGTGACAGTTTCTCCCGGATTCAACAACTCATAATACACCAAACCTTTTGTATTCCACCAACAGCGAAGCATTAGTTTCTTTCCATGAATATCGGGTTTTGAAGTTGATTCTGGCGGTTGCCCTAGAGAAAGCCACTGATTTTTGCGCTTCACATTCCCATATTTCGCTTCACATTCCCAAAAAATGTGGAGTTTTCGAGCCAAAATAAGCGTCGACTGCTTTTTTGATCTGTGCATGATTCTCGAACTTTTCTCCCATAAGAAAACTCTTCAACGACCGAAACAAAAAATAATCTGATGGGGCCAGGTCCGGGCTATAAGGGGCACAGAAGTTTCCAACCAAACTCATCGATTTCCCTTATTTAAAATCATACCACAAAGCGGCCACGAAGTCGAAACTTTTCGTCTTGCATTTTGTAATTTTATGGTCTTTTAAGGTCTAAGTTTTAAGGTTTGCTTTTTTCTTGAAGAGTGTTGAAGCTATTTTAAGTTCATTAGCACGAAAATCAGCATCAAAATGACATTTTTCATCTACCAAAGCTTGCTGGGATTTGTTTTTTTGATCGTTGTGCTGTAGGGATTACTGAAGAGGCTCTAATTTCTGATTTATATTAGGTTGAGGAAAAAGTAATGTCGGTTTTTGTCACAAAATTGTTTATTGCTAAAAGAATAAACAAACGCACATCAATCAATGAGATATTCTTCATTCTTATTGATTACTTGTTCTCATCTTCGTCCCTTCGCAATTCCCTGATCCCATCCTCAAAAAAATAAGGAGTTTTCGAGCCAAAATAAGTGTCCACTGCTTTTTTTGATCTGTGCATGATTCTCGAACTTTTCTCCCATAAGAAAACTCTTCAACGACCGAAACAAAAAATAATCTGATGGGGCCAGGTCCGGGCTATAAGGGGCACAGAAGTTTCCAACCAAACTCATCGATTTCCCTTATTTAAAATCATACCACAAAGCGGCTCGAAGTCGAAACTTTTCGTCTTGCATTATGTACCTGAAAATATTGTTAAATTTGTAAAAATTTCTAAAAGTCAAATATAATATGAAAGTATAGAGTGTCTAGCTGATAACTATTTGAAAAAAAATCGCAAAAGAAAATAAGCAAAGAACGGGAAAATTGCCAACAACGGGATTTCAAAACCGACATTACTTTTTCCTCAACCTAATATAAGTTACAAGAGCCAGTTACAAGAGTTACAAGAGTTACAAGTACTTTCCTGTTATAACCACTAGACATGATTATCGGGTTGGATCAAATCGGATTAGGACCGATCCAATCCGATCCGATCCATTCGAATGATCGGGCTAGCCCGATTCGATCCATTCGAACGATCGGGCTAGCCCAATCCGATCCATTCGAACGATCGGGCTATCCCGATTCGATCCGTCCAACCGACCGGGCTAGCCCAATCCGATCCGTCCAACCGACCGGGCTAGCCCAATCCGATCCGTCCAACCGACCAGGCTAGCCCAATCCGATCCGTCCAACCGACCGGGCTAGCCCAATCCGATCCGTCCAACCGACCAGGCTAGCCCAATCCGATCCGTCCAACCGACCGGGCTAGCCCAATCCGATCCGTCCAACCGACCGGGCTAGCCCAATCCGATCCGTCCAACTGACCGGGCTAGCCCGATCCGATCCATTCGAACGATCGGGCTAGCCCGATCTGATCCGATAGATCCAACCGATCTGACTAGGCCGATCCGATCCGTCCAACCGTCTAATACTATTAATTAGAAATTGGATCAAATCGGTCATTTAGCTTAAAATCAAGAAAAATTATGAAAATCTTATGAAAAATTGTTTCTAAAATGAAAATTTTCACTAAAAACTTTAAAAACTATCTTATCATAAATGAAATAACATTAAAATAATCATTTTTTAGCATTATTTTGCAGCTAAAGAACGTTTGAATTGTCGAAAAACGGGCAAATGAGAGATGAACTTTTAAAGCTAAAACCATTCAACTTTAAATTGCAAAACCCGTAAATTTTCAATAAAGAATTACAAAAACTTAAGAAATTAATGCAAAAATTGCTGAAATTGCTGAAATTTCTGATTTCTAGGTAGCAAACGTGGAAAATGCGCATCATTCGACTCGCCTACTTGCTCAAACAACTCTGAGAAATATGTTGGGAACAAAAGATTTAGCTGAGATTTTATCGGATCGTGATGCGTTGGCGATTAGTATGCAGGTTGGATAAATAAATACCTTAAATCCTTTAATAGAACGCCTCGTACAGTCGCGTAGTTTAGCTTCTTTAGAAAATCATTCTTGCTCAGCACCTAGATTTTTCCCAACTACACTTTTGGTACCAAAAACTACTAAATTTCAAGAGCTATCATTTGACATTCAAGTGCAAATTGTAGCGTAAAGCAGTGCGGAGAACGGGATTTTCTGTACGTTACTGTACGTTACTGTACGCCCGTCATTATGCGGTGGCGTTCTATTAAAGTATTTAGGCTGTCCAGAAAGTCCAGAAATGATACCAATGATACGGTTTAGGCATTTTCGCTAAGGAAACCTATCTCGGTGTCAATAAATAAAAGATAGAGCACAAAAAGTTAAGTATATAGCCAAATTTTCAGAAAAATTCATTCAACCAATTTCTTTGTAGAGGTTTTTATAATTATTGCGAAAAATCGCAAATGATGATCCGGTTTAGACACTTTAATTAACGAAAACTAAACTTTTAAACGGAAGTATGAAAAGAAACGAAAAGACTTTCTGGACAGTCTAGCAGATAATTGTAAGCTATTTAAAACTTTGCACTTTTTACAGGGTGTCCTCGATGATGCCACTGAGAGTTGGGGAATCAAAGTGGAGAGAGTTGAGATGTGAGTTTGAAGTTTGGATTAGATAAAAAGATAGAAAAAGGATAATTTGCGAAATCCTATGATATCTTAAAATATCTTAAAAGATTTTCTTGCGCCTAAGAAAGATTCTTAGGCTCAGGCTTAGGCTTAGGCTTAGGCTTAGGCTTTGGCTTAGTCTTAGGCTTAGTCTTAGGCTTAGGCTTAGACTTAGGCTTAGGCTTAGGCTTGGGCTTAGGTTTAGGCTTAGGCTTAGGCTCAGGCTTAGACTTAGGCTTAGGCTTAGTCTTAGGCTCAGGCTTGGGCTTAGGCTTAGGACTTAGGCTTAGTCTTAGGTTCAGGCTTGGGCTTAGGCTTGGGCTTAGGCTTAGGCTTAGGTTTAGTCTTAGGCTTAGGCTTAGACTTAGGCTTAGTCTTAGGCTTGGGCTTAGGTTTAGGCTTAGGCTTAGGCTCAGGCTTAGACTTAGGCTTAGGCTTAGTCTTAGGCTCAGGCTTGGGCTTAGGCTTAGACTTAGGCTTAGTCTTAGGTTCAGGCTTGGGCTTGGGCTTAGGCTTAGGCTCAGGCTTGGGCTTAGGTTTAGGCTTAGGCTTGGGCTTAGGCTTGGGCTTAGGATTAGGCTCAGGCTTAGGCTCAGGCTTAGGCTCAGGCTTGGGCTTAGGTTTAGGCTTAGGCTTGGGCTTAGGCTTGGGCTTAGGCTTAGGCTCAGGCTTAGGCTCAGGCTTAGGCTCAGGCTTGGGCTTAGGTTTAGGCTTAGGTTTAGACTATATTGAAAAGATAACTAAATATCTTTCCAATTTTTAGCAAAGACGTTCGTTTACCCGTACAACTACAAAGAGCGATGGCTGCTGAAGCTGAGGCGACAAGAGAGGCTAGAGCAAAGGTTAGATAGAGATTAGCAATGCAAAAGCTGATAAAGAAGAGATGAAGTAGAGTCAATGCACAGCCTGTAACTGATTTGGATTTAACACAAAGCTTATTAGCAATGAAGCAAAAATGCTTATTATCAGTGAAGCAATCAATTTTTGTCAATCAAGTTTGACAGTTCTAAACCCCGTATTCGATTACAGGAAAATGGGCCCGAAATTCATTTTTCAAAGTAACCTTTGATCTCGCCGCCAAATTCGTTTTCTCAACGTTACTCAAAAATAGTTAAAGATTTTTCAATTCTGATTTGACCTTTCAAATCCCCGTAGCTTATTACATATTGAAAATGGGCCGGAATCCATTTTCTAAGTAACCCCTGATCTCACTGCGAAAACCCCTTTGATCTCGCCGCCAAATTCGTTTTCTCAACGTTACTCAAAAATAGTTAAAGATTTTACAATTCTGATTTGACAGGTCAAACCCCCGTAGTCGATTGAATATTGTCCCAACAAAAAACAGACCGAAACTTCCACTAGAACTCGAGTTAAGAAGCGACAGACACACAAAAACTTTGCTTCTTATAATAAGTAATATATAAAGTAATATATTATTTTTTATAAATATATATAAAGTAATACATTGTTATCTATAAATTTATAAAGTAATATATTGCTTCTTCACAGGTAATAGCAGCTGAGGGAGAACAATTGGCTTCTCGATCACTTCGAGAAGCCGCCCACGTGATCTCTCAATCGCCAGCCGCTCTTCAGCTCCGCTACTTGCAGACGTTGAATTCTGTCGCGTAAGTGAATCGGATTTTTGGATGTGAGGACAAAGCTAGACAATGAATATAGCTAGACAATGACAATGACTCAAAAATTGGTCTCAAATTCGTTCTTACAATAGCCCTGCATCAACCAAATCATTTTCAGCGCCGAAAAAAACTCGACGATCATTTTCCCGCTTCCCATCGAATTGATAAAACATTGGCTTAGTTGAATATTCTTTTCAATTCTGATTTTCAATTTTGAATATTTCATTTCCCCGTTTTTTTTGTACAGTCATTTTAATCGGGTTTTCAATCTTTATTTCAATCTTTATGTTTCATTTTTCTAATTCTCAGGCTTCTCTCCCCTAGCTGATCTTCCAATTTTACCCGAGTGCTTTCCAAAACAAAAAAAAATCTCTCCTTTACAAAATCTCTCCTTTACAAAATTTCTCTTTACAAAATTTCTCCTTTACAAAATTTCTAAAGCTTTTCGAAAGAACAAAGAGTTTTCAATTGTGATTTTCTTTTTAACTAAAAAAGCTGCCAACTTAGTTTTCTTTAAATTTTTATTTGGCATTTCGAGAAAGTAAAAAATTTTATGCAAATTTTGGAGATAATAAAGAGTTTAAAGAGTTCGATTTATTGAAATTAATTTTGGTGCGGTTTAGAAAACTGAAAGCGACTCTTTCTCTTCTTCAAATTGAAAAGATGACAAAAATCATCCGAAGATGATCTTGAGGTACTTGTGCACTTGGGAGCCCGCTTTTTTTCAAGGTTTCCACCTTTCTGAGGGTTCCAGTTTCTAACTAGCAAAACCTTCGCCTCAAAAACTCACCATTTATACTGCTGAAAGCGGATTGAACCATGGAGTTGAATGTTTTCATACGGAAGCCAAGTCGGATCAGATGTCAAAAAATACTTCCAAAAGTCACGATGGTGAGCTTTGCGTAGAAGAACAGAGCTCAAGGTGACTCGTGAAGCTTTGTCGGCATCAGTGAGGTCGTGGGGGAATCATTTCCCGCTTCGAGATGATTTTCCAAGCTTGTGTAAATGGTTTTCAATTGTACTATGAGTACATCCGAACTTTTCTGTTAATTTTCTACAACTTTAACTTTGAAATGGTCCAAGTCGACCTCGCTCAGCAACAGCGGGTCGTCCAAAGTAATCGGTCGCTTTCCATGGGTTGCAACTTCCATCTTCCAACATCTTCCATCTTCCAACGTCTCGTTCCCCGTTTTGAAGCGATCCTACCAAACGCAACATTTTTTGTAAGTAAGAGCAGCTTCTCAAAAAACAGTACAAATATTCTGATGACAATCCGTGTTTATGATTTCTTGTTTAACGTGAATTCAAAGAATATGGCAGCCCTGATTTTGAATTTTTGGTCATCCCTCTTTGTCGAGCTGAAACAATAAAAATATTATTCAAAGGAAAAAGCTTTGACCAAGCCTTCTTTGTAAAGACAGAACATAATTTTTCTTAAAATTAACCTTTCTTATTAGCCAAGCTAATATCTAAAGTAAAAAAACTTTCAGGCTAGTTATGGGTCGTTTTTTGAGTACTTTGATAGACGCGCATTTTGTGATAACATTTAACAATTCATTAGAAATCAAAAACAATACAAAAGTCACCGCAAAAGCCACCGTAATGATGGGGCAACGTTTAGATGGAGCTGCGAAAGTTGAATTGCCTTTAAAGAGTACGGGAATTTGCAGGAAACGCTTAGAAAATGGAGCTATGATAGATGAATCGAGAAGGAAAGTTGTAAATCGAGAAGAAAAGTTGTATCAACGTTTAGAAGATCGAGCTACTGCAGCTAGGAATGGCAGAAACGAAGCTATTGATACAAGAAATGATACGGTTTCTAGTTATGATCTCTAATTGATCGTATTGAGTTGTTGTTTTGTTTTTGATTTCTAATGTATTGTTAAATGTTATCACAAAATGCGCGTCTATCAAAGTACTCAAAAAACGACCCATAACTAGCCTGAAAGTTTTTTTTACTTGAAACACAAAGTTTTTAGTATTTCTAACAATCAGTAGTGTTGAAATACGGGTTTTTGAGAATTGCAAAAAGAGCCAAAAGTTAAAAGTTCATACAATTACCTCTACTCTAAAGTTTTCCAAAGTGATCCAAAGTGAGAGGGGGAGGAACACCAGGAAAAGATCAAGCACCGTGCAATAGCCAAAAGACTGAGGAAGGGCTTGGAAAAATTTTGTATGTTTCAGGTTTCAAACCATGATTATTGGTATGAGAAACATGAGAAAGTAATTTTCTGAGAAGCCAGCGTTTCAGAGGAAAAACTAGTAGTTAGTAACTCTTAGGAAAAACTAGTAGTTAGTAGTTTAGTAACTCTCCAACTCTAAAGCTTTCCAAAGTGATGGCTAAAGCTTTTCATTAAAAATGAATATAAATTCAAGTGGCAACCAACAGCAGCACAAGTAACCAGCTTGAATTCTTCATTCTAGCTTGATTTTTATATAGTAATAGTTTATAATAATAGTATAATAATCTATAGTAACTTAATCAACTCTAAAGCTCTCCAAAGCCAGCTGGAAACCAACAGCAGCACAAGTAACCAGCTTGAGTTCATTTTTTGAAAGCCATAGACAGGGATTTGCGTGAAAGATTTATTATTTCATTAGACAGATGACAGCTTTCTTTATCCATGATTCATTAGCCAAAATTTATCTAACTGCACAAGTTGCATGTGCTCTTGCAGTACTTGATCTTCGTGGCTGAGTCGTAGGAGGTGTTGTCACAGAAACCGTTCTTCGCCCACGAGGCACAGCTAAAGTTGTATTGATTATTGGCTTATTGGTTTTAATCTGGCTATAATCTACTTTAAAAGAATCCCTATTTCGTTTAAGTTTGTTAAATTACAAAGATCGAATCGAATCGAACTCACTTTGTGCTCGAATCGGTGCAAGTAGTGCCAACTGTTGTGCAAAGATTACAACTCTTGGCACAATAGTTCTTCCGATCGGCATCTGTGTAGCCGGCCTGTGTGCAGAAACCATTGGGCACCCAAGTGGCACATCTGAATTTATTGGTCACATCAAGTTTTCAAGAGATACCAGTATGAGAAATTAGAGTAAACTCACTGTGTTGGCATCTTGTCTACACAGGTTACCGGAGTAGAACCAGCCTGAAATGATTTTGTGAAAAACGAGTCATTGAGCGATCAACAAAGCTCTGTTTTGATGCATATCCAAATCATTTACCACATAGCATGCATCGCCCAGATCGGTTCCCGAGCCATCGTTGTAGCAAGTGCCTAGGCCAGGCGGGCACACGGAACCGGGGGCTGCTGAAACGGAAAGTTGTCTTTGGAGATCGTATGAGCAGATGTAAGATTGGTAGATATTTTCGAGATGGGATGTTTGCTTACTTGAGATGGGACTTATCATACTTATCATTTATAAAGCAGGTTCGTTTGTTTGCAATGCTAAGAGTTTATCTTGATATCTTGATAGTTTAACTAATTTGTGCACAGCTGTGTGTTGTAAAACTGTATAAAACATTGCACAACCAGGTACAACTATTCAGAAACATTGTGGCCAAGTTAGTACTTATGGATGTTTTTAGTTCCTCGGTTCTGGAACCTTCTAAAAGCATATTTGACTTACGTCCTTTGCTGACAAGTGTCGTGTCAGTCAAGGTCGGGCAGATGGCAAACGTCTAAACTTCAAAAGTATGAAAAATGTTGAGCTTTAGTTTGATGATAAAACTATTGAAGATTGATATTGGGTTGACCAAGTAATGCGTCACGTCAAAGAAAGGAAATTTTGCCGTAAACTTTTAGTTGGCTCTCAGTGCTTATCATTTAGAAGAGACAACAGATTTCCCTGCTTTCAAAACAATTTTATTGATTCGGTATGCTTTCTTTTTTCTTTATTAATTACTTTTATTGATTAGTGCAAATTTGACAAATGGGTCTATTCAGCATGTTATCCTATTTGGTTTCGCTAAATTCTCATCTTCAAGCTCTAGACTAACTCTAGGCAACATAACAAAAGTATATGACTTCCTCTCCAAGACTGTGCCTCAAGATTACCCGAACCAACCTCCGTTTACCGCGCTGTTATGCGCTTTTGGGTTGACTATCTTTGCTACTTTAGGAGAAGAATTCGCCTTCTACCAGTAAAATAGGCACAGTTTATTGAAAAAGATGGAAACTATTTTGATTGCTTTAGATGGCTTTATTGAATACATCTTTCTGTTTGAAATTGACTCATTAATTACCCAATATTACCCAATATTATTGCTGTAGTCTTACTCGAAAAAACGGTTTACTGGTTTCACCATTGTTCATCGCAAAGTAACAGTATTGTTCATTGCAAAGTAACAGTATTGTTCATTGCAAAGTAACGGGATTGTTCATTGCAAAGTAACGGGATTGTTCATTGCAAAGTAACGGGATTGTTCATTGCAAAGTAACGGGATTGTTCATTGCAAAGTAACAGTATTGTTCATTGCAAAGTAACAGTATTGTTCATTGCAAAGTAACGGGATTGTTCATTGCAAAGTAACGGGATTGTTCATTGCAAAGTAATAGGATTGCTCTGTGCTTTGTGCTCAAGGGAGAAAACACCTTCTCTCTGGCGCACTTTTATTTCATTTTCCTTTCTGTCAAAAGAAATTTGCTGCACCAGAAAGGATGCGTTTTAATTTTTGAGCACAAAATGCGGATCTTTACGGTTAACAGCGGGGGGTAGTGATGATCGCCGGTGCCCAATTTTTTGGCCAACTTGCAGCTCATTTTTTAGCACCTTAAACTTATCAGATTATGAAGTTTTAATAAGATTTAGATAGCTTAGAATGTTAACTTTTAGAAGGTATTTGTTTTAGTAAAAGTTCTTAACATAAACCTCTCTAAAAGCGGGCTGCAAGTTGGTGAAAAACGCGGCCGCCACCGATAATCGCTATCAGCCGCCGTTTAACGGTAAAAGTCTCAAAATACATAGATCTACTTTCAAAACTCACCGATCCAATGCAAAGGATGAGAATGGTGGCGCTGAGTGACATCATTTTCAGCAAGATACCAATTACAGTTATTTAAACTGATTCAGTATAAATTTCGAGAAATCGACTGGATATTTATACTCAATTTTATTAAGATATTCAAGATTAAACCCACCCACATTTCCCGTTAAATCAGGCTTCGAATGAGCAAATGCAAAGCTTTTATTTACACAGCCTCAACGCTTTGATTTTTGAAGAATTTGACCTTTCAGGGATAGACGTTGATTCCGAGGAATTCAAAACATGCGGTCAACGTTGCGGGTTTTCGGTCCGTTTGGGAATCCGTTAAGATTTGTTCAGGCGAACATTCCTTGAAATATTGAGAGTGGACATTTCATCGACTTTGAGCTGTTTCAAAAAAAAGCAACTATGAATGGCCAGGTCAAGCATTGGAAAACTCTTTCGCTGTGCAAGATGTTGACCTTCGACTTAAAACTGGAGCTTGGAAAAAGTTGATCTTCTTAGACAATTACTGGAATACTTGGGGAAAATTGGTGAACAACGTTGCGGAAACGAATTCTCAACGAATTCTCAACGAGTTCTCAACGAGTTCTCAACGAATTTCAAAATGGATTTGTTCAAACGAGTATTCTTTTGAGACTAAATATTAAGCATTGATCATTGAAAGAGAAGATAGAAAAATTTGAAAGAGTTTGAGTCAAATGACTCAATTGCTTGTTGAATTGCTGATTGCGAATGGATTCGTCTGTTTGTTTTGATCTGAGGTCGTTCAGTTTGTTTTGATCTGCAGTCGTTCAGTTTCTTTTCATCTGCAGTCGTTCAGTTTGTTTTGATCTGCAGTCGTTCAGTTTGTTTTGATCTGCAGTCGTTGAGTCTCTTTTGACCTGAAGTCGTTCAGTTTCTTTTAATCTGAGGTCGTTCAGTTTCTTTTGACCTTAAGTCGTTCAGTTTCTTTTGATCTGAAGTCGTTCAGTCTCTTTTGACCTGAAGTCGTTCAGTTTGTTTTGATCTGCAGTCGTTCAGTTTCTTTTAATCTGAGGTCGTTCAGCTTCTTTTGATCTGCAGTCGTTCAGTTTCTTTTGATCTGAAGCCGTTCAGTTTCTTTTGATCTGAAGTCGTTCGATTTGTACTTTGTTTTGATCTGAAGTTTGCTTGTAACTGGTTGACTGTTTGAAAAAGAGAGAATCGAGTACATTAAAATATTGGTCACCTTTTTAGTTTGTTCCTTTTTTATCTGGAATCTAAACTCTAAACGGCCACGCGATGCAATCGAAAAGGAAAATTCCGCGTCTCAAATGATACTGATCAAAGTGATACAAAATGATGCTATTCGGTTATACATGCCCAGCCGTTTTTATCCTATTCAGTTCAGCCGTTTTTATGTTTCAGAGCCTTTAAGAAAAAGTGTGGATTGCTTAAGTATCAGATTTGTTTGAGTGATAATTTTAGAACAAAGGCACTTTAGGTAATCATACACATAAAGTAGAGAAAACAATATTATAGGTTTAACCTAGTCAGTCGTTGAGGTATGCGGTAGAATTGCCATCCGATGAATCGAATCCGATCCAATCCGATCCGAACCCAATCCATCAGATTGATGATCCCCATCCATCAGAATGATGCCTCTATCAGATTGAATCCGATCCGATCTGATCCGAACCCAATCCATCAGATTGATGATCATCATTCATCAGAATGATGCCTCTATCGGATTGAATCCGATCCGATCAGATCCGAGCCCAATCCATCAAATGAACGATCCCCATCCATCAGAATGATGCCTCTATTGGATTGAATCCAATTCGATCCGATCCCAACCCAATCCATCAGATCAATGACCCCCATCTATCGGAATCAAATCTCTGTCAAATTTAATCTAATCCGATCCCAACCCAATCCACCAGATCAACGATCCCCATCCATCAGAATCAAACCTCTATCCAATCCGATCCGATCCATCCGATTAGCTCAAGATCATACTTTTTGCAATTAGCATTTGTTTTTGGTTTTAAATGCAATTTATCCGACCAAAATGCGAAATATTCAGCTAATGCAGAGAGGATACAGTTAAAACAGTTTTTACTACGCGTTATTACTAGGCTTGCTAAAGCGGTGGATCGAACCCGGATTCCCTCGGGTCATGTTCTGATCCGATTCATCAGATTCATCAGATCATTCATCAGATTAAATCCGATCCGATCCAATAAAAGCCTCTATTGGATTGAATCCGATCCGAATCGACAGAATTTCGATTGGTGCCTGGTTTAGGTCTTGATTTGGTTCCGAATTCAATCCTGGTCTTCCAGATCTGGTTCCGAAATCAAGAAAGGCTTCTCGGCCGGAGACTTCAACGCAAAGTTTACCTTGCGTCCGATGATCCGATAGTCGTTCCACAAGCAAAAAGCCTGTTGGTGAACATGAGTTGTTGGAAAGTTGTAAAACTATGAAATTAGTTTCCCGGACTTTCAAATCTTCGCCTCAAATTGAGTTAACCGTTTGATGTTTGACCAATAGATATATCAATACAACTTTTTTTTGAAATATAACAATTTCAGAGCATCTTTTCTTTTCTTTTCTTTTCTGGGCGGTTATTTTACACCATAAAACTTGAGGAATAGCTAAGCTGAAATGGGTTTTTTTTAAAACGACCTCTGCCTTTGTGCAGTCAATTTCCCAAAAAGTTGAATGAATTCAAAAACTTTTTTATTCTAAAATGTAGAGGAGATCTTCAGCTTTCGAATGATATATAACACTCATATACATCTGTTCGATATCTTGAGAAATTTACAAAATAGTAAAAACGCGCATTCATAACTGGACAACCCATTATTAGCTGAATAAATCTTTTATTATTAGCTGAATAAATCTTTCATTATTACCATGTTTCTTCGAATAGAAGACCGGGTAAAGAGAGTATCATCGCGTACTCCTGCGTAGCAGCCCTTTTAAAAATTTCTTTTCTGCATAAAAGCTTTCAATGAAGTGCTATAGGGCTGGAAAATGACTCAAAAATCTGTTAGCTTATGTGGTATTTTTGAGTCATTTTTCAGCCCTATAGCACTTCATTGAAAGCTTTTATGCAGAAAAGAAATTTTTAAAAGGGCTGCTACGCAGGAGTACGCGATGATACTCTTTACCCGGTCTTCTATTCGAAGAAATACGGTAGCTGAACAAATCTTTCATTATTAGCTGAATGCATCTTTCATGATCAGCTGAATAAATCTTTCATTATTAGCTGAATAACTTTAAATTCTTCCTTCCATAAGCTATTTAGGTATTCAGCTCAATACTCCAATAAATAAAACCCATCAAGCTTTTCAGCTCGCGAATTTCTCGTACTTGACGATTGGCATCCTGACAATGAAACCCAATTGGAATTGAGGTTAATTTCCCTATTTAAATTTAAAACTAGTGCTGTAAAGGAATATTCTTTGCGTGCTTGGTACTCTTCACTCAAGACACGTTGTTTCTTGTTTCGAGATATCTGATCTCACTTGAACTAAAACACTTTATTCAATGGCCCTGACAACCCTGATATCCTCCGAAGCACCACCAACATCTGGGACGCTATACTGGGACGCTCGGCGCGACTAACCTCGCGCCGAGCGCCCCTCAAAGTCCCCTTTAAGACCTTCGCTGCGAAGTTGCAATACTTCAATAAATTAGTTGAAGTATGCAATAAATTGCATAATTCAACTTCATGCTTGAAAACATTTAAATCAAAAAAAGTTTGGAACGGGCGGGAATCGAACCAGACACTCCCTTAGAGCATTCGTTTTGTAGAGGAGGAATAGAGGAACAGAAGCTCCACTCAAGACTTTATCGAAAAGAATTAGGTGTACTTCCGTCTATTTCCTCACACCACGCGCTCGTATGCTAATTTACATCATCTTCTCTTCGTCATTATCCCTAAAAATCTACGAGTACTAGCTTTATAATAGTTTTCGGTCTACTGAATTCTCAGCCACAGCCAGATGAATGGGAAACATATCTAGCACTGTGTGCAAAGAAATATTCTTTGCGTGCTTGGCACTCTTCACTCAAGACACGTTATTTCTTGTTTCGAGATTGCTGATATCTGATCTTCGATAGCTGAGCTCACTTCAACTAAAACACTTCAATAGCCGACTGACTCGGACATTTTTGGGCTCTCACTTGAGCAATTTTCAACAGCCATTCACACAAAATCGACAATTGAATTAAAAGCGACGACAAAAACAGAAACAATTTTGAAAATCAGATACTCAGAGTAGACGAGCCAGCTAGCTAGCTTGCAGCTGATTCTGCAAGCTCAAATGGTTATCAGCCATTTGATAAGCAGCCTAACTTTGAGCTCAAATTTCTGTTTGGCTCTCACTTGAGCAATTTTCACACAAAATCGACAATTGAATTAAAAGCGACGACAAAAAGCAGAAACAATCTCGTCCTAATCAGGACAAAACTTTCACACAATGAAAGGAAAACAGAAAAAAGTAAAAACAAGAAAAACATCAAATGAACAACAATTGCCTTATATACGTTTTAACATAAGATATTCAGCTAACAAGCTACAATGTTTTGTAGCTTGTTATAAATGATTTGGGGCGCGAAATAGAGTGAAGGCGCACGGATCTCCGCAATACTTTTCCAATTTTTAGCCTGTCAGAGTTAGGTAACTTTTTAGTGGCTATTCGGCACGGCAACTTTTGGGAAACGTGAATGATTGCTTGAAAAGAATGGTTTATTCATGGAAAAACTGCTAAAAACGAGAATTACATCAATTACTTGCAAGCATGCAAAAGGCTAAGCAATGAAAATTTTGAATCATGTTTGATCAAGATGCTTTCATCAAAAGGTTTTTATTAGGATGACCGTTTTATTTTCGGCTTTTAGAGCAAAAGTAGCAAAAGTTTTAGAGCAGTTTAGAGTTTGAATGAATTGGAAAAGCGACTTGTCTGCATTTTATATAATGATTTTGGTGTCGTGATGTCTGCATTTTATGTCGTACACAAGGGATTATGCAATGGAATCACAGGATGAAAAGAAAACAGAAAAAAGTAAAAGCACATCAAATGAACAACAAAGATATTCAGCTAACAAGCTACAAAACAATAAATGATTTGGGGTGTGAAATAGAATGAAAAAGCACGGATCTCCGCAATACTTTTCCAATTTTTAGGCTGACAGCTGACAGCCGACTAGCGGCGAATAGCCACTAAAAAGTTAGGTAACTAAGTTAGATAACTAAGTTAGGTAACTTTTTAGTGGCTATTCGCCTTTTAGTGCTGAAAAGCTTAACAAATCTCATTTAATTTCAGAAAAAATGATATCATCTTGACAATCGAGCCAGCTGAGGGAAATAAATTCAATGGTTTCGGTTTGGGAACGAATCAAAGAACGAGAAAATTCGGACTATATCCAAATTATTTGGTAAGTTGAAATTATTGTTTCAACGATGAAAGATGAAAGATTTAGGTGCGAGAAAAATGGCGCACTTTCAACTTCTCAGTTTTCAATTGAGTTACCGATTTCAAATATGGTTGCTTTTAAAGAAATACATTTATTTACACGTATAACAAACAATACACAAGCACAACCATTAAGCTCTAAATGTAGGGAAGAAAAGAACACATATATATTGGAAAAAAGAATCAATAATTTCTTGGTGAAATCAAGGGTTTGTGAGCCGGGCGTCTACCAAACAATTTAGCGGCTTGCAAACATCTTTGCACCGTTCTGGAACTTATAGATTCTTTTAATCGTTGAGGCAATTCCTTGTGGATATTGATTGCAGTCTTTCGTGGATCCTGTTTCGACAGATTCGCGACGATTCGCGTATCATCTCGATCACTCGTTTTCTTGATTCGGCCAGTATGTTTATAAGCATCTGTCGACCCCGTTTGCCTCTTCCTCTTTAAAATTCTCGATACCGTACTATGGTTGATTCCAAATGCTACGTTGATTTGGTTTTGCGTGAACTCCAAACCCTTTATCCTCAAAAAGTCATTTCTTTTGATAACTGAAGTATCCTTGTTTCTACCCTTGTCTAATTATTTTGTGTTAAACTAAATATTAAACAAAAAAAGAAAAAAGATAATTTTGGAAAATATTAGCAGCTCACCGCTAAATATGCTAAATTATGTCGTCCAGCTTTACACTAAAATTCTTGAAAACTCTCATAGACATAATTTGAGGTTTTTTTAGATGGTAAAATACTAATTTTAGAAGATTTTCTACGTTCAGCGCAAATTTTTGGCCTGATAGCTTAAATTACAAAAAAGTTTTGGTAAAAACAAAAAATATGCTAAAATTATGTCCGCTACTGTATAATTTGCCGTATATCGATTAATACCTTTTATTCAAAATTTCATTCTCTAGTTCAAGTTTTATTTCAATTTCAAAATCTCTTTCTCAACATCCTGTCTCTTTTCGAATTTCTAGTAAAAGGTATCGATTTTTTTTCGTGGAAAAAGGGGGGTGGGCAGGGACACCAGAGGGGCGCCAACCCCTCCCCTCAAAAAAGAGAAAAGAGAGCCATTGGCAAATGGAAAAGAGAGCCAAAAGGGAACAGCAAACCCCGCAAAAATTTCCCGCGTATCTGCCCCGTTTCAATGTCGTTTTCGAAATCAAATCTACTCATTTTCATTGGACGCTTTGCATGTTCCTTTTTGTAATTGTTTGCTTTTTGTTCGCTAAATCTAAATTGTTCTATATTTTACCGGCTAATTTTAAATTATCGTTATAAACGGAAAAATGACTTGTCTTTTAAGCTCTTTCAATCAAACTATTAAATCAAATTGCTTGAATTAAACTATTTTTGGTCATTTTTGGTCATTTTTGGTCATCACAAGGCTTTGAATTCTTTAAAAGTTAAAGCTAAAAGTTAAAAGCCTTTTGAATTTACTATATTGGTTTAATTACCCAAGTTTGAGGTGTGTCACCGCAAGATGATCAACCGCAATGCGATGTCTCATCCCGCGCCGGCAGCCCCAAATGGTCATCATGGCGGGAACAAATGGATCGAAGTGGGACCAGTCTTGAAAACACAGTCTTGAAGTAGCCAATGGAGTGAAAAATGGCCAAGGATCATTTGTTAAGCGCAAAATTGTATCCAAAAATGGGACCGGAGGAGCGATCATCGCAAAGTTGCCTACCACGGACACGCCGAACACGAGCCCAGCAGCAAAATTTACCAGAATGGAATCACAAGACTTGCCGCTCCCTCTAGAAATCGACTCGCCCACTCCAGGATAAGCTCTTTCCCCCCGTAACGTCTGTTTCGTTTCTCTTTTCCAATGTTCACTCAATAATTTCACAAAAACGTCTTAGTTACGTGCAATTTTTGTCCAGATCTCTCTCTTACGATGTTCTTGCCTTTTGTGAGACCTGGCTGACTGAAAACACTACATCTTCTATCTTAGACCCCGCCTCTAACTATTCCATAATTCGTTGTGACCGTATCTTTAATGAGATCAAAGTTCGAGGTGGTGGCGTTATCCTATTAATTCGCCGTTCTTATAACTTTATCCCTGTTACTAGTCAATCAGTCTCAGGTTGCGAGATAATCATTGTAGATATATTCGCTCATTCAGATTCCCCCTCGCGTATCTTTATTGTTTATCGTCCCCCACATGTTAACAACCAGGATTCTTTCCATCTTTTTACATTTCTTGAAGATCACTTGCTACCAAATCATCCAAATTTCCTTCTTGGCGATTTTAATTTTCCTTTAACTGTTTCTCTAGGACTTTTACCTAATTTATCGCGTTTTCCACATTTAGAAAACTTCCTGTCAGCCAACAGCTTAGAAATTTTAAACAAATTCCCTACTTTCAGGAAAAGTTCGCATATTTTAGACCTAGTTTTAACCGACTCCCTCATTTAATTTCAGCTATTTCACCATGTCCTCCCATTGGTGGTGCCGACCATTTTTCTATGTCTTTTAATTTAATTCTGCATCATTTTACCTCTCTAAAAGGACCGGATGAAGGTAACCGTGCCTTTTGGAGAGGTAATTTCGGTGCTGTCTGTCTTTCTTTAGTGCTCTTCAATGCAAGGTTTCTTCCCCGATTAGAGATGGACATCAACGAGTGTTATGCCGACTTCTTTGAAGAGATGAAATAGCTGTTGGACGAAAATGTACCTATTTCAACCAGGTCTACCTTTTCTTACCCCTTTTCTTACCTTCTCTTACATATCTCGAGCTTGGCAAAGGTTAGAAGCAGCTTGGCGTTATCGCGATTCCCCCCATTACGCATATCTAGAAAACAAGCTAACTAAGTTTGTCAAGAAATTTGAGGCCAATATTGAACGGAAAGCCGTTTTTAGTCCTAGTCCCAAAGCTTTTTACTCATACGTCTATTCTAAGATCAATCCAAGCCACGATTCCTCTATTAAATGTATATTTGACCCCCTTCGCAACTCGTTGATTTTCGAAAATCACAAAATTGCTAATTCCTTTACTCAATATTTCTACAGCGTTTTTGCAGTTGACGATGGTAGTTGCATCCCTGTTCTTCCCGCCCCAGCACATACTTGCGCAGCCCTAATTGTCACACCAAGACTGGTCGAAACAGCAATTAGTAAGCTTAGCAATCAGATTTCTTACACCCGGAATTCCCTCTTTTGTTATACGGAAAACTAAGTTTCAAATATCACCACTACTTGCTAAACTTTTTAATCTGTCACTTTTAACGGCTAAGATCCCTAAATTTTGCAAAGACTCAACGATTTCGCCACTTTTTAAGAAAGGAGATCGGAACGCGCTTAGACCCATCGCGCTCACCTCCTCCATTTGTAAAGTCTTAGAAATAATTATTCGCGACCACATTATTCACTATCTAAATGAACATAATCTAATTGATAAAAATCAATTCGGCTTTCTCAAAAACAGCTCTACCTCCGACCAGCTAGTTCTCTGTGCGCATGACTGGCTTCTAGCTAAAGCCAAAAACGATCAAACTAGCTGCGTTTTCATTGATTTTTCCAAAGCATTCGATTCTGTTAATCATAGATTTTTAATCGCCAAACTAAATTCACTAGGTCTCCCCATATCCATCACTAATTGGATTGCAAATTGGCTTACCGAAAGGACTTTTCGCGCCCGCTTAGGCTCTACCTTTTCGAATGACTTCCCCATTAGTAGCGGAGTACCCCAAGGGAGCGTTCTTGGTCCTCTTCTTTTCCTTATCTATATTAATGACATTAACAGTTCGATCTCCCCAGGCACAAAAGTCCGACTCTACGCCGATGACCTTAAAATTTATAGGGTACTTCCATCCCAGAGCCCCATCCCTGATTTTACTCTTCTCCAGAAGGATCTTGATTCGATCCTTTTGTAGAGTAAATTTTGGAAACTTAACATTGCGCCGGACAAATGCAAACACGTTACATTTGGTTCATTACATATCCCTTTAAAATTGGGGGACCTACAATTACCACAAGGGTTGACCGATGATCCTGTAAAAGATCTTGGTATACTGTTAGTTCCCTCTCTAAAATTTGATCCTCACATAAACTACATTTCCAAAAAAGCTTCTAGAATTTCTAACATAATTCTTCGCGCCATTTGTTTCCCTAAAATCGCGACTTATCGCAAGGCTTTTATAACCTATTGCCGACCTTTGCTCGAGTATGCCACCATCGTATGGTCACCTTCCATTAAGAAACTTATCACCTTGGTTGAAAATGTCCAACGGCGTTTCACTAAAAAAGCATACACTCGTTGTTTCCCTTCTTCTCTTATTCCAAATTATGAGACTAGACTTATAGTTTTTGATTTAAAACCCCTTTTATATCGCCGTATTTACTTTGATCTTATTTTTTGCTATAAAATTCTTTTCCACCCTAAGTCACATCCAGAATTTCAAAGCCTCTTGAAAATTGTAGAAATTTATAGAAGTTCACGTAGTCATCCTTATCAAATTTCGGTTGGTTCTCATCCCCATCATCTTTCCCTTTATCATTCTTTTGCGAACCGTATTAGTAGGGTTTGGAATAAGCTCCCGTCTGGTATCTTCTCGTCTGTAGGAAAATTCAAAGTATCTGTGAACGAATTAGATCTTATTGCCATGTCAAATCTGCCCTATATTTAATCTTTTTGTATCTGTGTTTCCTAACTGTACTCTTACTGTACTATCTTTAGTTTTCTCTCTTTTTTCGGTGAGAGTATTGTAGCAATTGTGTTATATGCAGTTATGATTATCTGATTCGCTTCTATTCGCCCCGTGAATAAAGCATATACATATATATATATATATAATCATTTGATTGAGGCTTGAAACTTCTAATTTATAATATTTCAATTAAATTTCATATTTCATTTCAATTTATTTCATATTTCATTTCAATTTATGCTATTTTAATTAAACAAAAGTCTTAACTTTACATTTAAAACCATTTTCAGTCTTCGAGCATCGATTTGAACAAATTGAATGGTGATGGAACGTCAAAACTCGCTGCTAGCGATGGCAAATTTGAATATGAAATTATCTTTCAAGTGGGTAACAAATTTGACAATTAAAGTAAAGCAAACTATAGCTAGAAATTTAAAATAATAAATTTGCTTTTCAGAAAAAAACCAAAAGTGGAGGTTGAAAAGGAGGCGCTTTTCTTAAGCCCAGTTGACAGCAAAGACGGCATTGTGGCTATGGATGGGACAAAAACGTTAGTTTATTTCTCTAGCTGATTCAAGCTGGATATTTCTCTAGCTGATTCAATACTTAATTTTCGATTGGCTCGGTCCTTCAGTTCTGTCCGTTTTTTTGCGGTCATCTTTTGACCCACATAGGATGAATTGAATGATGATCTTTTTTCCAGACATTTATACATTTTCTGAAAGCTCTTCAAAAGCTCTAAAGGTGGCATAAATAGATTAAACAGCTCGGTGAATACGAAACGTCAAATTTCTTGAAACAAACTTTGCCATTTTTTGTCCTCTTTTCAATGGAATCAAAATCAAATTGAAATTCGTGCAAAAAAGTGCTTCGAAAGCTTGACAGAGCGCTTGACAGAAGCTTGACAGTAAGCTTGACAGTAAGCTTGACAGTAAGCTTGACAGTAAGCTTGACGGAGCGCTTGACAGAGCGCTTAACGGTAAGCTTGACAGAGCGCTTGGCAAAGCGCCTCCCAAACGCTTACAATTCATTTATATTTATTAGCTCACACTAATCAACGCAATGATTATCCATTTCAGACCAAAGCTCGAAATCGAGGAGGAAACGTGCAGCGATCAGCCCACTACATCAAACATGTAAGTGGAGTTTTGAAAAAAGATTTGAGAGTTTTTCAAAATCAAATGTCATTGATATGTTGATTGATATGTTAAAATGTTAAAATCATTGATAATCTAATGTTTTTAGGCCCATAAACCCACTGGGAATAAACTCGCGTCAAATCTCTCCATCTTGTTATTTCATCGCTCTTGATCAATGCCCAACCGTCAAAGAGCTCTTCCAGTACGCACAAGGATTGTCGGAATCGGGGTGAGTACAGGTTTTTGAGCTTCAAATATTGAGAATAACTTTTGAAGAACGATAGTTATTTACAATAGTTATTGTTATTTACAATAGTTATTGTTATAGTTATACATGATTCTAATAGAGTTGATGCCAGGGCCCAGATCCATATTTTGCTAGATCTAGCAAAATCTAGATAAAAACTAGTAAATTTTGCTGGATCTAGCGAAATCTGGACCTGGGTCCTCGTAGCAAAGGTGCTTTAAAAGGTTCGGAGCTGTTTAGTGCAGTTGTTGTAAGAAGATATTCATTAAAATAGAGCCAAGCTGTAAATGCCAATGTAATATGTAAGCCAAAATTTAATTCGAAACATTTCTTTCTAACTGATCCGAAAATCTTTCAGTGTTGTCATGGACGAGCCCACTTTTTTCGACTCGGAGAAACCCGGCGCCTACATCAATTTCTTCATCAATGTTGGCGAGGTTTGCATGGCCGATTTGCACAGAGACATTCTTGCTCCGTGGACACTCACAGTTGATGGGAAAACGTTGTGTAAGTATAGGAACTTGGTATTGAACAAGTTTTGCCAATACGAAGCTTGGAAACAGTTTATGAACTCGACATTCAGGCAAGATTCGAACCGAGAACCAGACGTACGTGAATCTCGATGGGAAGACGTCAACAAGTGTTCGATACAGTCTTTACTCGAAACATCCCCGACAAGCACCAATCACGAAAAAGGTCAGTGTAAGAACAGGACAGAGTTTAATACCTGGCACTGTGCTAGCTTAAAGGAGGGGTTTGAATTAGGACCGATTCTTGAATTAGGAAATTCTCGAGATTTCGAGCGCTCTGGGTATTCTACTATTAGAGAAAATACGGTATTCTTATTTTTCACATCGTGCGCTACGGTCAGTGATTCGCATTCGAGGTCACTAGTTTTGAGTCGCTGTATTTTCGATTCCGTTAGGTTGGCAAGTTAGGCAAGAACGCTGTGAATCGGCACACTCAAATTAGAACTTGACACTTGATTATAACTCAATTTCAGGTCGCCATTTTCCCAATCGGTAACGCCAACGTAAAGCCGCATAGCGGTTTCATCGTCTACAAAGTCGAGCAGCCGTTCAATTTGTGCGAGTACACATCGGTGAAGGGATTGGCGAGGAAAAGAAGGAACTACGATCAAAACGATCACGAGACTGCGCAATTCATTGACAGCTTCTTGAAGGTGAGTGGTAGAGTAAAAGAAAATTTGGGCCTTGTGTCTCAATGACTTAACGACGAACAATATGATGTTGGATCCAAGCATTTCCGAGCTCAAAACCTACGTAGCTCAGGTCTAGATTTATACAAGAATTATGTCTGGATCAAGCTTATAATTTGGCTTTGTAACATTACCAATTATTAGGTGAGTAATTAATTAATTTCAATAAGTAATTAGCCTCTCCTTTATTTACAATTTTACAAAAGCCAAACGATAGATCTTTTTAATATCTTAGTATGATAATTATAAAAGAGATTAACATTATTGTAGAAAGTTTTAACTGATCGCTGAGTTTTGAGAAGGAATCTTTAGAAATAGTTATAGAAAGAATCATATAAATCATTTCACTATCATTTAAAACGCAAGCATCAGATTGGAATGTATTAGAATGAAAATTTCTCAGATAATAAGAAAAAATTCATTCTAGATCTTCCAAAACTTTTAAAAGAGATTTGATTGGTTACTTTGAGAGAAATAAGAAATAAAACTTTTTGTTGAAGAAGATTTTGAAGAAACCAAGTTACTACTCTTAGATTCCTTCTCAAAACTCAGCTATCAGATTGAGTTAAAACTTTCTACGATACTATTAATCTCTTTTATAATTATCATATTAAAATATTAAAAAGATCTATCGTTTGGCTTTTGTAAAAATGTAAATAAAGGAGAGGCTCATTACTTATTGAGTCACCTAATAATTTGGAATGTTGCAAAGCCAAATTATAAGCTTGATCCAGACATAATTCTTGTATAAATCTGGACCTGAGCTACGTAGGTTTTGAGCTCGAAAATGCTTGGATCCAACATCATATTGTTCGTCGTTAAGTCATTGAGACACAATGCTCAAATTTTCTTATTGAGTCACCTAAAGTTATACTAAAAACTTTTCTCGCCAGTTTTGTAGCATTTCTCCCCCAGTTTTTGTTTTGTTTTGCTCACAGGTTGACCGTTTTTCATTTTGAATCATTTCTTTGCAATAGCTATAGAATCTCAAGCTATAGAATACATTCCAATCTGATGCTTGAGTTTTAAATGATAGTGGAATGATTTAAATGATTTCTATTTCTGACTGAAATGACTATAACTATTTCTAAAGATTCCTTCTCAAAACCCAGCCATCAGATTGAGTTAAAACTTTCTACAATAATGTTGATCTCTTTTATAATTATAGTACTAAAATATTAAAAAGATCTATCGTTTGGCTTTTGCAAAATTGTAAATAAAGGAGGGGTTCATTACTTCTTGACTCACCTAATAATTGGGAATGTTACAAAGCCAAATTATAAGCTTAATCCAGACATAAGGCTCATAACTTATTGACTCACCCAAAATATATTCAGACCGAAGCCGCCGAGAAACAGGAGGAACAAAAGAAGCTCGGGCGATGTATGGGAAAACTGTCAAAGCTGGAAGATGTAAGTGCTTACTGCCCAAGGCATACAATTCTGCATAGCCAGAATTCACAATGACAAAATTTCAGCAACTGTCTCAACTCAGGAAGCAAGCCTACATGAATGTGTTGAATGGGAATGAGGCTTATCTCGACTTCTTGGTCGAACGATCCGCCACACTACTCATCGCTGAGGTAAATGGATATCAGAAATTTCTCGTACAGCATTTTCGTCAGTTTAAAGCTAAAGTCGAATATCTAAGACAATTCTAAGTCTCATGGAAATTCCAAAAAATCTAAAACCAACTAAATTCATTGAAATATTTCAGAATCCACAAAACCTCTGATGATCTTTTCCTTGGCTTTGTGTTGGATCGTTTAAAGCTTCAGAGACAATCAGAAAGTTGCTCATTTTGATATCAAATTATGCTGTTAATTGATTGATTATTCTTGTAATGATATTGTTATAGTTGTCATGTTTTTGTTATACTCATAAATTGTTACATACCAAAGCTATTCATAAACATTAACATACAATAAGGTCCAAAAGGTTGAAAGCATCCACTACAAAAAGCTTATGACGTCACTAGCACGCTGAAAATACAGTTATATTAAAAGCTATATTAGAAGCTATATTAAAAGCTATACTAAAAGCTTTTCTCGCCAGTTTTGTAGCATTTTTTCTCTAGTTTTTGTGTTTTTGTTTTGCTAGTTAACAGTTAACAATAAGTACTAGTTAACAATAAGTAATGAACCTCTCCTTTATTTACAATTTTGCCAAAGCCAAACGATAGATCTTTTTAATATTTTAGTATGATAATTATAAAAGAGATTAACATTATTGTAGAAAGTTTTAACTCAATCTGATAGCTGAGTTTTGAGAAGGAATCTTTAGAAATAGTTATAGAATAAAGCCGCATTTAAACAGAACTCTGTGAATCGGCAAACTCAAATTAGAGCCTGACACAGATGAGAGCTCTAATTTGAGCCTGAGCCTGAGCCTGAGCCTAAGCCTAAGCCTCAGCTCAATTTCAGGTCTCCATTTTCCCAATCGGTAACGCCAACGTAAAGCCGCATAGCGGTTTCATCGTCTACAAAGTCGAGCAGCCGTTCAATTTGTGCGAGTACACATCGGTGAAGGGATTGGCGAGGAAAAGAAGGAACTACGATCAAAACGATCACGAGACTGCGCAATTCATTGACAGCTTCTTGAAGGTGGAGTAAAAGAAAATTTGAGCATTGTGTCTCAATGACTTAACGACGAACAATATGATGTTGGAGCCAAGCATTTCCGAGCTCAAAACCTACGTAGCTCAGGTCTAGATTTATGCAAGAATTATATCTGGATCAAGTTTCTAATTTGGCTTTGCAACATTCCCAATTATTAGGTGACTCAATAAGTAATTAGCCTCTCCTTTATTTACAATTTTGCAAAAGCCAAACGATAGATCTTTTTAATGTTTTAGTATGATAATTATAAAAGAGATTAACATTATTGTAGAAAGTTTTAACTCAATCTGATGGGTGAGTTTTGAGAAGGACTCTTTAGAAATAGCTATAGAATGAATCAGTGGAGAAATGATAGCTATAGAATGAATCATTTCTCCACTATCATTTAAAACCCAAGCATCAAATTGGAATGTATTAGAATGAAAATTTCTCAGATAATAAGAAAAAATTCATTCTAAATCTTCCAAAGCTTTTAGAAGGTTTCATTGGTTACTTTGAGAGAAATAAGAAATAAAACTTTTTGTTTGATTTGACAAGATCTCAAGATCTCTAAGACAAGTTGTCTCCAAGACTCTTGCAAAGGCGTGGTCGTATTGATGGGTAATCGTTGTGTCAAGATCAAGCTTTCCCCCCACTCACATCAATATGACTAAGCGTGAAGATCTCAGAGAATATTTGTGAAAATAAATGGAGATGATGAAGAGGTGATGGGAGAAGATAAGGCAGAAGATAAGGCAGAAAAGTGAGCAAAAACAGTTGTACATCAATATAAAGAGTTGTAGGCTGTTCAGTTTCTAATTTTTGCAGATCAAATCAAATTTGAAATGACTAACTTGTTGATAGTCAAGTCTAGAATTGAATTGAATTGAATTGACTTCAAATTCATTCCTATATAGCACTAATATTCTATTGATAGTAAAGTTTTGTATTTAAATCCCAAGCCTCTCTTGACCTTGTCACCTTTCATTGCCATTTCGAAACTCGAAAAGTTGTGCTTCGAAAAACCAGCTCGGAAACAAGCAACGAGTATTCACGAGTTAGCTCTTTGTCTAGCTCTTTAGCTCTTTCCTTCTATTCCTGTCTATTTCTATCTCTTTCTCAAATTCTCCAAAACTATCCATTCTTTCGAAATCCCTCTTTTTCTCAATCACAGCTCTGGCAGTCTCGATTGGCAAGCATACAGAGCAATGGGAGAGAGGATTGGTTGAGGGAAAGGCGAGAGACTGGAGGGACCGGATCAGCCGAGGTCTCCTCTTTGGACCCTCATCCCTTTCACTTCAATGTTCCCTCCATCAAACGTTTTTCTGTTTTCTATTCTTCTCCTCCTGTCCCTCTTTTTCCTGATGGGATAAGACCCAGTTTTATTGATTTGAAAGTCGAGCCAATTTTCTTGGATTTTCGGTACAATTCTTGCACAAAACTCGTCTTTCTTGTCTTTCAAGGTCTTTCAAAGTCTTTCTCGTTCACTGGACTAAACTGATCTTTGTTTCTGTAATTAGCCTAATCGTTAGATGAAATTTTGAACTAGTTCAATCATAGTCTTGGTCGAACTAGGTCGAACTAGATCAATTGTTTTAAACTAGATCAATCGTTGGATGATTTTGGCTTGATTTTGGCTCTGCTTTTGGCTTGATTTTGGCTCTGCTTTTGGCTTAATTTTTCTCCAAAACTGTCCATTCTTTCAAAAACCCCCTCTATTCATTTTCATTTTGAAGATCAATCGTTTAAAGCTTATAGAAGTTCTACAAGATCTACAAGTTCTACAAATTCGACTGTTTGTTCGCAAAACAATTTGTTCTCTGTTTTGAAAATCAATCATAAACTATTGCTTAAAGTTCAGAAAGTATTTGGTACTCAACTAGGGAATGTCAACAGGTCGTGGTGACCAAATGACATAAGCCATAAACTAACCGACGTCAAATTTTGCGCTGATCCGTTTTTGCAAGGCAGCACTCTAGGCTAGGTAGGCTCAAAAGGTAGGCTCAAAGTTTTGTATGAAAAAAAGATGACCCTGAGTTTATAAATTAATTTACGAGAGAGGAAAAGATGTCCAAATGTAGTGATTATTGTTGGTTTAGATATAATCTTTATTACAGCGATAAGAGTTGGTTCAGTGCTTTGAGATTGGGAGAGTAGAGACACTCCACGGCACACGTCGGCAGCTCGTTCACATTGCTTTTATACGGAACTCAGGCTCGTCGTCTTGGTCTCGTTGGTCTCGTCTTGCACACAATGGAGTTGAACGGATAGCGACGCATATTAAATCTCGCACAATAGGCGTTCGTCCACATAGGTGCCTAGCTGGCCATTTCCATACGTGGCGATCTCGATCACGAGATCGTCACGATACCGACGTCAAATTTTGCGCTGATCCGTTTTTGCAAGGCAGCACTCTGTCAAAAGGTAGGCTCAAAGTTTTGTATGAAAAAAAATGACCCTGAGTTTATAGGTCAATTTACGAGAGAGGAAAAGATGTCGTGGTGGCCGAGTGGCAGTAGGCTTGAGGACGAGACTCGAGGGTTTGAGTCCGAGTTCGTTTTCTTTGAGTTCGTTCCTCTTTTGTTCTTGTTTCTTTTAGCTTTGAATGGTTTGTTGTCTGTTTCAAGTAGAAATTGCTTTTCTAATTGATTGATTGATTTTCTAATCATAAAACAATTACTTTTAACTTTAAACAACAATCATTAATAAAAAAAGGACATCTTCGTTTACCCAACCAATTGATCGTTTACGTAAACAACTCGGATTGGTGAATGAAACTAAAGGAAAACTAAAGGAAACAATCATTAATAAAAAAAGGACATAAAAACAGCAAAAGTTCAACATCGATAACATTGGGAATGGTCGATGAAATGGGAAAAACATAATTCCACGCAACAACGAGCACAAGACATAAAAGTCAAAGATGCATAGTTTGTATCCTGATAAGGTACGGCTTTAAATTTGAAACAAATCATTTGAAGAATCGAATGAAACTAGCGGAGTATTTGGGTAGCTAATTTTGATCCGCCTTTCATCCGCTTCACCTAGCTTTCATCAGCTTCACCTAGCTTTCCTCAGCTTCACCTAGCTTTCATCTGCTTCACCTAGCTTTCATCTGCTTCACCTAGCTTTCATCTGCTTCACCTAGCTTTTATCAGCTTCACATAACTTTCATCAGCTTCACATAACTTTCATCAGCTTCACCTAGCTTTCATCAGCTTCACCTAGCTTTCATCAGCTTCACCTAGCTTTCATCTGCTTCACCTAGCTTTCATCAGCTTCACCTAGCTTTCATCTGCTTCACCTAGCTTTCATCTGCTTCACCTAGCTTTTATCAGCTTCACCTAACTTTCATCAGCTTCGCCTAGCTTTCATCAGCCTCACCTAGCTTTCATCAGCTTCACCTAACTTTCATCAGCTTCACTCTAACTTCGTTTACCCAACCAATTGATCGTTTACGTAAACAACTCGGATTGGTGAATGAAACTAAAGGAAAACTAAAGGAAAACTAAAGGAAAACTTCGATTTCATGCATTCTTTTCTCTCAAAAATAAGATCGATCACGTAAACATTGTGAGTTTTGTCGACAAAAATACCGTTTATGTTTTCTTTTTCTGAAATGGGCGGGGTTTCCTCGTGGTTCGACTCTTCAAACACTTCTTTGAACTATTGACTTAAAACTTTAGCTGAAATCTAGTAGTCCATATTAAAAATTACATCGTAGACTTGTTTTTCTCAACTATTTTAATCCTTTTGATCACGCCAAATGTACAAGAACTTATCTTGTTTCAGCGTGGAAATAATTTGACCTTGAAATGTGCTCTTTTGCGTATAATATTTCGTTCGTTTCAAACTTTTCGATCTATAAATGTATCTAATGTTCTATTTATAAATGGATTTATTTGTAATATGTATTTTCTGTAATTTTATGATTTCCAGATTTTTGCCCAAATGCGATGGAGCTGTTTACCTGGTTGAAGGGGAAACTCCTCGCCGCGTTGCACGCATTCAAGCAATGGTAAGTTGGATGGCTTTACCGATTGGTAACAGATCTGTTTATCGATCGATCTGCTTATCGATCGATCTGTTTATCAATCGATCTGTTTATCGATCGATCTGTTTAACAATCGATCCGCTTGTCGATCGATCTGTTTATCTGTTTATCGATAAGATTAGTGTCAAATTAAGGAACTAGATTAAGGACAAAGCTCTGACTCAGCTCCGAAAAATTCAATTTTTTGACGCACTTTAATAACAAAAATAACCACAATTATTCCTCAATGTATAACCAATCATTATCTGTTAGCGATCTTGCAAGCTTTCGGATCTGATCGAATGACCACTCCTTTCGAATCAAATCTCAAGTGCTTGAGAAATGCCAATTCCAATTCGGCTTGCAAGTCACCATATATCAATTCATTCCAAATAATTTCCATTATTATTGACGACTTCTGCCCATTTTACAGGCAATTTGTAGATTCCTCTTTCGGATTTTGGTTTGTGTGTGAGACAAGTGTGAGACTCAAGAATGGAGGACTGGAGATTTCAGCTGTCAGCCCAGTTTGAGCACTTTCTTCAAAAGAAACCCATTTTGGTGTCAATAGAAAAGTTGTAGAGAATCAAAAATTAGGCTTATAGCCAAATTTCCAAAAAGATACACTTAGTAGTTTCGCTTAAAATGCAAGTTTTGTTGCAAGCTTTGTGAAAATTCGTAAATTTCGCATTTCTTGAAAACCAGTTTTTGAACCGTTCTCAAAATTTGGATATAAGCTTAATTTTTGATTCTCTACAACTTTTCTATTGACACCAAAGTGGGTTTCTTTTGAAGAAAGTGCTCAAACTGTGACATATGACAATAGCCCGCAGTTTTCAATTCACCAACCCAATATTTAACTCTTTAGATCCTCAAACCGACATAACCTTTTCTTTCATTCAAATTTAAGAAGTTAAAATTGTCAAAAGTTTCTTCCATTTAAGTTAAATTCCATATTTGCTTCATATTTCTTTTTGCAACCTTTCTAAATTGCAATCTTTTAGTCTTTAGAAAGAGTTTTTCTCATTCAAACTTTCACTAGCCGTTTACTGAACCCATTCACGATCTGATTTCTGCAAAACCCAAACTGCAAACCAAATGAAAACTCCATTTTGCAACGATTTAGGATTTGTATGTTCTATTGTGACGTTTGGGTGTTATTCTCTGAAAAATTGAGTGAAAAGGAGAGGAAAACTGGCGGTGACTCATTCCTGTCGTTTGTTTTCCGTTTTCCGTTTTCTGTTTTCTCTTTAGTCTTTTTCTTGACCTTTTTGCACAATTGTAGGATCATTGGGAGTCTTTTTTATGGAAATTGACTATAGTGACACAATCAGAGACAAAAACTGAACTGATTGAGTGATCAAGAGCTATAAAATAACTGATTGAAAATTCGATTGAGGTTATAAAATCACTTTTAGACTTGTAAAGCTTTTGAAAGTGAATTCCTAAGGATTGAATGGCTTTGAGGATTGAATGATTTTGAGGATTGAATGGTTTTAAGTAATGAATGGCTTTGTATTGAATGACTTTGTATTGAATGGCTTTGAGTAAGCTTTTTAAGCTTTGCAAAGTCTTACAGAACTTATTGATATTGAAACTATATGCAAATTACTCTTTAGATTTCATTCTTATTTACTAAAAGAGTCAGCTGAACTCTTGATCCATCTGAAGCTCATTTGAACTGTTCCGGCATCTAAGAAATTCAAAAACTAGCTTATCAGATGGAACAAGATGCTATTCTTGATCCATCTGATCCATCTGATCCATTTGATCCATCCATCTGATCCATCCATCTGATCCATCCATCTGATCCATCTGATCCATCTTATCCATCTGCTTCATCCATCTGATCCATCTGCTTCATCCATCTGATCCATCTGATCCATCTGATCCATCCATCTGATCCATCTGATCCATCTGATCCATCCATCTGATCCATCTGATCCATCTGATCCACCCATCTGATCCATCTTATCCATCTGCTTCATCCATCTGATCCATCTGCTTCATCCATCTGATCCATCTGATCCATCTGATCCATCCATCTGATCCATCTGATCCATCTGATCCATCCATCTGATCCATCTGATCCATCTGATCCACCCATCTGATCCATCTTATCCATCTGCTTCATCCATCTGATCCATCTGATCCATCTAATCCATCCATCTGATCCATCTGATCCATCTGATCCATCCATCTGATCCATCTGATCCATCTGATCCATCCATCTGATCAAGAATAGCATCTTGATTCATCTGATAAGCTATTTTTTGAATTCCTTTGATCCTGGAGCAGTCCAAATGATCTAGAAACATTCCATTCATATTTCCAAAAGCCAATCCAGCATTCCATTCATATTTCCATTTCGCTTTTCCCGTTTAGAAAAAGGAAACAAGAAAAAGGAAATAACAAGAGTGAGAAAGAAAAGAGAAATTCCTGAGAGACAGGAATTCCTCTTTTCATTGTTTGTTATTGTTCTTAGTTCCCAATCAGTTCCTTTTTAAGTAAACCAATCGTTTAACGGAAAGCAGAATTTTTAGCAAAAAAAATAAAGCTAAATAAAGCTATATTTAAGGCTAAATTGATCACAGAAATTTGGGCATAGTGACGCCCAAAAAGCATCAAAAATTTCAGTTGCTCGTTTCGGCCTCTTTTGCTTTGTAGATGATACAAAAAGATATTGAGGTGTAAATTTGTAGCCAAGGGTTTACGGGGTCGGGGAATCGATTCGAGCTATTCATTTTATTGAGTCAACCAATGGGAACATTGATTGATTGTTTGATTGTTTGTTTGGTTTGTTTAGTCTAAAATCTTAGATTTAATGAAAATCGGTCTTCCTCTTCTGTAAGCAACTCTTTTAAGATAAAGCTTCCTCTTCTGTAAGCAACCCTTTTAAGATGAAGCTTCCTCTTCTGTAAGCAACTCTTTTAAGATAAAGCTACAGAGGGATTTTTCAGCTCTTGTCTGTTTTCTGAGACTTTTGGGGAATTCCGGATCTTTTTCTGGCCATAAAAATTGTATTTATTTTTGCTTAACATATGGATTTTTGATTTTTAATTGTAATTTATTATTAACAAAGACAGCTCACAAGGATCTAAAGCCAAAATACTGAAATCGTCTAGGAAAAACGAGACGAATCTCATTTAGAAGACTTTGTAAAAGAAAATTATCAGAACGAGTCTTACATAGGGTCTTTCAATAAGTCTTTTTTCATAGCTAGGATCCTTGTCATAGTGAACGATAGAAAGGATTCTTGCCATAGTAGACCATAGAAAGGATCCATAGTGAACCATAGAAAGAATCCTTGCCATAGTAAACCATAGCAAGGATCCTTCCCATAGTGAACCATAGAAAGGATCCTTGCCATAGTGAACCATAGAAAGGATTCTTGCCATAGTAGATCATAGAAAGGATCCTTCCCATAGTGAACCATAGCAAGGATCCATGCCATAGTAAACCATAGCAAGGATTCTTGCCATAGTGAACCATAGAAAGGATCCATAGTGAACCATAGCAAGGATCCTTCCCATAGTGAACAATAGCAAGGATCCATGCCATAGTAAACCATAGCAAGGATCCTTGCCTTAGTGAACCATAGCAAGGATCCTTCCCATAGTAAACCATAGCAAGGATCCTTCCCATAGTAAACCATAGAAAGGATCCATAGTGAATCATAGCAAGGATACTTTTCAACTTTATCTTGCTTTAATTCTTTCCTAAACAAGCCAAATTTATTAAAATATTACTTATTCTTTGATTTTCTTGAAGAGAAAACAATGGAAAGAAGAATTTTGTGAGTTTAGTTTGAGTTTGGTACTAAAAGGGAGTTTAGTTTGTAAGCTTGATCACTTGTCACTTCAAACGCTTCTTTGAACTCTACTTGTATTGCTAACCTAGTCACAAACTCTCTGATTCAAACCTCAAACCTTCTGATTAGTCTGGTAAATAAGCAAGTCAGAATAAGCAAGCAAAAGACAAGAGAAGATTCGAAGAAAGGGAAAAGAGAGTTGTTCATTCACGCGCTTTCCTATTTGTGCACTCTGCTCTCCTCCCAAGACTTTCCCCCATCGTCTCGACCAAAAATTTCCCCCGATTCTCATCGATTCTCTCAAATTCTCCAAATATTGTCGTATCTACTTGATCATTCTCTTGATTTTCTCCAATCTCAATCAATTCTCTTTCTTTCTTTTCTCATTCTCTCGCGTACCATTGATGGCCTTTCCTGGAACGATTTGTCTCCTCGTTTTCCGTCAAACTATCGATCATGACTTTTGTTTGTTGTTTGTACATATTTTCTTATTAATTTCAAAGTTGATTTGATTTTTAGAGCTTTCTTTTGAAAATTTTCATGTTTAGAAACTGTTTAGTCACCTCAATTCATTTGTTTAGTAACCTCAATTGCTAATTTTATAAAATAACAAAGTAAATAGAGAATGTCTAATTTTTGATCTGATAATAGCTTGGGTTTGGATAATAGTTTGGCTAAGAGCTTGGCTAAGAGCTTGGCTAAGAGCTTGGCTAATAGTTTGGCTAATAGTTTGGCCAATAGTTTAGACAAGAGCTTGGCTAAGAGCTTGGCTAAGAGCTTGGCTAAGAGCTTGGCTAAGAGTTGGCTAAGAGCTTGGCTAAGAGCTTGGCTAAGAGTTGGCTAAGAGCTTGGCTAAGAGCTTGGCTAAGAGTTTGGCTTTTAAATCTTTTTTCAAAACCTGAATACCTTGTATCCTTTCCTAAGCTGCTTGAGCAAAAAAAAACAAAAAAACTTTCGTACTACAGAGTGCAGCAAAATTATGCTTATTGTTGAATTAAAAGAAGAAAAAGAAGAGAATTCTCTGAGTGTTATAGATCATTTGAAAGCTCCTAATGAATCCTACAAAATAGAATAGCTGATTTAGCTAATCTTGGAACAATTTGTGCCAATCTTGGAGAAATTTAAGGACCTGAACGTCTTGAACTGAAGTAAAAATAGCGATTTTCAACATTTCTCTACAACATTCTAGATGAATTTTTTATGATTTATGATGATTTTTATAAGGTTTAAAGGTTTCAATTTCTACAGAATGCGGCAAAATTATAGAACGGATGCTTTGATGAATTAAAAGAGGAAAATCAAGAGAGTAGTTTGAGTGTTATCTATCATTTGAAAGCTCTTAATGAATACTATAAAATAGAATAGCGAAATCAACAATTTGTGCCAATCTTGGAGAAATTTAAGAACCTGAACGTGACACTCCTGAAAAAGATGAATTTCTATTTTAACGTCAACTAGATTAGGGTGATGGGAATGAAACCAGCGCTCACATATCTTTTGAAAAATAAAAGGATTGAAAGCCGCCAATAAGTGTTGTATACTGTTCGAAAGCCCTGAATCTCCTCTAAAAAATAGAAAAAAAAAGATTTTGAATTGAATTGATTATTGAAGGCTTGAATGATTTTTAAGTTGAAAAGGTCAAAAATGACTATTTTCTGTGTTTCTGATAATGGCCATGCTCGGGTTTTCCGTTAAAAAAGGCCACAAACGGCCATTTTAACTTTCGATTTTAGGCCAGAATAATCTCCGTTATTTTGCAATGTTTGAGCCCGTTTGGTTGTTTGGTTTCATGGGTTTCTTGCTGCCCCTACGGACCGAAATCCTTGGGATGAATCCAAAAATTCACAGCGGCTCCCTTCAGCACCCTTTTACGGGCACTTGGGATCCCATTTCGACCGACAGAGAACCCGCCATAATGGTCAAAATGAGCCGGAACTGGGTTCGCCAGTTCTACAGCCGAGGTTAGTTTTGGGAAGCGGTGACCACATGGGGCAGACAACGGATTGGTTACCGGATGACCCAAAATGGACGCTTCCGATTGTAGAGATGAAAAGGGAACTATATGTGGAAACATAGGATGCTAGAACGAACGCGATTGTGCTCGCGCACAGAGAACAACCCTGCAATCTTCTTTGTTGCATTTTAAAGTTCAAAAACTTCAAATTTTCGAACAGAAAAATTGTACCCGGGGTTTCCGGGGTTGGGGAATCGATTTGACAGTGTTAGTTTTCATGCTTTTTTTGTCCAAAATCAATGATTTCAGTACATTTCTGGTTCTAATTATAATATAAACAATATCTTATCTCTTCTTTGCAGCTTTGTAGCTTCAATTCAAAATCTTTTTCTACTATCTTTTGGAGGAGATGTCTCTCAAATCTCTCATGGCTTTCAAACAGTATACAACACTTATTGGCTGAGGCTTGCAATCCATTTTTGAAAGATCTGTGAGCGCTGCTTTCATTCCAATCACCTTAATCGTTATGTTAATGATTATGCATTAAATACAGAAAAAACCTCATCAATTAGTAAATAAACTTCAGAAAAATTTCAGAAAGTTCTGCTAGAAAAGTTCTGAAAAAAGTTCTGATAGAAACTGAAAAAAAACGTAAATATTGAAAAGTAGTGTCTTGAGAGAAACATTCAAGTGTTCAAAAACAGTTTTTAACATATTAAATCTAAAATTTTCAATAATTTTGTTAAAACATACTTTCAAGACTTTAAAACGAATACTTTGAGAATACAAAATAAAGTTAAATATGTTTAAAATCGCTATTGAAAGTCGCTATGAAAATCGCTATTATCTCAGTTCAGGAGGGCCACGTTCAGGCCCTTAAATTTCTCCAAAGATTAACACAGATTGTTCCAAGATTAGCTAAATCAGCTATTCTATTTTGTAGTGTTCATTAAGAGTTTTCAAATGATAGACAACATTCGAACTAATCTCTTGATTTTCCTCTTTTAATTCATCAAAGCATCCGTTCTATAATTTTGCGGCATTCTGTAGAAATTGAAACCTTTAAACCTTATAAAAATCATCATAAATCATAAAAAATTCATCTAGAATGTTGTAGAGAAATGTTGAAAATCGCTATTTTTACTTCAGTTCAAGACGTTCAGGTCCTTAAATTTCTCCAAGATTGGCACAAATTGTTCCAAGATTAGCTAAATCATCTATTCTATTTTGTAGTATTTATTAAGAGCTTTCAAATGATAGACAACATTCGAACTAATCTCTTGATTTTACTCTTTTAATTCATCAAAGCATCCGTTCTATAATTTTGCGGCATTCTGTAGAAATTGAAACCTTAAAACCTTAGAAAAATCATGTCCTTATTTCATCTAGAAAATCAAATCTTTGCTTAAAATCAAATTCTACATCCAACATTTTACGCATTTCACTTGCAGGCTTGTGATGGTGTTGTGCTGCTTGCCGAGTGGCTCAAACGAAGCCGAGGCGCAAACAAAGGACATCGAGCGACAATTGCATAAGGAGAAGAAAAAGCTGAGGCAACAGGTAAAAAGATTTTCATGTAATAAGCCAAATTTTCATGTATTAAGCCAAATTTTCAAGAGATTCAATCATCTAAAAAAATCTCTTTAGGTTCGAATCCTGCTTCTTGGATCCGGTGAATCGGGAAAGTCGACATTCATCAAGCAAATGGTGATCATTCATGGAGCCGGCGAATTTACAGCTGATGAAGTGAGGTCATATCGACAGCAAATCTATCAGGTATCCTTCTAACTTCTTGGCTTTATGGAAATTTGGGTATTAGAATGTGATTTCGGCAATGAGAGTTCTCGTCGATGCAAGACACAAATTGGGATACGAATTCGAAAACAAGAGCCTTGAGAAACGGTTGCCTGTTCTGATGACGTGGGTGTTAAAAAGTAACCGCAGGCCGAGTGTCAACCTGAGGTGTCAACCTGCGCCTGTTGGCAAATATTGCTTCCATGGATCTTTTAGCTTGAAGCTTGAAGCTTTTGTCAGTATATTAAGGATCTATTGGGTTGGTGGAAAAGTCCTTTCGAATTTTTTGGGAGAGTACCTTAAATTTGTCCAATTTTGACGTTTTATAGCTCATCCTAAAGCTGAATTCAAGACGGATCGATTGGTAAAATTACATTACTCAATATTTATAACAAAACTCAAACGACCAGCTTAGATTCTATCGAGATATAAGAATCCAAAGTCGAAAGTACTCGTTTTTTGGTCTAAAATGGAGCTTTTAGATTTAGATTAGCCGAAAAACAAAGATTTAGCTCTAGAAGACGAAGAAACCAAAGGGGATTGGGACATTTGTATGCGACCTTTTTTTGCGCACCTGGACATTTGCGCACCTTTTTTTGCTGGAAAAGGCCTTAGGCAAGGTCGTAGAGCTTCGAAAATATTTCCATATGGGAATCGTATGCTTAGATTCCGAATTTCGACAAATCAGACCTCGCTGACACGTCAAATTTAGGCTAAAAGGCAAAAACTGCGGAAAAGCGTTAAGTTGCGTAGTTTTTGCCTTTTAGCCCAAATTTGACGTGTCAGCGAGGTCTGATTTGTCGAAATTCGGAATCTACGCATACGATTCCCTTCTATGAAAACATTTTTGAAGCTCTACGACCTTGCTTAAAGGGGGGTATTAATCGCGGCCGGGTGACGATAAAAATTTTTTTACGGCAACCACCTGTTTTTTTATTTTAATATCGCTGATTTTATTATAAAAAGAATAAAAATCACCCGGCTAGAGTGATTTGATGGGTTTGCAAATTTTTGGAGACACTGCAAGGCTTGGAGAAAAAAAGATCGTCACTCATCAGACACCTCAGCACAGTCTAGATCGATTGAATTTTAATTGCAGATAAATTTAAAAACAAAATAAAAAGCACAAAAAACAATAAAAATAAATTGTTAATCTATAATTCTTCCTCTTGCTCACTTTCATCTTCGCTCAAGTACAGCAGTTCCTCAAATCGGCTTCCTATCTTATCAATTTCCAGCGCATCTTCACCAGAAGTGACTGAATCTCCTCCACCGTAGGACATCTTCAGCGCTTTAATTGACACAATTAGATCTTTTTTCCATTTGTGGTCGCTTGTGGTTTTAGTTTTCTCAAATAGGTGCCTTTTAGCTGAGGTGTCTGATGAGTGACGATCTTGTTTTTCTCCAAGCCTTGCAGTGTCTCCAAAAATTTGTAAACCCATCAAATCACTCTAGCCGGGTGATTTTTATTCTTTTTATAATAAAATCAGCGATATTAAAATAAAAAAACAGGTGGTTGCCGTAAAAAAATTTTTATCGTCACCCGGCCGCGATTAATACCCCCCCTTTAAGGCCTTTTCCAGCAAAAAAAGGTCGCATTTGTCCAACTCCCAACAAAAGAAGTTCTTTTCTTTTATGTTATTTTGAAATAACCTTGATTGGCGGTATTCAACGATGATCTAACTGGACTATCAAATACTAGCTATATACTAGCTATCGGCTAAGCTAAAGCACAGTGCTTACTTGGCTTTATAGTTTAAAATTCTTCTCTAGGCAATCACTCCTAGTCAATCCCAAGGACTCTAGGCAATCCCTCCTAGGCAATCCCCTTCTCGGCGATGAAAGGGATAAGCACAGAGAAGAATAGACACATAAATAAATTACATACGAATAGAAAATAATGACAATAATAACTAAAATCATTCCAAAATAACAATAGTAACTAAAATACCAGTTTGGCTCGGAGCTGACAGTTGACGGATGTAACTTTTGAGAGTTGTAACTGAAATATTAAAAATTGAAATATATAAATTTCTAGAATCACTATTTCCGATCTATTGAAGGGCATTGATCAGTCGACCTTTGGCGAGGTAGCTCCGCTGATCTCAGATCTTTGGATGGACGCCTCAATCAAGCAAACTTTCGATCAAAGGAATCTCTTTCAAATTGTGAGTTTCGCAAAATTTCACCTTTCAAACCTTCTAACTTCTTAGAAAATTGCTAAAAATTACCCGGAAATGGTAGGTATTTGGAGCGGTAAAGTGGCTAAAACAAAACGCTTTCTTTAGTGAGCAAAAAAAAAAGTGCATGCATATTTGTTTTAAAACTTTCAAATCACTAACAAATTATAAAAGTTGTCAAGTATGCTGTCTGGGTTGGAAATGGAAATGGAAATTTGTTGAAAAGTTTTAAGAGGGTCCGTATTAGGATGGATTCTATATTAGGACCGAAATTCACACTTTGAATTTGGCATCAAGATTTACTAGGGAAAGCTACTCATTGATCTCTCGCTAAGATCAATGTGTAGGATCAATGTGTCTGGTCTCTGGCCAAGATCAATGTGTGGTTGCGGATCTCGGCCCAAGATCACTGAGTAGCTTCGTGTGAGCTTTCGTTTCCGGATTAGATACATTTTACTAAATCGAGTATGGAGATTCATAATCTGAAATCAAAATCTGCAAAATAAGCTTGCAAACGTATAAAAATTGCAAAGCTTGCAAACGAGTTGAAATTTCGAAGCTTAAAGTAGTAGGTAACTGAGACTTGGGGCTGAGGGTGGCTAGTATTGTCGGCTAAGTATTGTCGCGTGCTTGAGCGCGTGTTACTCCTTGAGCTTAGTCCCAGATCTCATGCATAACATACGAAAATGTTGCTAAGCGTCTAGGGAATCTAAATATATGCATCAATTCTTGAGAAAATGACTGTAAAAGATTTTATTGAAATTCTTGTGCTTTCAAAAAACAAACAAATATTGACCGAAGTCAATTCTAAGCTTCTCATACAAGTAGAATCTTTTATCTATTCAGCTAACTCTTAAAATTTTTCATATATTTAGATTCCTTAGAATCTCAGCAACATTTTGGTATGTTATGCATGAGATTTGGAACTAGGCTCAAGGAGTAACACGCGCTCAAGCACCCGACAATACTTAGCCGACAATACTAGCCACCCTGATCTCCAAGTCTCAGTTACCTACTATTGCTACTGTCACTGTCATCGAATCGTTCAGTTGATCAATCCAAAACCCGACTCGATGTTGTACCTAAAAAGAACAGGCTCATTTTCGAGGCTCATATGTAACTGGCCCGGAAATGAAAGCTCACACGAAGCTCGTGCCTTTCCCTATTTAGTTTACAACCTAATCAGCTACAGCTCTATAGAAAAGCATGCTTTTCTATAGAGCATGCTCTTCTAGTAGAATAAATACGGTAGTTTAGTTTTCGTGAGAATCGGTCCTAATTGGAGCCATTCCTTTAAGGGGATAAGTTTTAGACGGATTCGTGCTCGTATTTCTTCAACAATATGTCGAGGGTGGCAGCGCCAGAATTTCAGCCAACAACCAAGGTTTGAAATTGACATAAATGTTAGAAATTGACAAATTGACATAAATTGACATAAAATTTACAAATTAGCATTTAATATTAGAATATTAGACTTCTAGAATAGCAAAAAAGACAAATTAGAATATTAGTCGGTTTTTAATCAAACTTAGGATAACTATTTTAGGATATCTATTTTAGGATATCTTATTCTGCAGAAAGGCCACGAGAGGGATCACCGAGCACATGTTTGAGATTCAAAAAGTCCCGTTCAGGTGAACTAAAATACCCGAATTTTGCTATTCTCGTAAACCAAAAACGAAGAAAGAACAAAGAAAACAGTTTGTTAAAGAGTCTGTGTTTACGAGAGCACAAATTGCACACAGGTTCATGATCTTTGTTCCACTATCTGCTGGATGTTAAAAGCAATGGCAAAGCTCACACTTTGTGTTCACAAATGCTACAAGCACGCTCTTTCTGGCGTTCTAAAGAATTCTAAAATGTGCACTTAATTAATTCTTAATTCTAAAATGTGCTTGAAAGTGTTAAACTTGTTTGTTTATGAAAACATTTGTTGTATGAAAACACCTTGCAGGTTTATTGATGTGGGCAGCCTGTTTAAAAGAGCGCTGTTTAAAAGAGCGCTGTTTAAAAGAGAGCGCCGTTTAAAGGAGCGCTGTTTAAAAGAGCGCTGTTTAAAGGAGCGCTGTTCAAAAGAGCGCCCTGATCAAAAGGGCGCCAATGCAAAAACGAAAAACGCTCAAAAGAGCGCCAAGCCTTAAGTCTTATTAAATTCAACCACTTCAACCCATTCAACCACTAAAGGTAAAGGGGGCCGCCAAAAGAGCGCTGTTTAAAAGAGCGCTGTTTAAAAGAGCGCTGTTTAAAGGAGCGCTGTTTAAAAGAGCGCTGTTTAAAGGAGCGCTCTTTTAAACGGCGCTTTTTTGATATAGTTCCATTAAACAAGATTTGTCTCAATTAACGTATCCATTAAAGAAATTGTGCATATGCAAATTGAATGGGCAAATCTTTTACATGTGAATCGCATTATATGATGAGCGCGTTAACGTTTTTTCACTCCAAGTTTTTCTCAACGCTCAAAAGCAAAAACGCATATCTTCTGAAGCACTAATTTTAACGTTATAAAGAACTTGGAATGACTAGAGTGTGTTCCTCGTGATTAACCCTCCTGCGAGTCTTACTACGAGTCTTACTGCGAGTCTTACTGCGAGTCTTACTGCGAGTCTTACTGCGAGTCTTACTGCGAGTCTTACTGCGAGTCTTACTGCGAGTCTTACTGCGAGTCTTACTGCGAGTCTTACTGCGAGTCTTACTGCGAGTCTTACTGCGAGTCTTACTGCGACTCTTACTGCGAGTCTTACTGCGACTCTTACTGCGACTCTTACTGCGACTCTTACTGCGACTCTTACTGCGACTCTTACTGCGAGTCTTACTGCGAGTCTTACTGCGAGTCTTACTGCGAGTCTTACTGCGAGTCTTACTGCGAGTCTTACTGCGAGTCTTACACAATCTCATTTCTCGTATAAGCTAACAAAATTTCAGATGTAGTAAGTTATTTGAGGTTTTGAAATGGGTTTTTATAAAAACACCTTGCAGGTTTATTGATGTGGGCGGCCAGCGATCACAACGACAAAAATGGTTTCAATGCTTCACGGACATCACTTCAATTCTCTTCATGGTGGCTAGCAATGAATATGATCAGGTAGATCAATTTTCATCAATTTTCATCAATAAATCGAAAAAGAATTGTAATTTTACAAGAAAAAGACAAATTTATAATATTATAATTGTTTGTCGGTTTGTGTGTGTCTGTTACCAAAATTTTACTTCACCAGTTGCGTTTTGCAGAAAGTAAACCATCAAGGTAAGTAGTAAACCATCCATCAAAGACGGAGAAATGGTCAGATTTTTAAAATTCTTGATTTCAGATATGTAATTTTTGATATTATATATGTAAATTTCTAAAATTGAATGTTTTAACAGTTTGACAAGTTTTGGTAGAGTTTTGACAGGAAAGGAGAGCTTTCGGATGCTAATTTTTATGGTTCATGCAAATTTTAGCAAAAGGAACTATAAAGGAATCATCAAGGAACTATCAAGGAACTTTAAAAGAATCAAATAGGAACTATAAAGGAACTATAAAGGAACTATAAAGGAACTATAAAGGAACTATAAAGGAACTATAAAGGGACTATAAAGGAACCATCAAGGAACTATAAAGGGACTATAAAGGAACCATCAAGGAACTATAAAGGGACTATAAAGGGACTATAAAGGAACCATCAAGGAACTATAAAGGGACTATAAAGGAACTTTAAAAGAATCAAATAGGAACTATAAAGGAACCATCAAGGAACTATAAAGGGACTATAAAGGAACTTTAAAAGAATCAAATAGGAACTATAAAGGAACCATCAAGGAACTATAAAGGGACTATAAAGGAACCATCAAGGAACTATAAAGGAACTTTAAAAGAATCAAATAGGAACTATAAAGGAACTATAGCGGAACTTTAAAGGAAAAGCTGCAAAAGCAGCTGCGTAGCGAAGCGTAATATTATATTTTCAATAGGTAATCTTGGAAGATCGACGAACGAATCGAGTGGTCGAGTCTCGATCAGTCTTCGAGACAATCGTCAACAATGTCGCTTTCCAGAATGTCTCTGTGATCTTGTTCATGAACAAGAGTGATTTGTTGATAGGTAAGTGAATCGAATTGAGCTCAAATGGAAATTAACAATGAATTAGCAATGAGATTTTCAAATCAATGTGCTTTTGAAATCAATGTGCTTTTCAGAAAAAGTCCCCAAGTCGGACATTCGAAAGTATTTCTCGGACTTCAACGGAGATCATCGAAATGTAAGGGATGTGCAATATTTCTTGGTAAGTATTAAGCTATCCAGAAAATTAAACAATCAACCGATCACGATCAACCCATTAATAGCATTTAACTGGCTGAAAAAGTTGTTGAAAACTTGAAATTGCATGGGTAATACTTTTGGTAAGGTAAAATCGATAAGTGGTGCCATCCTGCGCCGTGAAATCGCAGTCATTTTCACAACAGAGACCTTGAAATGTTTTAATAAGATTCCAATTGGCTTCTAGAGTCTGTAGCCCAGGCCAAGGCTAGGTTCAAGCCTGGCTTGCAGTAAGATCAGACCAGGACGCCTGGTCTGACCTTATTGTTAAGTATTAAGCTGTTCAGAAAGACTTTTCGTTTCGTTTCATCCTTCCGTTTAAAACCAACAAATCTCCAATCTCCAATCGAACTACGGTTTCTTTCATTAGAAAGAACAATTATTTTTCTGTTTTCACGTTTTCGCTCTTAGAAAGTGGGGTAGAAAGTGGAGCAGAGGACGGGACAGAAAGTCGGGCAGAAAGTGGGCAGAAAGTGGGCAGAAAGTCGGGCAGAAAGTGGGCAGAAAGTGGGGCAATAGTGGGGCAATAGTGGGGCAATAGTGGGGCAATAGTGGGGCAAAAAGTGGGGCAAAAAGTCAGGCAGAAAATCAGGCAGAAAGTCGGGCAGAAAGTTGGGCAGAAAGTCGGGCAGAAAGTCGGGCAGAAAGTGGGCAGAAAGTGGGGCAATAGTGGGGCAATAGTGGGGCAATAGTGGGGCAAAAAGTGGGGCAAAAAGTCAGGCAGAAAGTCAGGCAGAAAGTTGGGCAGAAAGTTGGGCAGAAAGTCGGGCAGAAAGTGGGCAGAAAGTGGGCAGAAAACTTTCGTTCTCGAATTTGCTTGAAAGTGAGCCGAAATTGACATAAAAAGATGAAAAATTGAACAATAAACACTTTTTTTCGAGCAAACCATGGATGAATTAGTGGAATTGTTATTTTTCAAGTATGAAAAGGAACAAAAAGACTTCCTGGACAGCAGAAAGAAAGCCTAATAGAGACAAAAGTTAAGTTAAGTTTAGAAGCAATAAGAATTTGAAGAAATTTGTAAAACCTTGTGTAAAACTGATAGTAAATTGGCTCGAACAATTTAACAACAATTTAACAACAATTTAACAACAATTTAGCAAACAATCATGCCTCGAACAATAACTCGAACATTTTTCCAGGTCGATAAATTTGAACGATCACGAAAAGAGCGACATCGACCCTTTTTCTATCATTTCACAACAGCTGTCGATACAGAGAATATGCGAAGAGTGTTCAGAGATGTCAAAGAAGTGATATTAAAAAGAAATATTGAACAACTGAATATGCAATAAGAAAGATTCATATTTTTTGATTCATATTTTGATAGGTTTTGTTTTTTTAGTAATAGTTTTTTTGTGAGCTCAAGAATGGAGCAATCTGGGCATTTTAAAGAAATCATTGTGACATTCTCAGACTGAGACCTCAGTCTGAGACTCTGGCAAGACTGAGAAATTCATTTTGCCAGAAAGGGTTTCCTTTTTAAGCCTAAAGTACAACAAGATCAACATCTTTTAAGCTCACTATTGCTATAAACAGTTTAATATTACGATTTCCCCATACCAAAGCTCATTTCTCATTTCACTACTTATTCGGATTGTCTCAAAAATTGCATTGCAAAATTGCATTGAAAATTTCTCTTGACAAGGTTTCATTGGCCTCTTTTTTTTTCACAAAGTTTTAAGTTCGAAAAATCACTTCAAATCAACCACAGTACCGGTCTCATTTCCTTTCTAATGTAGCTAATTCAGTTTTGTTTTTTTCATTATGTGATCCAAAAAGATTCTAGTCGTTTACACTGTCATTTTTCACATTCAAATCGTTTATTTATTTGCTGCTTGTAACTTTGTTTGTTTAAAATAAAGATTTGAGTGAATAGTTTTAAAGTTTTTTGAATATTATATAAAAACTAGAGTTCATTTTCACTCAATGTTCGCGATTTGGAGAATCTGATCGCGAACGGTTAGCAGATTTTCCTCGGACATCATTGATTCGTGATTTCCGGGCGCCAGATGGACCTAGATTTGAATACAAAACAATTAACTTGTTCTTTTGAGTTTATTTCTTCCTTTAGCACATCTTTCACAAAAAAAGGTTAAACGCAGTTAGTGGTTTGAATTTAATAAGAGCTTGGCGCTCTTTTGAGCGTTTTTCCATTGGCGCCCTTTTAGATCACAGCGCTCTTCAAATGGCGCTCTTTTAAACAGCGCTCTTTTAAACAGCGCTCTTTTAAACAGCGCTCTTTTAAACAGCGCTCTTTTAAACGGCGCTCTTGAAACGGCGCTCTTTTAAACAGCGCTCCTTTAAACAGCGCTCCTTTAAACGGCGCTCTTTTAAACGGCGCTCTTTTAAACAGCGCTCCTTTAAACGGCGCTCTTTTAAACGGCGCTCTTTTAAACGGCGCTCTTTTAAACAGCGCTCCTTTAAACGGCGCTCTTTTAAACTGTGCTCTTTTAAACGGCGCTCTTTTAAACGGCGCTCTTTTAAACAGCGCTCTTTTAAACAGCGCTCTTTTGATATAGTCCCATTAATCAAGATTTATCTCAATTAACGCATCCATTAAAGAAATTGTGCATATGCAAATTGAATGGGCAAATCTTTTACATGTGAATAGCATGATATAATGAGCGCGTTAACGTTTTTTCACTCCAAGTTTTTCTCAACGCTCAAAAGCAAAAGCGCATATCTTCTGAGGCACTAATTTTAACTTTATAAAGAACTTGGAATGACTAGAGTGTGTTCCTCGTGATTAGCCCTCCTGCGAGTCTTACTGCGAATCTTACACATAATCTCATTTTCTAACAAAATTTTCGTATAAGCTAACATTTTCGTATAAGCTAACAAAATTTCAGATGTAGTAAGTTATTTGAGGTTTTGAACTATTTATCGTCTCCGAACCAGCGCCAGAACAAAGACATCAAATCACTTTAAAAAGTGGTTACACTTTGCTTAAAATTTGGCAGAATGAGAAGTAAAAGAGCACCGTGATCAAAAGGGCGCCAATGCGAAAACACTCAAAAGATCAAAAGGTCCAATTCGGTCGGTGGAATCCGGTCGGTCCAATCCCGTCGGTCCAATCCCGTCGCTCCAATTCGGTCGGTCCAATTCGGTCGGTCCAATTCGGTCGGTCCAATTCGGTCGCTCCAATTCGATCGCTCCAATTCGGTCGGTCCAATCCGGTCGGTCCAATTCGGTCAGTCCAATCCCGTCGATCCAATTCGGTCGGTCCAATCCCGTCGATCCAATCCCGTCGGTTCAATCCGGTTGGTCCCCGTTTTTCGCCCTACCGACTCGGATTCAAAAAACGGGACCAGACTAACCAGGCCCGACCGACCGGGTTCAGAAGATCTCCAGATTGTTTACCCGTTAAATTTCTTATGATTCCGTAAGTTTCTAAACCTTGCCATTTAGCGTTTCTGTCTTCTTCGAGAGTCGCAATCGAGTGAGATAATCCAGTGAACTGATATCATCTAAAACATTTTAACAATGAACTTTAAAAATGTAAAGCTACCTTTAACAAATGTACTTGACTCGAAACGACTTTTTCGAGGTCGACGTCTGGCAGTTGAAGATGAAAGAGATTAGATGAAAGAGATTAGATAAAAAGTGAACAGATTAGATTGAAGCTTGAGAAAAAGATTCTTTTGAAAGGATTCGTTAACCCATTCGAAACTTCTGCAGCGAATAATCGCTGCAGCAAAAACTCAGAAACGGACCGCTGCAGCAAAAACTCAGGAACGGACCGCTGCAGCAATTATTTTCGCTATTTTCATTCAATGAGCTGAGCTATTTTCCTTCAACTAATTGGTTTTTTGCTGTTTTTCAGCATTACATGTATATTCCAATTGTAACAGATCTACAAATTAAGTGGGCAAAAAAGACGTGTCATATTTACCCGGAATCAATGCAGCCTCTGGTTTTGCATTGAAATGTTCCATAATAGCTCTAATCTTATAAAGCCGATCTTCTGCAGGATCCAGTTCATTATCACAAAAACGCAGGTTACGAAGAATAGATTCAAATTTTGCTCTTGACATAATGTGGGACATGTAGAAAAATCCTCCTAATCCAGGCCTGCTACTCCAGTAGTCACGAATCCTCGGTAATTTGACGATTCCCATTTGAAGATACAGAGCCAGGAAGAGTTTGAAAGATTTTGCATCGAAATCCTGCCAGTTTGTTTTCCTTTTTCCCTGTTTATTAGATTCGCCTACTAACAAATTGATTAATTTGTCGCCGATAAAATAAGAATATTAATCGATAGGATCTTGAAAAGTACTGAAGTCAAATCCAAATCGTTCTTCATCAAAAATAAATGGTGTAGGAGACTCTCTTAAATCTTTCCAACCATCTGAATAAACTGCTTCGGAGTCAAAGATTTCAAAAAAAGGCTTGGTCCGCAGACGAAAAAAAAGAAAAAACGCTGCGGTTTCGAATGGGTTAATAATCGAAATTATCGATCTTTGAGGGAAAACTTGAGGGAAAACCCTCTATTTGTATTAATTGTGTCAAATTTGATGTGATACTTTTTTCTTTTGACTATACGAAAAAATAAAAATAAGAATTTGATGTAATCGGATTTTTTAGCTATCGTCATAGCATTTTGTACTTGTGCCAGTGTACTTTGTGCTACTGTACTTTGTACTTTGTACTTTTGTACCCCATTAACCGTAAAGCACCCTGTTTTGATAGGAAACTATTTTAATAAGGCCTCCGTAAGTGCTAACCGTATCCTCAGGTCTATTACCATACCTAACATCAAAACTAACTACTTACTAACTTATCGGATGTGTTTTGTTGCTTATGTCCGCCCTATTCTTGAATACGCTTCGTTGATTTGGTCTCCTTCCCTACTAAATCTTATTCAAAAATAGATCTTCAGCTCAAGATCTTCAGCTCAAGATCTTCAGCTCAAGATCTTCAGCTCAAGATCTTCAGCTCAAGATCTTCAGCTCAAGATCTTCAGCTCAAGATCTTCAGCTCAAGATCTTCAGCTCAAGATCTTCAGCTCAAGATCTTCAGCTCAAGATCTTCAGCTCAAGAACTTCAGCTCAAGATCTTCAGCTCAAGATCTTCAGCTCAAGATGCTACCATTCTTAAAACTTTTGCGTTTCCGTGGATAAAGCTTAAATTCAAGTGTTTCACTAAAAAAAACAGTAAAATCGACCCCCTTTAAATCTTATTCAAAAAATAGAGGCACTTCACCAGAATTGCTCTTTATAAGATTAATTTTGACAAATTCTCCTCCTTTAGTTATTCTGATAGATTGCAACTCTTTGGTCTTGAAACGTTACACCAACGCTGCCTTATCATCGATTTAGTGGAATGCTTTAAAATTGTTAAAGGCATTGCATCCCGACCATCCATCTCTTTTTTCTGGTCTCTTTGAATTCGGCTCTCTACTCCAGAAGCCTCCAGAAGGCCTTTTCTCATACGCCAACCTTCCTTTTCCTCTAAAAGCCCCCACAGTTTCTTTTTTAAACGAGTTATTAAAGTTTGGAACATTTTACCCCCTCATGTTCGTGATATTTCCACCTTGGCTAGATTTGAATTCGGCTCTCTACTCCAGAAGCCTCCAGAAGGCCTTTTCTCATACGCCAACCTTCCTTTTCCCATACGCCAACCTTCCGTTTCCTCTAAAATCCCCCACAGTTTCTTTTTTAATCGAGTTATTAAAGTTTGGAACATTTTACCCCCTCGTTTGGGAGTTTTGGGAGTTTGTCACATTCCCACCTTGGCTAGATTTAAAGCCGCAATTTCGGCAATTGATTTGACTGCTCTGTGATTCTTTCTTGAGGTATCTATTTATCTTTTGGGTGTGTTTTGAGTGGTGTCCCGGGTAATTATTGTCATTTTGTTTTGTCGCTATTCAACTGAATAAAGCATATTATATAAAAGACACAACTTAAAAGAAAGTCAACTTCACTGCTTAAAACAGAGCTTTTATTTCAAAATAGGCAAACGAAAAATAAACACAAAAACGATTTCTTTAAATGTTTGCTTTTTTTTTATTTGCAGAACTTTGAAAAACTTCGGCTTTTGACCTCAAAAACTCGGATTCTTTCACATATTTATCGTCAAACGGCACTTCCTTTCCCTCAAAATCGAGCACTTGAGTGACATATCGAACGACGAGGAAATCAGACTCCTCAATTCTGGTAATTTTTAGAAATTTCTGCTCTTCTTTTTTCATTTCATTCATCGATTTTCGAATAAGATCAGCCGAAAATAAATGTGTTTTAAAATCGCCATCAAAACAAGGAACTTTCTCGTGATTCTCGTAGTTTTCTGGGTGATCGAGGAGGATGTAATAATGATTTTCGTTCAGAAATTCTCGAAAGTAGAACGAGTTGCCAAATTTGACTAATTCGGAAGCCTCGGTTTTCTCGAATTGAGCATAGCTTTCGAATTGAGCATAGCTTTCGAATTGAGCATAGCTTTCCTTTTTTAAACCTAACTCATCACAAAGCCAAAGCCACTCGGATAGATAGTCTTGTTCTTCTTTAGAAGCACATTCATAATAGGGGATCATAAATTTTTCACTAATCGTTCCAGAGAGACTATTTTGGTGATGGAGAGGATATGGATTTAGATATTTCACTGAGCATTTCTTTTGATGAAGACACTGTTGACGTGGAGGATTTCTCAGCTGACAAACGTATCCTGGAATCTGGGCATTGATCGCGATTTTCGAGTTGGAAAGTTGTTTGTTTTTCAAATCTGACGAGTCCAGTGGGACATAACGAGACATTTTTGTTTGAATTTGAGAAATGAACCGGCTTCTGGTCTGTTCTAGAGTCTGGACAACATCGGCGATGTTCATCGATCGAATTGATTCAAAAACAAGTTCCTCTCCAGTGGAAAATACAACTTCTTTACTTTCGACTGACCAATTTTCGGCTTTTTCTTGTCTACTAAAATCGGCTTTCACAAAAAGTTGCTCGCTTTCACTGACAAGAAACCATTCGTCAGCAGTTCGTAAAGAGATGAACGAACGAAAGAAGAGCTTTGGCGTAAGCATGTTTCCTTTATACAAGGAAAAATTGTCGATAATAGCTGAAATTCGTACATAGTTCCAACTCGGCAAGAACGATTCTTGCCAGGCTTCATCGAAAACGAAAACATTTTGGAGATTGTCGAGTTTCTCGTCGTGATCGTTGACGAGTATCGCTTTAAAGTAGTCTCCAAAATCTTCCGGATGATCAAAGATATGGATCATTTTGGGGCAATACTGCCCACCGAATGGTATCTCACAGTTAGCCCTTGCTTCTTCGATAATCGTTGGTAGAGTTTGGAAGAAAACTGATCGTTTCGTTTCATCCAATGACTTCAATTCTGTTCTCAGATGGCGGAAGTGGTTCTCGAAACGAGTCTCCAAACGATCCGCTAGGTTTTGAACACCTGCTAATTGATTGTTTTGTTGATTTTGATACTCATTTTTGGTTAAATCAAAATTTTCCTCAGCCAGCGACCAATTTGTGCCCAGATCGATCGGTGGAATGGAAAGCAAAGCCTCCAAATCGTTGTAAACGGGCACCTTCTCGGTGAAATTGTTGAAGCCGATCGGTCGGAGGAGATCTTTTTGTTGCTCGTCAACAAGTGGATACATATTGGCTTCCTCGTAGCTTTTGATTTCCTAAAAATGAAACTTGTTCAGAAATAATTGTACAATTTTTTAAACCTCCTTCAAGATGATCAATCGACTCTGGAGCTCACGAGCACTGCGCCTCAGGGCTGGGTTGAATTCGGTGCAACTTAAATGCAAAATGCTTACTTTAGACGAACTTTTAGATCAGTAATCTTTCAAAACACTCTTTCAACTTATAAAGTAAAATACAGTAGATTCTCGATAAAACGATTTTGTAATTTTAAAGCACGCCCTTGGTTTCTGCGTAGCTGCCCAGCCAAACGCAATCGTTGGCCGTCCAGGGCAGCTACGCAAGAAATTTGGGGCATGTTTTAGAATCGTTAAATCGAAATTTTTGGTCTCGAGTGAATCGTTAAATCGAGAGTCGACTGTATTAAGTTGTCTCATATGAAACGACCGCGATTTGAACATACCGTATTTTCTCTAATAGCAGTGCACCCCGGCGAGCCGAGTTGGTGACTATTTTACAGTTTCCAAGCTTTTGCAGAAGCTCAACACTCTAATCCCCCACAAGATCTCATCGTCAGCTACATTTCCGGATCCCATATCGATAGGTTCTGATAAGCGGTTGTCGAGATTTCGAGCAATTTAGGCGACGCTCAGTGTGCACTACTATTAGAGAAAATACGGTAACCGTTTTCTCCCGTTTGCCATAGATTTCTTTCATTTTTTGATATGATATAATAGAGACATCAAGTACACTGGTGGTCATATGAATTAGTACCCTCTTGCAAAAAATCTTCTCTCAACGATTGCCCCCCTTAAAAGGCAGCCAAATTCAAAGTGCTAAAAAGCATTTCTTGCTAACAAGCTCTAGTCTCTAAAACCAAAAAAAAATTGATTCGAAATGTTTATTATCTTTTTAAAAAATAGCAAGGACGGAAAAGACACCTCAAAAATGGTGGACAAAAGTATTGACACCTTGCAAAAACAACAGTAAATTTAATAGTCTATTGGCCCTCCTTTGACTTGAATGACTTTTTCTATCCGTCTGGACATCGAGTCAACCAAATTGTGCAAAACTGATGATCCAATTTGATTCCATACAAGACGTAGATAGTACCAAAGCTCGACTTTGGACGAAAAGTGTTTCTCCTTCAATTTCGCTTTCACAATCGACCATAGATTCTCGATAACGTTCAAATCTGGTGAAAAGGGAGGTGCTTTAATCAAAGAAACACCATTAATCGCAAACCAGCCCGGAAATCGTACCCGTCCTCCATTCGAGAGTCTTCCGACAGGTCCCATCATAAGTTTACTTGTGTGAACTGGCGAGTTGTCCTGGTAGTACAACCATCCTTGAGGTAATGTTTTGCTCGCAAATGGAAGTAAACGTTGCTCAAGTATTCCCATGTATTGCTGAGACTTCATGGTTGAATTGATCATCTCAAGTGGACCGACCACATTTCTTGTCATCGCTCCTGCAAGTTGACAGTTATACGAAGAAAACTATAGAAATTCATACCCCAGCACATAATATTTCCACCCCAAATCGAACCGTGGGTTTGATGTACTTGAGTAGTAGCCGCTTTCCAATCGGTCGCCTGATCAATGGAGGTCCATCCGACTGATAGAGATTAACTTTTGTCTCATCAGAGAAAATTACTCGACTCCAATCGTCACTCGTCCAACTTTGGTACCTCCGAGCAAAGGCTAAACGAAGTTTCCTAATCCGAGGAGTCATACGTGGCTTCTTTATTGGTCGTCTAGCGTACAACTTTGCTTTGATGAGTCGCCTCCTCACGGTCCTTGCTGAGATATCTTTGCTGAATTGTGATGCATACAGGCGGCTTCCGTCGGTCGAGGTGAGACTTGGGTTCTTTTTGAATTCCCCTAAGATCGATCGATCCTCGGCAATTGTTGTTGATGGATGTCGACCAGATTTTGCAGCTCTGTGTAGAGAACCGATAATCTTTGATTGTTTGAAAAGTCGTTTCACAGTGCTCTCGCTGCATCCAAATTGTTCAGCCAAATCTGCTGTTTTCATTCCATTTCTTCGACCTTCAACGATCTTTTCTTTGATTGGAGTCAGTAGATACGGCATCTAAAATTAAATATTTTAAAAAGCCATCAAAACATGAATGTAAACAAGAAAAAAATAAAGGAAAAGCTAAGGTGTCAATACTTTTGTCCACCATTTTTGAGGTGTCTTTTCCGTCCTTGCTATTTTTTAAAAAGATAATAAACATTTCGAATCAATTTTTTTGTGGTTTTAGAGACTAGAGCTTGTTAGCAAAAAATGCTTTTTAGCACTTTGAATTTGGCTGCCTTTTAAGAGGGGCAATCGTTGAGAGAAGATTTTTTGCAAGAGGGTACTAATACATATGACCACCAGTGTATGTTAATAATAAAATTTTACGGGCTTTCTGTGGTGGATCGACCAAGGTCAATGTCATGGCCAGGTCCGGTCAAGGATTTGTTCCAAACTCTTTGTATCGATTAGTTGTCTTGTAAACGGTTCGGACTAGCATTTGAACAGATTTTGCAATCTTTGCGGCTTTTCTCCATTGGACTTCCAATGTCCTTCCATTTCTCCATTGGACAAATCGATCACAGAACCACGTTTCTTGTGAGACTTGGCCATATTGAAAAAGAATCCATTTATAAAGAGAATTAACATTAGAAATTCTAATAGAAAAGAGCTTAAAAAACATAAAAACTAAAAAAACAAACGATGTATTTGCTCCCGAAAAAAAGAAACTACGCCATTCGCTATAATCTTGGCACGTTTGGGTATTAGGTACTTGCTAAAAGAAACTGCGGATTACTTCCGAGGACGAAAGTTTTTTTTAATTTGAAAGTGTGATGGTTCGGTTTAAATTGTATTATTATTGCTTATTCATTTTAATTATTTTCACAACTATTGCTATCATTAAATATTACATAATCTTCGGTAGAAGATGACGGATCAAAAACTCATGTTGCGAGCGTGCTTTCTCTATGACCTCAAAATGAAGAAATCAGCATTAAAGTCGCACCGGAGTCTTTGTGAAACATTCGGAGAAAACATTTTGAGTGAAAGGACTTGCCAAGAATGGTTTCGGCGTTTTCGTGAAGGGCAGCTTGGAAGATGGATATTGTCCAGTTGTCTTCGATAATGCGGAGTTGCTGGAGATTGTCGAGTTGGATCCAACTCAAACTTTGCCCGAATTAGCCGAATACTTTAAATGTGATTCGAGCACAATTTCTCGACACCTTGCGCTTATTGGAAAAAGGAATCGTTGTGGCCAATGGGTCCCACATGAATTATCCCCTGAAAACAAAGCCAATCGAGTTTTATGGTCTCGGTTTCTATTGAAAAAGGTTACGGGCAGTGCTTTTTTTGAAAGCATGTTGACGATGGACGAAAAGTGGATATATTTCAATAATTCAACACGCAAAAGACAATGGTTGAGCAAAGGAGAAAGGCCGGTTCCGACATCACATCCAGAACTTCACGGAAAGAAAGTTATGCTGTCGGTCTTTTGGAATTTGAAAGTAATCGTTTATTTTGAATTACGAAAATCTTCAAAAACTATAACTTCTCAAATCTAAGCCGAACAGCTGAAGAAAGTTGATGAAATTCTACGAGAAAGAGGTGTTAATCCAAGGACAATCCATTTACTCGCTCACAATTTCCGGGTACACACACTATCAGCTCCGCGCCAAACTGATATTTTAGTTACTATTGTTATCATTGAATGCTTTGTCTAATCTTATGCAAATGTGTTCTCCTCTGTGCTTATCCCTTTTATTGTCGAGAAGGGGCGGTCCTTAGGATTGCCTAGGAGGACAAATGAGACTCTCATTAGGAGTCCCCCTCCCCCCTTACACTCATTTCTAATCTATTCCTCTTATGGTATTACTGTAAATAAAGATATGTATCTTCCGGGTCTATGCAACTGCAGTACAGGTCGGTCATTTCACAGGGGCTCCCCTCTGATACGTTGGAGGAGTTGAGTTGGGTTGTCGGGGTGTTAGAGATGGCGGGGTATCAAAAAGGGATCCACTCTCTTTAACATAACCCAAATTCTAGTCCACATCCGTTTACACCTAGGAACGTATAACACCAAACTTGGCTCAAAACACCATAGAAGAATTAGGCTGGAAACTTGTGCCTCATCCTCCCTATTCGCCTGCTATCGCTCCCCCAGATTACCATTTGTTCCTGTCTATGCAACACTCTCTTGCAAATCTAAAGTTTAACAATCCTGAAGAAGTCGAAATTTGGGTGCAAGACTACTTTGCATCGCCGGACCCCGAATTTGTCGAATGAGACATCCGAAGTCTACGCAAAAAATGTAAGAACATATTTGATAATAATGGCAAATATCTTTTGGAATAAAGTTATTTTCTTATTGACTTTTGGGTTGTTCAAATGTTGGTTATAATCCGCAGTTTCTTTTGCAAGTACCTAATAATTAAACCGCATGCTGTAAGGTCAAAAAAAAGTATACCTTTGAATGATTTCTCTCAAATTGCGACCACAATTTGCCGCTTTCAGTCTCTCAAGCCTCATAAAAGCGATATCCAGGATAAATCTCTCATCTTCGAAATTCGATATCCCATACTCCGAATAAACTCGTCTAAATTCAAGTTTTATATTTTTTATATAAAAGAAAAGAACCTTCTCTCCACGAGCTCCCATAAAACTAGACCGACTTGATAAACATCGTTTCGGGGAGATGTCTAAACTTTTATAATTTAGTGTAAAAAAAAAAAAACTAGCAGCTACAGTCCGTTTCATATTTCTTTATCCACCCCCCAAAAAAGAGGTTTCATGGATGGAGATATCGCGCTTCATGTTTCATGGATGGAGAGGTGGAGATATCGCGCTATTTTTTGATATTTCGAAAATGATCAAAGATCAGTTATAATGGACACTTGTTAAATGTTATTTGTTACTCAAAATAAAGTTTTATCTTTTTATTAAATTTTTATGGGCTAAAAAGTTTTTCTCCGTTATTTATTGTCACCCTACATTATATGCATATAAGTATACTATATGTAAGGTAAAGTAAAGCAAAAGTATTGTATAAGTACATATACACTATTAAAAAAAGTAATTATTTCGATATCTAAATCAATAATTTAAACTTTCTGCTACATAGATACAGTCCGTTTCATATTTCTTTCTCCACCCCCACCCCCCCCCCCCCAAAGAGATTTTATGGATAATGAGTGGAGATATCGCGCTATTTGCTATTTTCTTTTGCAATAGAAGGGCCACATCATAAAACCCTAAAAACACCGTTTTTGGGTTACTGGATTTTCTCAACAAAAAAAACTAAGAAAGAAGATTCTGCGACCGTTTCACAATTCTTTATCCACCCTTAGGAACTTTGAAAATCAACGCTTATTTGATGTTACTATTCATTTTTTTGCTTTTCTTTATTTGTTTTATTTTTTATAATTATTTGTTGTCATTTTAGGAAATGGGACGTTGGAAAGTGCTTTCCGATTACGAGAAGGGACAGATCGATGCCTACAAGATCAACAAGAAGGGTATTTGAGAAATCGCAAAGCTGTTGGGCCGCAATCACAATTGCATTCGACGTTATTTAAAGAACAAGAACGTAACCGCTCCTAAAAAGAAGACTGGGCCCACATCTCAGCTTAAATCTCGAGCTAAGCGTCACATTGTAAATTCAATTCATGGAAAGTCTATCAATGAGGTCAAAAATGAGCTGAAAATCGATGCTTCTAAGACAACTATCTGGCTTAGACTATCTAAGAGTATCTGGCGTGCCATCAAAGATGTCTAAACTTTTATGATTTAGTGTAAAAAGAAACTAGCAGCTATATTTGTTTAGATAAGAAACCCCTGTGACTTACGAGGTTTTTGTGTTCACGTTTCTCTTTTTCATCAACATTTCTTTCAATATAGGGTGGGCTCATAAAACGAAGAGTGCACATTTGTCGATTGCCCGTGCAAGTCTGTTCGGTCTCGATCAGAGACCCGAAATCGGCGAGTTTCAATACAAAATCTTTTGTCACAAACACGCTGAAAAGAATGGGTTTTTATGGGTTTGTTTTTAATAAATCTTTGTATCATGAATTAATTTAATGCAATTTAAGCAATTTAAGCTCGTATTTTCCTTCTCTTAATTGTTAATTTTCTATAGAGAAAAACTTTAGTAATCAGTCCTATCAGAAATTTGCATACAAACGAAGAAGTTGCTGTAAGTTAAAAAAAAACTTCATTTAAACACATGAACAATAGTTTTTGCTACAGCACGACTTAAGGAAGTGTTCCGGTCCAGTGGCATACCCAGGCTTTAACGATAATTCGATTTAACGATAGATTTACCCCGATCCCTTGACTATCGTTAAATCGAGAGTCGAATGTATGTGGGAAAAAGAAACAAAATTTCCTCTCAAAAGTTACAGCGATCATTCGTTTCATTCGTATGCAAATTCCTGCACAGGTTATGGGTGGGGTGCTAGCAAAAGCGCCAAATTATTTGTACAAAAATCCTTTGCGCCAACTTCATTTGCGCCAAATGAGTCTTTTATCAAAAACACTAGAACCAATCACAAAAATGAGATTTTTTTTGTACTTGATTGACCAAAAATTAGATTATTTTGACGAATAGACTACGGAAACAGATATTTTTTGTGTTTTTCATTTCCCATGTGTTATTTTTTTCGGCGTTTCATTCGGCGCAAATGAAACGTGGCGCAACAAAAATTTGGCGCCTTTGCTAGCACCCCTTATGAGTCCTATCAACAAATAGGCTTTTTTTGAAACGATTTCTGAAAGAATTTCTTTTTGAAACAAGTCAACAAAGTTGATTTATTGTTACGAGCTTATTTTTTCGAGGCACAAAGACAAAAGAACTTTGCCGAAGAACTTTGCCGAAGAACTCACTTTGCCGGCTTGATATCTCGATGAACGATTTGGTGTTTCTCTTGTAGATAAACCAGGGCTCCAAAAAGCTCTTCGCCCCACGTCAAAATGTTGTTAATCGAATAAATGATCTTCGGATCGAAGATAACTGTAAAAATCTTTGCTTTTCGGTTTAGTAAAAAACTTAATAAGAAAATCATGAGAAATTTAACGGGTAAACTCCTATCATCTCCTGGTCCCCCTGGACGTCTCCTGTCATCATCTCTTCCAGACGGCCCCCAAGGTGGCCTTCTATCGTCATCTCCGCTTCTTCCACCACTAGGTGGTCCCCATGGCCTTCTGTCCCTATCCGATCCACCTCTCCTGTCATCTCTATCCCAGCCACCTCTTCCACCACTTGGCCCATCTCCGCCAGATGGTCCCCAGAGACTTCTTTGACCTCCTTGTCCCCAATCTGGAGATCTTCTTGCCCTTACCTCCTTCAACAGTTCCCCGCTCACAATACTCCATTTTTATGCGAAACTCTTGGCTGTATCCAGTGTCGATTATATGCGTTTCGAAACAAGAAACGATGTTTTTATGTTTGAATTTCTCCAGAGCTATGCACTCTTTTTGAACAAAGGGCAGCACATCGTCGTTTTGGCAGAGAATCGATTTGACAACGAATTGTCTGAAAAGATGAGTTTTGCTTTTAAATGTTTAAAACTAGGCTAATCTAAAAGGTTATCTTAGAAAAGCTTAACATAACTCAATTTTGAGGACTTTTAAATGTTTAAAACTAAACTAATCTAAAAGGTTATCTTAGAAAAGCTTAACATAACTCAATTTCGAGGTACTTGTAACTAGACTTTAAAAAATGAATCTATTTCTAACTAGAATATTCTTGTACATTTTTCAGTCAAAGTCGCTTCTTTTCCTTGAAAGAATAAAGCTTATTTATAAAGCTAAAGCTTTTTTTTTCAAAATTCCATGATAAACTTTTTTTTTCCTTAAATTTTTCCATTAACAAAGACGTTATCAAAACTAAAACCCACTGATCCCCATCGAAGAATCGATAAACGTGTCCAAATCCCCCCTTTGCAAGCCAGTTTTCTTCGGGTAATACGGGAATGGCTTTCCAATCCATTAAAACAAAAGTGTTCAATGATTTCAATAAATTCAATAAGAATAAATTCAATAAGAATAAGTTCAATCAGAAAATGATTGCAAGATTTTGTTGATTTCAAAAGAAATCAAGTGATGCCAATTTATTGCGCAACGAAAGGCCCGCCGGGAAGAAAAACTGGTGCTTGGAAAGGATTTCATTTTTTCCCCAAAAATGATCGGCTGTAACGGCTGTAAACAGTTGTCTTATTGGAGTCTTTTTCTTTCGGCATCGAAAAAAATGTTGTTCTTTTTGTTGAAACAAAATTCGGTATAGATTTTGAGGTATCCAAGTTTGAGAAGTTTGAAGTCCAAGTTTGAGAAGAGTTGTAAGTCATATTTCGAACGAAAGGTTTAACAAAGTGTTTAACAGTTTAACAAACAAACAAAACAACAAACGTAAAAAGAAATTCATGTGGATCGTCCCTTTCAACAAAACGACAGCTAGATATGACAAGAAAAAAATAGTTTGAAGACATTATTTCATACAAAAACGAGAAGGGGTATCATACTTTGATTGATGTCGAAAAGGTGATGAAAGAACGCGTCAATCGGTTAGGATTATAAAAAGAGCAACAAAACAAGAGCTTGACAAAGGGCTTCTTCTCACGCTTGACAAAGGAAACTCGCAGTTTCTTTTATTCACCATGTAAAACCTTCGTCCTACCACAATCTGTTTCCGTTGAATGAATGCTGGGAAGGCCAGGACTCATCTACAAACACTGATGATCGATTCAACACTGATGATCGATGAGTTCTCGAAAATTTTATTAAATGCTCTTTATAAGATATTCCTTGGGAGAGACTATTCATTTTTGGCCACAAATTTTGGTCCAAATTTTGGTCTGCTTTGTGGAATAGTCTATCCGTGTCTTTGATGACAAAAAGCCTTCGAAAAAGGAAAACGATTAGTACAATTGACTTCCAGAAATACAAAAACAGAACCCAACAATTTGAAACTTCCATAGCTAAACGAAAGCTTGTTGCAAAGAAGTATGAATCGGTTAGGATTGCTCATTTCTCATTTCACTACTTATTCGGATTGTCTCAAAAATTGCATTGCAAAATTGCATTGAAAATCGCTCTTTTCAATGTTTCATTGGCCTCTTTTTTTTCACAAAGTTTTAAGTTCGAAAAATCACTTCAAATCAACCACAGTACCGGTCTCATTTCCTTTCTAATTTAGCTAATTCAGTTTTGTTTTTTCATCATGTGATCCAAAAAGATTCTAGTCGTTTACACTGTCATTTTTCACATTCAAATCGTTTATTTATTTGCTGCTTGTAACTTTGTATGTTTAAAATAAAGATTTGAGTGAATAGTTTTACCGTTTTTTGAATATTCAATAGAAACTAGAGAAAAACTTCAATAAAAACTTCATTTTCACTCAATGTTTGCGATTTTGAGAATCTGATCGCGAACGGTTAGCAGATTTTCCTCAGACATCATTGATTCGTGATTCCCGGGCACCAGATGGACCTAGATTTGAAAGTAAAACAATTAACTTGTTCTTTTGAGTTTATTTTGTGCTCAAAAGCAAAAGTGCATATCTTCTGAAGCACTGATTTTAACTTTATAAAGAACTTGGACTGACTAGAGTGTGTTCCTCGTGGTTAGCCCTCCTGCGAGTCTTACTAGCTTTACACATAATCTCGTTTCTCGTATAAGCTAACAAAATGTCAGATGTAGTAAGTTATTTAAGGTTTTGAAAAATTTATCGTCTCCAAACTAGCGCCAGAACAAAGACATCAAATCACTTTAAAAAGTGGTTACACTTTTCTTCAAATTGCGCAGAATGAGAAGTGAAAGAGCGCCGTTTAAAAGAGCGCCGTTTAAAAGTGCGCCGTTTAAAAGTGCGCCGTTTGAAAGTGCGCTGTTTAAAAGTGCGCCGTTTAAAAGTGCGCTGTTTAAAAGTGCGCCGTTTAAAAGTGCGCCGTGATCAAAAGCTCGCCAATGCAAGAACGCCAAGCCTTAAGTCTTATTAGATTCTTAATACTTAACATAGCCCTGATTAATATCTATCGAATAAAACGAAGTTTAACCAAATCGGTCAAGTGAGCAGTGAGAAAAACGGAAGAAACGTAGTTTGCCTCTGGCAATGGGAAAACTTGTGGACGGTACTCTGGGGGCCACTTGGGAGCGGTACTTTAAAAGTAGACTTCCAATTAGATATGTTTCGGTCGGTTCGATCTGGTCGATCGCTCGGTCCCGGTTTTTCGCCCGACCGACTCGGGTTCAAAAAACGGGACCGGACTAACCAGGCCCGACTGGGTTCAGGCTCAAGTCTACTGCCAATGTCAAGGCTCCGATACAAGTCTACTGCCAATGTCAAGGCTCCGATACAAGTCTACTGCCAATAATGAATGAAAAGTTGAAATTTGCATAACTACTGTAGCCTTTTTGAAGTGCACGCTTTAGAAAGCGCATTAATCACGAGGAACACACTCTATTCGTACCTCTACTGGTTGATTTGACAACTGCTGTAAACCATTTGATCTCATTGATCGCACCATCTCCTCGGTGAGGTCAGCTCTGGAACTTTAGCCTTTAAACTGAGAAAATAAAGAATTCAAGACTTCATTCAACAGTTCACGAACCTCACGGAGTTTTTCAACGCCGACATCCCCAAGATTTCAGCTTTGAAAAGATGGATCTTCGGCAAATCACTCAATTGATAGTCATGTTCACGGATTAGATCTGGAAAAGTGTCAAAACTAATAAACTAATAAACTAATAACTAATTTATGTAAATATTTCAAATTTACGCCAGTAAACTCAATCGATAATTGTACCTGACAATCGTTGAGCTCTTTGAACAACACTATCGATGTTTGGTACCCCTTTGAAAGTCTCCTAAATCAAGAATTTCAGAACTCTTTTGAATACTTTTGAACAGTACTTTTTGAACAGAACAGTACAGATTTTAAAGCTAAAATAATTCTTGTTGCTTTTCCAGTTTGCTTTAAAGCTTTAAAGCTGACAAACCTCTATAAAATTCGTAACATCTTTCGTTTTTAAAGCTCTTTTCGCCACTTTCCACGTGTCTAGCATGACCACGTTTTGGATCTGAATGATTTCTTGCTTGAATTCATATAAAACCTTTACAGTTTTATTGATTTACGATAACATTTACAATCTCATTTAGCAAATTTCAATTACCGTATTCTCTCTAATAGTAGCGTACCCCGGCGAGTCGAGTTGATGACTATTTTATGGTTTCCAAGCTTTTGCAGAAGCTCAACACTCTAATCCCCACTAGATCTCAACGTCAGCTACATTTTCCGACCCCACATCGATAGGTTCTGATAAGCGGTTCTCGAGATTTCGAGCAATTTAAGCAAAGCTTCGGGTGCACCACTATTAGGGGAAAATACGGTTTTTTGATTGCAGATAATATGAGTCGCTGTAAGAGGATAATGACAGCCAAGAAACGTTGCGTAGTCGTAAAGCAAGCATGGGAACAACTCACAAACAAGTTAGAGCTTCTGAAATTGATGTCTAAGGAGCTCGCTCCTTATATGATGCGATTCACACGTAAAAGATATTCGCTTCATTTATATTCACCTCATTTAATTTGCCTATTTGTTTATTTGGCCAATTTGGAATGACCAAATGAAAAAACATCAGCCGATTTGACTGTTTGGCTTGGCTTGGTTTAGGCTTGAGATTTGGCTGGACGAGTCGGGCACCGGATTCTCTCTAATAGTAGTGCATCCCAGCGAGTTGGTGACTATTTTACGGTTTCCAAGCTTTTTCAGAAGTTCAACACTCTAATCCCCCACTAGGTCTCATCGTCATCTACATTTTCCGACCCCACATCGATAGGTTCTGATAAGCGATTCTCGAGATTTCGAGGAGTTTAGGCGACGATCATGGTGCACTACTATTGGAGAGAATACGGTACATCAAATCACTTTAAAATCAAAATGTTGAATTCTCACGATTGAGATCTATAGCTTAACAATTCAATTTTGTCAAAAGTGTCAATTCAAAAGTTACATTGAATCCTCTTTTGTTCAGTCTCATGATCACTTCTCTCGATAAAGTCCCTCCAAGCGAATGCCCCAAAATGAAAGGTCTTTTTGTGCCGGTGTGTTGCAAAATCTGAAAATATCGATTTCTAAGGTGAGGTAACAAGATTAAAATATTATAGGTATAAACAATTTTAATACTTTTGTATGAATCTGTCCAGAAAGTCTTTTCGTTTCATTTCGGACTTCCGCTAAAAAGTAACAAATTCATCAAACTAATCTATGGTTTGCTCTAGATCAAAAGTGTTTCTTGCTCAATTTCCTATCCTTTTAAGTCAATTTCGGTTCACTTTCAAGCAAATTCGAGAGCGAAAGTTTTCTGCCCCACTATCTGCCTTACTTTCTGCTCCACATTCTGCCCCACTCTCACTGTATTTATAGTGACATTTTCTGCTCCACTACTGCCCCACTTTCTGCCCCACTTTCTGCCCAACTTTCTGCCCTACTATCACTGTATTTATAGTGAGATTTTCTGCCCCACTTTCTGCCCCATTTCGCTAGATCACTTTCAAGCAAATTCCAGAGGGAAACGAAGTGAAAATTCGAGAGTTTTCGTGAAAACCTATAAAAATCTCTACGAAAAAATTGGTTGAATCAATTTCTAAGAAAATTTGGCTATATACCAAACTTTTTATGCTCTATCATTTATCTTGTGACACCAAGATAGGTTTCCTTAGCTAAAGTGTGACTTTTCCAAAGCTAAAGTGTTGGAATCATCGATCCGTCGCCATTTTTGACTACCCGACTTCAGGCTCCCAAAAAAGATCCAAACATAAGACATTTCAAACCCATTTTAATGTTATTTTGCAGAAAAATAATTGGCCTTTCTAATGAAATAAACGGTAGTTCAATTGATGTATTTGTTGGTTTTAAACGGAAGTACAAAAAGCAACGAAAAGACTTTCTGGACACCCAAATACATTTTAATTACTGAGGTATACTAAAAATGGAAAAATTCCAACCCAAACCTAATTCCATCTTTGTTTTCTAGGCCAATTCTTGGTCGATTACGCTGAAATTTTGTCTACCGATAGAAATCAACATTTTCAGCTTTTAGACAAAATTTCAGAGTAATCGGCCAAGAAACGGCCGAGAAAAGAAAGGTGGAATTAGGTTCGGGTCAAGATTTTCCCTTGTCTAAGCTGTATTAGCCAAGTTTTTCTGAAAATCGAGTCAAAGCGAGTCAAAGCGAGTCAAATTTAAAGTCAAATCCTTGCCTTTTCCGTGTAAAGATCGGCGAGTTCATCAAAAGTCTCTGCCGGGTAAGTGATCTTGTAATCAATCGCATAAACGCTGATCTCTTCCGGAAAAAGTCGAAGAAAAGCAAAATACGGGAAGATCGATCCACCAATTGCGTGAATCGCATAAACATTGTATTTCGGATTTTGCGCTTCTCGGAGTGTTGTAATGATTTGAAGATTATTGAAAACTTTTTGATTTTCAATAATTTTAATCGACTGAGCTAGATCGCGAAACTTTGGGTATTTGAAAATGTTTTGGTGATCAATTTGGCGATTCAATTTTTGAGTCAATTCGTCGGCGAACTGAAGGACGAGAAGTGAGTGTCCGCCTTTCTCAAAAAAGTTCTCTCCAAGTCCAACCGATTTCTGTAAAAGTTCTGAAGCTGTTGAGATCACAATCTCCTCAATTTTGTCCAATTTTTCCGCTTTATGACTATCTCGATTTTTGTCTGAAGTCGATTTTCGTAGAGAATAGATGGCCTTTAGCTTTTCTTGATCAACCTTACCATTTTGATTTTTCGGTATCTCTTGTAAATCGATAAAAACAGCAGGGATTGCAGGAGTTGGTAAGGAATTGGCTAACTGAAGAGGCAAAGAATTGGCTAACTTGAGATCTTTTGAAAGTATCTCTGAATTCATAAAGCAAATTAACTCATTTTCAATCTTCAACACAATTGCCACGGTTGCTGTTGGCAAAATTTTGAGCACTTCTTGCTCAACTTGATACAAATCAACTCTTATTCCATTCATTTTCACTTGTCGATCTTTTCTCATGAAATATCTCAGCTTTCCGTCAGGATATCCCATAACTAAATCCCCAGTTGAATATTGATTTTTATCGAAAGCTTTCGATTTCTCTAAATCATTTATATATCCTCTAGCTATTTTTGGTCCTTTCAAAATGAGTTCGCCTTTTTGAAAGACTGAAATTCTACAGTTTCTTGAAACAATTCCCTCTTCATTTCCCACCACTTTTCCCAGAAGTGTTCCAGATTTTTCCAAAGCTTTACACCGATTAATCGATGACCAAATAGTCGCCTCAGATGGGCCATAGATTTGGTAGAAGTTTTGGCCTTTGCTCAATGACTTCTCCAGTCGAAAATCAGAGATTGATTCGCCGCCAGCTACCAGAATCTCGACTTTATGCGAAATTTCATCTAGAATTTGATCTGGCAAAGAGTTGTAGACAGCTGACGGAAGGAATAGGAAATCCGAATCGCCTTTTGAGGCAGAGATCGAGCAGTTGAGAATGGTTTCCTCGCTAATTAGGGTCCCTCCATTCAGCCATGTTCCCCAATAGTTCAACTTGCTCATATCAAAAACGGTGTTGACCGAATGATGAACTCTTTGTTTAGCTCTTAATAGTACTTGTCTTGTCGCATCAGTGATGAAAGCCATGTAATTCTTGTTTGAGATTGGGACAGCTTTGGGGATGCCGGTGGATCCACTTGTATGAATTATATAGAGAAGGTCTTGAGGGGTAGACTTTGGGAAAACTTGTCGAACTTTGGGCTCAATGTTTTCTGCAGGGATTACGGTAGAATTGGCGCACTTTGACTTGATGATTTCTGCAGGGATTACGGTAGAATTGGCGCACTTTGACTTGATGATTTCTGCAGGGATTACGGTAGAATTGACGCACTTTGTCCCAATGTTTTCTGCAGGGATTACGGTAGAATTGGTACGCTTTGACCCAGCGATTTCTACAGGGATTACGGTAGAATTGGCACACTTTAACCCAACGATTTCTGCAGGGATTACAATAGAATTGGCACACTTTAAAACCATCTCCGTCAATCGTTGCTCTGTTGTCGTTGGATCGACAGGTGCATAAGCCATTCCCAGCATTGAAATAGCTAAACTCGTAACAATTGTACTGTTCATATCCGATTGAATAAAAACAACTGAATCTGGCCTTGGACCAGATCCTTTCTTTATCCAATGATATCTAGAAATCATTTGTATCCGATATTGAACAGTTCTCAAAAGCTGATGATAACTCAAGCTTCTTTCGTCTCCAAAATTCTCTATCATTGCGAGATTAGAGCTAAATCTTGTTTGCTTAGGTTTCTCAGCTTGTTTCTCAAAAATTTTACTTGGAACAAGACTTGGGAATTCCTTTCTTTCACCCTTAAACTTTACAAAATCAGCTGATCTTTGTGTGCCCATGATTGCTTTAAAATAATCCTTTCTGAATTCTTCAATCATTGCATCTGGATGAGCTGACACATTGTGCTCAATCATCAAGCGATATCCATTTTGTGTATCATCTATTGTCAACGAGAGATCAAAGACCGAATTCATCGAATTGTGCTCAACCGGGCATTCGGTGTTCTCGATGGAGACTCTCGGGAAATCGAGTTGATGTCTAGAAATGGATTTTTGGAGAAAACAATTTGCACTTTTATGTCAAGATGCATTTAGTCATGACTTTAGCTTGTGGCTTTCTTTGGTTGTTATTGGAAAGAATGGCTATCTCGTTGGTAAATGATTTAACAGTGCGTGAAGCTGAAAGAAAAGAAAAGTACGCCCAGTTCGCCCAGTACGCCCAGTACGCCCAGTACGCCCAGTACGCCCAATAAGCCCAATAAGCCCAGTACGCCCAATAAGCCCAATAAGCCCAGTACGCCCAATAAGCCCAGTACGCCAGTAAATTGACTAGCAAAAGTAGGCTTAGTATTAGGTTTTGCAAAGAATTTTGCAAGAAAGTCTCGACAGATTTGAACTAAAATTTCTTAAGAACAAATCCACCAATTCAAAAACACTTTGTTCTATTATTTACAAGTCGACTACGAGAAATTACTCGTAAAAAATGAGTACAGCTTTCCTTTAAAATTTAAGAGATTTTTGGAAAAGTATTTCGAAAGAATTCATGGCTTGCTTTTTAAGAAATCATCGTGCAAACTTTTTCTATGAACTTTCTTGAAAATATAGACTTAAAACCAAGTACGCCTAAAGTCAGCAAGCAAATTACAAAAGTAGGGCTATTATCTAATAGTTTTCTAGCAAGACTAGTAGTATTTATTGGGTTGGTGAATTGAAAAGTTCAAGAAATGAGAGCAATTAATGAAAGAAACTGACAGAAACTGACAGAAACGGACAGAAACTGAATGAAAGAAACCTGAAATTGAAGTAAACATTAAACAACGGATGTCTTCCTGATCTTGGAACGTTGAGCTTTTGAACTAAAACATGAAAAGGGATTTGTTGAGCTTTCATCGCTTTTGCTACAGCTTCTTTAGCTTTCGGGATCACATTTTCTAGAGTTTCTTGTGAACTCACATCAATCGAGATGACAATATTATTTAAAAAGTATCCAATTACATTCTGCATTTCTTTTTCTTTTCTTCCAGAGACCGGACTTCCAATGATAACTTTCTCAGCTCCATCCTCGTCTTGCCATCTTCTCAAAGTCAACGCCAAAGCGGCTACCATTACAGTGAATTCTGTAGTTTCATAAGTTTTCGATAAATTTTTAACAAAATCAAGAGTTTTCTGATTGAAATAGTATTCTTTTTTCTTGAAATTTGGGGTTGGATTTGAAATTGCTGTATAAGCAATTGTTGAAAGTGCTGTATAAGCTTGTGAATCGATTGCTCTCGTCAACTCTTCTAAATCTTTGGATAAATCAATTTTTCGTTGAAAATTCGCAAAATCCGGTAAAGTTGCTTTATTTCTTAATGGAGTTTGCTCTATTTTATAGCTTTTATGGCTTTTATTGCTTTGATGGCTTTGATGGCTTTGATGGCTTTGATGGCTTTGATAGCTTTGATGGCTTTGATAGCTTTGATAAGCTTTAGATAAAGTGTTAGCGAGTACAGTCATCGACCAGCCATCTGTAACAATGTGATGCTGAGAAAAGGTGAGTTTGAAAACAGGATCCATTCTTCCTTGAATCAACATGCAACAATCGGAGATATCGAATTGATGTTTGATCATTGATTTGATGAAATCATTAGCTAATGATTCAGTAGCTAATTCATTAGCTAACGATTCATTAGCTAATGATTTAGCTAACGATTCATTAGCTAACGATTCAAATGAATCCTTTTCAACCTTTTCAATGACTCTTTCAAAAATCCAATAAAAACTCTCAGTCAATGAGAGGATTTCTTGATAGATTCCATTTGTATCTCTTTTGAAAATCGTTCGTAAACTCTCCTGTTCAGCGATTAATCGTTGAATTGAGAAATTCAATCGCTTAGCTTCGATTATCTTTAAATCAAAGCTAATTGTAAACACTATATTGTATTTGGCTCCAAATTTCAGCTCATACAAAAGATACATATTTTCTTGTGAATAACTAAGCGGTAATCGATTCGTTTTCTCAATAATTTCCATGCTTTTGACGATTTCTTTAGTGGAAAGCACTTTTTCAGTGAAATCTTTAAACATTGGATACTCCATTACAGTATTCTCTGTGACTGTAATCCCCAAATTGTCTCGAATTGCCCAAACGAGTTGTAAAGCCAATAAAGAATGGCCACCAGCCGTGAAAAAGTTCGTCTCATCATCGATTTTCTTTAAAGATAAGATTTTAATCCAAATCTCTTTCAGCTTTTGAATTGGATTGGAATTTGAAGTTAAAAATTGGCTATCATCTGGTATAAAGTCGTCTGATTCCATTTGTATTTGGTCTTTCATTTGGTCTTCCATTCGTATCTTTCCTCTCAATTCCTTTATGATTTCATATCGTAACTGGAATGGATCCAATTTACTCACCGCTACACAACCATCCAAATCCCAGGCTCTCAGAAAAGCTTTCACTCCATCGCTTGTCGAAATTGAGCCTTGAGACAATAGTTGTTTAGCCGAAGATCCCAATTCTGAGCTCATTCCAGAGTTTTTCCAAGAAGGCCATTGAAGGCTTAAAACAGATTTGAAACATTTTGGTGGTTTCAAGGAAAATCGATCACAAAAGATGTTAGCTGCTGCGTATTCGTGTGTCCCTTGTAAGCTCAAAACTGATGAAAGTGAGGATGTGATCATTAGCTTTTTCACAGTAATATCTAACTCTAGCAAAGCTTTACTCAAATTCTCCAAACCTAACACTTTTGGCTTGATAACATTCAGGGAATTGATCCAAGATTTCTCTAGACTTTTCGACGGTTGAACGCCGGCACAATAAAGGAGTAAATCCGGGATTTGATTGCTTGATTTCAGCTTTTTCAGCGCTTCTTCTACTTGAGCTAAATCATTGACATCAACATCAGAAATCGCATAAATACAGTTAAGCTCATTGAGCAAGTGAATCAAATCTTTATTCTTTGATGCATTTCTTGACCAAATCGTTAAATTTCGATTCTTTTGTATGGCTTTAATGAAATTCTTTGCCAAATCACCTCCACCAACAATCAAAACGTTTTTCGGCTCAAAATTTGACTCAAATTGACTCTTCTCCTCAAATTGAGCGTAGTTTAGAGTTTGAATTTGGCTTTCAAATGATCGAAAGATTCTAGAGCTTGATTTGATTTCACTTATTGATAAAATCCTTTCAATACTCAATGGTTTTTCAAGAAATTCAATGAAATACCTGTTTTCTTTTGATGTTTTTAGAATTCTTTCTCTTAAAGGTCCTAGCGACATCCAAGCTTCTGAAAAGCCATCACTAATCACAAAAATCTCCATTTCTCTTGGAATTTCACGACAAAGCACTGCCACAAAATAGTAACTATTCAAGAAATTCTTCTCAAAATTCGCTTTTTCATTCAAGAAATAGATGATTGAGTCGAAATTTTCCTTCTTTAAAGCATTGACGACTTTCTGAAGCTCTCGATCAATATCATTTTCCGTTTCAAGCTCTAGCTTTAGCTCTGTGCCTTCTCGAGTTTTTGCTTAAAATTTTCACAATTTGAAAGAATCAATGGGTTTTTCTTTGAGCTTTTATCGTTAAAATGCACATCTTCCCAAATCCACCTTAACAATTTCAGCTTTTTCATCTTCTTTTCTTTCTTTAACCAACAGATTGATGGCTTAAATTGATAAGTGGGAATCGTTGAGTCAAAGAGATCAATTGCTTTATTAAATCTCTTAAAATCCAGCTCAAATCCGATTGACCACAAATCACAAACGCTTTGATACAAAGAGTCGAACTTTGGATTGTGATTCTTGAAAGTCGGCACGGTTCTAATCGAAAAAATCCCAGCCTTTTGCAATAAAATCTCAGAAATCGAGGCTGGTCCAATTTGAATAACAGCTTTGATTTTATTCTCTACAAACTTTTGTATAGTTTTATCCAATCTTACTGCTTTTCTCATGTGTTTTGTGAGATATTTTTCATCAATTTTTTGAATTAAATCCAAAATCTCTCCATTTATATTCGAAATCACTGATTTCTTTGGAGAATTCATTCGTAGCTTTGAAGCTTCTTCTCGAAATTCTTCCAAAATTGACTCTAGCATGTAAGAATGAAATCCGTGCTGTGTTCGAATCTTCTTGAAATCGATTTTTTGATTATTTAAAGCTTCTTCAAAAGAATTCATAACATTTGGTGGTCCAACGATACAATAGAAATCTTCATCGAGATAAGCTGAGATCTCAGCGCCATCAGGCAACTCAAACTTTCCCTTTACTGCTAACATTCTTGCTTCAGAAGTCGTTTGACAGAGTTCTCCGCGTTTCTTCAAGAAATCGATCATTTCCCTTTCATTGAGACAATTTGCAAATGTGAGAGCCGAGTATTCTCCAAGACTGTGGCCAGCAATGAGATCCGCTTCGATTCCCCATTCCTTCAATTGAGCAGCAATGGCCATTTCAAGGGTGAACAGAGCAACTTGCGAGTATTTTGTCTCATCAATTAGCTTGTTATCAGAAGTTGGGTAGAAGACTTCTCTGAAATCAAATAAAAGTCAATGAAAGGTTTCCAAACCAAAGTTGCAATGGAAACCAAAGTTTCCATTGCAATCTATTCTTTTGTTCAGTAATTACAAATGTTAGCTGATAAATTAAAAAAAAAAAAAAAAAAAAAAAAAAAAAAAAAAAAAAAAAAAAAAAAAAAAAAAAAAAAAAAAAAAAAAAACCCCCCCCAAAAAAAAAAAAAAAAAAAACCCCCTTAAAAAAAAAAACCCACACCCCCCAAACAAAAAAAAAAAAAAAACCCCAAAACAAAACAAACCCCCCCCCCCCCCCAACCAAAAATAAAAAAAAAACCCCCCCAAAAAATTTAAAAAAATCCACAAAAAAAAAAAAAAAAAAAAAAAAAAAAAAAAAAAAAAAAAAATAAACAAAAAAAAAAAAAAAAAAAAAAAAAAAAAAAAAAAAAAAAAAAAAAAAAAAAACCAAAAAAAAAAAAAAAAAAAAAAAAAAAAATTAAAAATAAAAAAAAAAAAAAACCCTAATTTAAAAAAAAAAAAAAAAATTTATAAAAAAAAAAAAAAAAAAAAAAAATTTTTATTTTAAAAAAAAACAAAAAAACATTTCCCCAAAAAACCCCAAAAAAAAAAAAAAAAAATACCCCCCCCCCCCCCAAAAAAACAAAAAAAAAAAAAAAAAAAAAATAAACAAAAAACCAAAAAAAAAAAAAAAAAAAAAAAAATTTTAAACAAATTTAAAAAAATAAAATATTTTTTTTTATATATAAAAAATTTCCAAAAAAAAAAAATCCTCCAAAAAAAAAAAAAAAAATATTTTCCCAAAAAAAAACCAAAAAAAAAAAAAAAAAAAACCAAAAAAAACCCCTCCCACCCCCCCCCCCCATACTTTAAAAAAAAATTTTACTTTATATTTAACTTTATTTATTTTTTTTCAAATTTATTTCCTACTTTAAAAAAAACAAAAAAACAAACAAAAAAAAACAATCCTCCATTAAAAAAAACCACCCACCCCCCCCCCCCCCCCCCCCCCCCCCCCCCCCCCCCCCCCCCCCCCCCCCCCAAACCCAAAACAAACACCCAACAAAAAAAAAAAAAAAAAAAACAACCCCACCCACAAAATTTAATTCAAAAAAAAAACCTTTCAAAAAACCCCCCACCCCCCCCCCCCCCCCCCCCCCCCCTCCCCCCCCCCCCCCTAAATAAAATAACAAAAAAAAAAAAAAGAAAAAAAAAAAAAAAAAAAAAAAAAAAAAAAAAAAAAATTTATTTTTTTTATAAAAAAAAAAAAAAAAAAAAAAAAAAAAAAAAAAAAAAAAAAAAAAAAAAAAAAAAAAAAAAAAAAAAAACCCTTTTTCCCTTTTTATAAACAAACAAATAAACCTCCCACCCTTTATTATAGTTATCGTATAATCGGTTTTTCTTGTTCTATTTAATATACCGTTTTTTCTCTAATATTAGTGCACCCCGGTGAGCCGAGTTGGTGACGATTTTACGGTTTCCAAGCCTTTGCAGAAGCTCAACACTCTAATCCACCACTAGATCTCATCGTCAGCTACATTTTCCGACCCCACATCGATAGGTTCTGATAAGCGGTTCTCGAGATTTTGAGCAATTTAGGCGACGCTCATGGTGCACTACTATTAGAGAAAATACAGCATAGAATCAGAATCAAGCCTAGAAGGCTCTAGAATCAAGCCAATCACTCTAAATCAGACGGTCGATCCAGTCTTAGATCTAAACTGATTCTAGATCAGTTGTCCGATCTAGAGTGAAGTGAGGCCAAACGTCCGATCTAGAATCAAGCCGATCACTCTAAATCTAAGACTGGATCGACCGTCTGATTTAGAGTGATCGGCTTGATTCTAGATCGGACGCTTGACCCCACTTCACTCTGGATCGCACGTCCAATCTAGAATCAGTCTAGATCCTACAGGATTTCTAGATCCTACAGGATTTCTAGATCCCACAGGATTTCTAGATCCCACAGGATTTCTAGATCCCACAGGATTTCTAGATCCCACAGGATTTCTAGATCCCACAGGATTTCTAGATCCCACAGGATTTCTAGATCCGACATTATAAACGAGATATAACAAGATAGGATCGTTTTTCTTTACTTGCTCAACATTTCTTCAAAATGCTAAAATTTGCTATAACTATAAGTTTATTATCAAAGTATCTTTTCGATTTTTACATATTTAAACATCACTTACTTGAAATCCATTCCAAACACCTCATCACACGTTGAAATCGACTCTGATAGCTTTGCCGAGAATTCTAGCTGGTTATTTTTGAAGTCTCTTAACAGCATATCCTTTCTCTGAACTCCTTGTGGTGCGAAAAGAAAAGCGATTTCGGAATTGGCAATCGATTTTGCCAATCTGACATCATTTTCCGTGATTCTATTCAATTTTTCTATTGCTTCTTCATTAATTTCGGCAAATATTGAAATCCTATAGTCAAAGGTTTCTCTTTTAAATTGAAGAGTTGAAGCAATTGTTGCCAAATCAGCGTTTTCTTTTTGCAAATATTTAGCCAAAGCTTTAGCCATAAGAACACAGGATTCTGGAGATTTTGCTGAGATTGGTAGAATGTGAATTCCTTGAGAGGATTTCTTGAGAATTGAGTGGTTTTTCGATTCAAATGGTCCTTCAAGAACAAGGTGAACATTCGTTCCACCGATTCCAAAAGAACTCGAAGCTGCAAGGCTTCCTTTCTCAAGATATTCCGTTTTCAGCGGAATTCTCATTTTCCCTAGATCCTTGTTTGGTTTGCAATTGATTTGCGGCACTATTTCACCAGTTTCTAAAACTTTCAATATTTTGACTAACGATGCAAATCCAGCTCCGGCAAAACCATGCCCAACATTTGCTTTCACTGAGCCAATCAGAACCTCTCTTTGTCCATATAGTTTTCTCATCGCTTTCAACTCCATTGCATCACCAATCTTTGTCCCAGTTCCATGACATTCAACAATTCGAATTCGATCGATTTCCTTCTCACTCAAGTTTTCCAAAGCTTTCTTTATGCAAAGTTCTTGTCCAAAAGAATTTGGAGCCATGAAACTCGCCTTGTTTGATCCATCATTTGAGATTCCGATTGATCGAATGATTCCACGGACTTTAGACTTAGAAACAAGAGTTGTACTTGAGCTTTGGACTTGATTAAGTCTTTGGAATTGATCTTGAGCTTGATATAGTCTTTGGATTTGATCTTGAGCTTGATCTAGTCTTTGGACTTGATCTTGAGCTTGATCTAGCCCTTGAACTTGATCAAGTCTTTGTAAAACGATTACTCCAACCGAACTTCCTCTAACAGTTCCATCAGCGTCAAGACTAAACGGCCGACACTGTCCATCTTTCGACAAAACCATTCCCGGCTGATATTCATAGCCAAAATCTTCAGGTAAAGCTAGAGACGCGGCTCCAACAAGAGCCACATCTATTGAACCAGTCTTTAAACCCATTGCTGCTTGATGAATAGCTGAATAAAAAGTAGAACAAGCTGAATAAATCCCAATCGCCGGCCCATTTAGATTCAGATTGTAAGCGGTCCAAGTCGCTAGAAAGTCCTTCATATTCTGACGGAACATTTTCACCAAACTTCCCTCTGCTTCTTCCGATGCATCAAAGTAGTCAGACGGCTCAGCACCAGCAAAAACACCAATATTCAATGACTGACGTTCTCTTATCAATCCAGAGCTTTCCAAAGCTTTGTAAGCGTGTTGAAGGAATGTTCGCAGTTGTGGATCCATTGAGTCAGCTTCTTCTTTGGGTACGTTCCAGAATTCGAAATCGAACTCATTATAACCGGGCGCCATTCCACCAGCAATCACAAAATTCTCCAAATTCGACTCCTCTCTTATGATCATTTCTTTCCCATTTCTCAGATTTTCCCAAAATTCATCGATATCTCGAGATCCACTGAACGAGCCTGAGTAACCAATAATTGCCATTTGATCGGCGTTGAAGCTTTCCGGCTCTTTTTCCTCAAAATTCAAGTTCTCAGTACCTTCCTCAACAGATTGTTCATTGATTTTCTTCAATCGATCAACCAGAATCGGTTTTATAATTTCACAAAGCCCATTCACTGTTGGATTGTCAAAGATGTCAATAGGGTCAATTTTGAGATCAAATTTCGATTGACACTTCTCTCGGAGTTCCTCAATCATTAAAGAATCGATTCCCAGAGTCATAAATCCAATGTTATTTTTGTCTGTTGATCGTTCAATTCCAGTGATTTCTGTGATAAAGGACCAGATCTGCGTTTGGAGATTTATTGGGTGAAAAACGGTAGACGTTGGGTTAAAATCAAGATTTCCTAGGTGAAAATCGGTAGAAGTTGGACTCGTGAACACTTTAGGTACTGAAGGAGTTTCTGTTTTAGTGATTTGAGATTCAGAAATTGAATCAGAAAGGGTTTTTCTGATTGTTGAAGTCTTCTTTTCTACTTTAGACACTGAAGAATCTTCTGTTTTAGTGATTTGAGATCCAGAAATTGAATCAGAATCAACTTTTCTCATTGTCAAAATCTTTTCTTTCACTTTAGGCACTGAAGAACCTTCTGTTTCAGTGGTTTGAGATCCAGAAATTGAATCAGAATCAACTTTTCTCATTGTTGAAGTCTTCTTTTCTACTTTAGACACTGAAGAATCTTCTGTTTTAACACTTTTAGATCCAGAAATTGAACCAGAATCAACTTTTCCTATTGTCAAAGCCTTTTCTTCTCTTCCCCCAAGCTCTCCTCGAAACACAATCCCGCCATCACTCCCCAAAATTGCTCTAACCACTTCTTCGGATCTCAAAAACTCCCATCCATTCTCTTTGATTTGTCTTCGAATTGGTGCCAAAGCTTCTCCAGAAAGCATTCCAACGTCTTCAATTGGTCCAAGATGGAAAATCCTCACATTTTGACCGGATCTTTCTCCAATCCTTGACATCATTCCGTTCGCAAAGCTGTACGCTAATTGACCAAATGATCCTTGAACAGCGGCAATTGAGGAAAGGACAATGATTTCTTTAAACTTTTCAGCTCTATTACTTTCCAATAGATTTCTTAACCCTTCACATTTAGGCGCAAAAACAAAATCGAAATCTTTTTGGTTTAAATTTTTTGCAAATCCATTTTTCACTGCTCCAGCAGCATGAAAAATGGCGTCAACTTCGGGAATTTTTTCTAAAGCATTTTCAAATCCTTCTTTATCAGTCACATCAACTTGAATCCAATGAAAAGTTGGGTTTAAAAATTTTGGTTTTGATCTAGAGATTAGATAAGCGATTTCTGGTTGGATTTGAGTTAAAATTTGATGAGCTAAACCTCCACTAGCACCTGTGATTGCTATCGTTTTATAGCTTCTGAGCTTTCTAACTTCTTGAGTTCTCAAATTTTCTCTTTCAAATCCAATTTCATATCTTTTCCCATCTCTCAATGTGATGATTTCTTTAGAATTGAAAAATTTCAATTCTTCTCGTAGATTTTCTTTTTCTTTTTCTTTTTCAAACAAAATTAGCTTCCATTTGACGTTTTTGAATTCTTTTCCAAGCGTTTGGAAAACAGAAATTAGCTCGAAATGCTCGAAATGCTCGAAATTAGAGGAATTTTCAATGAAATGACTTGAAATGATTAAATAACCAAAGTTTTTGTTAAGAACATCAAATAATTTGATGAGTTCTTGAAGCAAAAGGAAATTCTGGGCACGATCATCAATCTCGAAGTTTAAATGAAGATGATAGACTGATTTTTGGTCAACAATTGGCATTTGATTCAATTGAATATCTAGAACCTTTAAGCCATGTCGATTCTTCTCATTTTCTTCTCTCCAAATCATTTTCCAATTAATTCCTTGAGTTGATTGATTTTGAGAATTTTGAGAATCTCTCAAGAGTTGTCTTGTCTTTTTCTCCAATTTTTTGTCTTTTTCTTTTTCTTCAGCGAAAGGCCAGAGTTCTTTTGGCTCAAGTTGAGCAAAAGGGATCCTCAAAACTGTCGGCAATTGCTTGAATTTCATGTTTTCTAAAGCTTGAACCAACTTTTCTAAACTAATCATTGGGCCAAGCACTGAATCCAAGTCATTTCCAGTTGTTAAACCATAATGAATCAAGAATAGAATCGATTTTCTAGAGGTTTTCTTAGAAATTTGGTCTCTTTCTCTTTCTCTTTCTCTTTCTTCCATTTTCCAAGCTCCAATCAGTTTCCTCTTGTAATTGTAGACAAGACAAGCTCTCAGTTTTTCTCTTGGCCTCGCAAAGAGATGATTTTCTATCATTGACAAACTTTCAGCTGTTAAATCTACAAAACTTTTCATTTCTTTAACCAAAAGATTCAATGATCTTTGTGTTTTTGCTGATAATATTAAAAAATAGTAAAACTTTGAGGGAATTGGGTTCTTTGGGGGTTCTTTTTGAATTGGCTTTGAAATTAATGAAATAGTATTTGTTCCAGTGAAGCCAAAGGAGTCAATTTGAGCGCTAGAGATTTTCTTCTCTGATCCAATAATTGATAGATTTGGAAAACTCCTGAATCTTCTATTAGTCAGCTCTACATGTGGAATTGGGTAAATGTATTGATTGCGTAAAGTTTCCAACACTGTTACAAGAGACAATAATCCGGCGGCTGGCTCAGTGTGCCCGAAGAGAGCCTTGGCTCCGGTTAGCTGGATATCTTTTGAGTGAACGCTTTGCACGGCTTCTAATTCGATTGGATCGCCCAGAGTTGTGCCTGTCATATGGCATTCTACAAGATCAACTGTAGAAATCGTGGAACCATCATTTCCCAGCTCTTTCATTAGTCCCATTTGTGCAGAAGTTTTGGGAACTGTGAGTGCAGATGATGCTCCACTGTGCCCAATTTTGATTGATTCTAGAATTGCTAGCGATTGAGTGACATGCTCGAGTTTTCCTAGCAAAATCACTACAATTGCTTCGCTTCTTGTGTATCCATCGGTTGAGGCATCGAATGGACGACAATGCGTTGCGGAGAGCATCTTTGCATTGCGCAGTGTTTGAGTGTTGTGATCATGGAGGATCTAAAAGTGGAAAAATAAACGAACCGGGCATTAGTTTTGAAAGAAGTGCTATTTTTAGCATTCAAAAATTTAAATATGTTATCAATTCTAAAAGAAATATCGGCTCTTGCGTAGTTTTCGGGTATTTTGAAAGAATCCGGGTCTTTTGGAAAAATCCGTGTATCTTGAACGGGTTGTCAGCCTTTGAAGGTCTATAACTTTGTCCAGAAATAATATTTTTCTTAACTTTTTATATCATTGTACAGAGGATATTTCAAGCTTTCAAATGATATCAAATAAAGCTTGACTGGAATTTTCTTTCCCATGCAAACAAGGCGACACGATACCAGAGTCGGATGGGCCTCATTTGCTCAGAGTTGACTCTAATTTTCTTGGATTGGATTATCCAATTCAGCCTTACTTGATATCATTTGAAAGCTTAAAATGTTCTCTGTGCAATGATATAAAAAGTTAAAAAAAATATTATTTCTGGACAAAGTTATAGACCTTCAAAGGCTGACAACCCGTTCAAGATACACGGATTTTTCCAAAAGACCCGGATTCTTTCAAAATACCCGAAAACTACGCAAGAGCTAAAATATCTTTATTTTCTTTATTTGCTACCAGATTTGTGCCTCCAACGATGGCAGCCTCACAAGAACCAGAGTTGATTGCTCGACAAGCATGCTCCAGCGCCACCATCGAAGATGAACAAGCTGTGTCAATTGATTCCGCCGGGCCTAAAGTAGTTTTAACCGAAAAATTTAAGGCTTAAATAAATACTACGTTACAGTACACATTTCAATACAAAGATCAATGAGTAAAGTATTACAAAGTATTACAAATTACAATTCTTTTTTTGCAACACAAAAAAAAAACAGAAAAACAGAAAAATCAGTGTTTTTCGTAAAAATCTTTAAAAACCTCTACAAAGAAATTGGCTGAACCAAATTCTATGAAAATTTGGCTATATACCAAACTTTTTGTGCTCTATCTTTTATCTATTGAGGCAAAGATAGATTTTCTTAGCTAAAGTGTGACTTTTCTAAAGCTAAAGTGTTGGCACCATCGAGGCGACACTCTTTTTCACTACCCGACTTCAGGCTCCCAATAAAATCCAGAAATAAGACCTTTGAAACCCGTTTTAATGTTATTTTGAAGAAAAAGAATTGGCCTTTCTAATGAAAAAAACCGTAGTTCAATTGGTGCATTTGTTGGTTTTGAACGGAAGTACAAAAGGAACAAAAAAATTTTCTGGGCACCCAAATACATTTTAATTACTAAGGTATACTAAGCCTGGAAAAATTCCAGCCCGAACCTAATTCCATCTTTATTTTCGAGGCCGATTCTTCGTCGATTACTCTGAAACTTTGTCTACAGATAGAAATCAACATTTTCAGCTTGTAGACAAAATTTCAGAGTAATCGGCCAAGGAACGGCCGAGAAAAGAAAGGTGGAATTAGGTTCAGGTTGGGATTTTCCCTTGTCTAAGCTGTACTAGCCAAGGTTTATCTGAACGGTTTTAAACGGAAGTACGAAAAGGTACAAAAAAACTTTCTGGACAGCTTAATAGAATTCCTGAAAAGATCATACAAAAATTGGTATCTGTCTCTCTTAAAACAGGCAAATTACTTACCTTGAACTTTTAGCCAATGAGCAATTCTTCCAGCTAAAGCACTTGGATGTGTTCCGGTGGTTAAACCAGGTGGTCGCTCCGAAATTTCCAAGAGAGCTTTTTGGCTAAACTCTGAAGGACCACAGCCAATGAAAATACCTAAAATATGGCAAAAGCATTATAAGATCAAATATAAGATCAAATTTTAATCATTACAAACTCAAATTTACTTCAATTTGCTTTAAAAGATTGCTTCGATTTCCAGATTGCTTTAAAAGAAACATACCAGTTCTATTCGGTAACTTGAAAGCACTCGTTTGAATCACTTCATAGACTCCTTCCAGAAGAAGTCTCTGTTGTGGGTCCATGAAAGTAGCCTCAATTGGAGTGATTCCAAAAAACTCAGCATCAAATTCTTTCAAATCTTTCTTTAATAGTCTAACTCCATCAAGTTTTCTGTGTTTATTGGAAAAATATGATAGTTTTGTGGTGGACATTCGATCAAATAGCTCTTCAGTTGAGTCAACTTCAGCACAACGAATCGAATAGTTTATGATTGAGATCGGAATTGATTTAGCTGACAAGTTATCAGATAATAATCTTCTCTCATTATTTATATGCTCAAAACTTTGCTTTACATTGTCAAGGTGTACTTGTTGTACTTGTTTTACTTGTTGTACTTGTTGTACTTGTTTTACTTGTTGAACTTCTTGTACTTCTTGTACTTCTTGTACTTCTTCTACTTGTTTTACGTGTTGTACTTCTTGTACTTGTTTTACTTGTTCTACTCTTTGTACTTGTTGTACTTGCTGAGCTTTTCCTGGACTCAAGTTTTGAGAGTTTTCCTGATTTTGAGAGGATTTTTGTTGCTCATCCTCAAAAGCTTGCTTTCCATTGTCAAGGTGTACTTGTTGTACTTGTTGTACGTGTTGTACTTCTTGTACTTCTTGTACTTCTTGTACTTGTTGTACTTGTTGTACTTGCTGAGCTTTTCCTGGACTCAAGTTTTGAGAGTTTTTCTGATTTTGAGAGGATTTTTGTTCTGACTTTAGATTTTGCTCAGCTTTCTTCTGAGGATTCGGTTTTTTCTGAGAAATTTGATCAGATTTTAGCCTTTTCATTGAATTCTTCAAAACTTTATCTTCTTCATTGCTTTCTTTAGCTTTTCCAGTAAAAATTTGATACACGGCCATCACTCGCTCAAATTTTGCCACCACCATTTCCCCATCAAAAGCAAAAATATCAGCAATGATATTGTGCTGATTGTTTTTCAGAATCTTTCCACGAATCACGAGATTGCTATTAGGAATTCGGTTTTCAGGGTTTAAATAGAATTTTTGGACTGAAACAGGAACACAAGCGATTAAAGGCCGATTCTGCCAGACCCAAGCTAGAACCGTTTGTAAACAAGCTTCAAGAAGTCTTTCTTTTCCGAAAGCATCATCAGTTCTCTCAAAATCGATAGTGGATTCGATTTTGTCTTCAAAAATCTCCAAGTTCTTCAAAATTTGCATAGATTTTCCATAAGACATCCCTCTTGAGTCCATTGCTTTGTAAAAACTGGATACATTTAAAGATTGTCCAGCTTTGTTCTTGCGAAATTCAGCTTTTAAATTAGCTTTTGACTCAGATTTGGAAGGTTTCAAATCAGTTTTTAAATCAGGGTTTAAATCAAGGTTTAAACCAGGTTTTGAATCTGGTTTTAAATCAGGTTTCAATCCAGATTTTGAATCATATTTTGAATCAGCTTTCGATCCAGCTTTCAAATCAGATTTTGACTCAGATTTGAAAGCAGATTTCAATCCAGATTTCAATCCAGCTTCCAACTCAGCTTTCAAATCAGCTTTCAATCCAGATCCCAGATCAGCTTCCAATCCAGATCTCAGATCAGCTTTCAATCCAGGTCTCAGATCAGATTTCAATCCAGCTTTCAAATCAGCTTCCAACTCAGGTTTCAAATCAGCTTTCAATCCAGATCCCAGATCAGCTTCCAATCCAGCTTTCAAATCAGCTTTCAATCCAGTTTTCAATCCAAATTCCAACTCAGCTTTCAAATCCATCATCTCTTTTTCAACTTTACAACTGAATATCAAATTGTTGTTGACAATCACTTCAATATTCCCAGTTTTGCCAATCCGAATCTCTGCCTCTTGCTCAATATCTGTCCAAGCCTTCAATAGCTTGATATCCCTCAAAATGAAACCCATTCCAAAGCTGTAAACCATCCATTCATTCACATTCTTAATCGTCACAACTCCAGGAACGATAGCTTTTCCAGAAATCTTATGATCTTGAATCATCGTCTGATAAATGTCTAATGTCTGGCGTTTGATCAAATTTTGAGGTAAAACCTCAATCTCCGGCTTAAGATCAAGAATCAAAGATGCAGATTTGACAAAATGATGAATCTCTTTTGATTTGACTGAAGACGTTAAAGCAATCGTGTGTTTTCCTCCTTGTAAAGTGCATCGCCGAACGAAATTCGCTAGTATATCCCCAGGGCCACAATCGATCCAATTCTCCACTCCAAACTCTCTCAACTTCTTCACACAAGTCGAGAAATAGACTGGTGAAGTTAAATGTTTCGCAAAATGAGTAGCATTCAATTGATCAAGTAAATCTCTCGTCGAAGTACTGATAATTGGGATTTTCGGGGTCTTGAACTCAATATTTTGACTTTCAATGACTTTAATAAAGTTATTGATCTCATTTTCATTATACAATGGAGAATGAAATGGAAAATTTGGATTCACAATTCTTACAGTAAACGAATTTTCTTTCAAAACTTTATAAGCTTTAGCTAAAGCTGATTTCGAGCCACTGATCACAATTTGTCGGTCACTGTTGTACGCTGAAATGTAAACTTTATGATAAGATAAGATATTCATTCTTATAATAAGATTTTCAGCTTTTTGATCAGTTACAATCATTGATCCTTTACCGTTTAAAGAGTTCATTGCATTTGCGCGAGCTTGAATCAATTTCAAGCCATTTTTCATTGAGATCGACTCCGAAACGACACAAGCTGTGATTTCACCAACACTGTGTCCAATCAGGTAATCGGGCTCAGCTCCTGCCCAGGTCCAAAGTGAGAACGAGGAAAGCCCAAAGAGAAAAGCTTTTAATTGCTCGTTTAATGTATTTCCATCCTCGTTTTCGTTATTTGGATTAAAGTTTGGGACAATTTTTTGAATCTCATTCATACATTCTATCCATTTTGAAGAAAAAGCCTCAAAAGCTTTGCCTAGATTTTCTCCAGCTGTTGGATAAAAACTGCCTTGACCGGGGAACATAAACACTGTTTTTCTCGATTCAAATGACCCAAGATCTTTTGTGTAGGAATGGAGGATTTTGCGGAAAGTTTCTTGATCAAATCGAGCACCAAGTCCAGAAATGGAAAGGTTTTGGGATGAATTGGCTCTTGAGTTATTAGATGAATCATTCTCTTGCCATTTTTCCCAGGTTTTGTTGGGATTTTTGTCATTTTTGTCAAGATTTTTGCCATTTTTGTCAGGATTTTCGTTTTTGGCTAGGTGATTCAAATCCTGAATCTCTTGTTTAGCTAATTGATCTTTACAATTGTTCAGTTCTTGTCCTGACCTTGATCTTGTCTTATTCTTGTCTTGGTCTTGTCCTTGTTCTTGGTCTTGTTCTGGTTCCTGGTCTTGTTCTTGTTCCTGCTCTTGTTCTTGGCCTTGTTCTTGGTCTGATTCCTGGTCTCGTTCTTGGCCTTGTTCTTGTCCTGACCTTGACCTTGTTTTGTTCTTGTCCTGGTCTTGTTCTTGTTCTTGGTCTGGTTCTTGGTCTTGTTCTTGGTCGACCGCCCGTTCTTGGTCGGTTCTTGGTACGTTCTGTCGGTTCTTGGTCGGTTCTGTCGGCTGGCGTCTGTCTGTTCTGTCCTGCGGTCTGATCTGTCTGTTCTTGGTCGGTCTTTCTGTTCCTGGTCTTGTCCTTGGTCTGGTTCTTGGTCTTGTTCTTGTCCGGGGTCTTGTCCTAGCCTTAACCCTGCCTTGCTCTTGTCTTGGTCTTGTTCTTGATCTTTATCATGTTCCTCAGAATCTACAGTCAATCCTGGATCACTTAAATCTTGTTCACCCCTCAAATCCAGTCGATTTTTATTCAGCTCATTGCAGCGACGTTCATTTCCTTTCGGATCACCCAAATCCAGCACTCCTTGTTCATCAAAAACCCGTTCATCCCTTAAATCCACTCGATTTTTGTACACTTTCGCCCAATCAATCGCAGCAACAACAAGTTTCGGCAAATTTTCTCTCAAAACTAACTCAAATGCCTCGAAAGAGTCCACCGTTTTTAAGCCATTGAACCCCAAATTCCCCAGCATTTCATTCACCGACACGGCCATCCCAGTCTCCAACCAATTGCCCCAATTTATCGACGATCCACTCAAATTTCTCTGTCTTCTCTCGGCCATCATCCAATCAGCCACCGAATTGCTGACAGAATAGTTGAGTTGGCCTTTGTTTCCCAAAGTGGCCGCAACAGAAGACATGACAATGAAATACTCCAAATTCCAGTTGTGTTTCTTCTCCAGAATTTCTAGATTCTTGATTGAGACAACTTTTGGCTCAAACACTTCAAGGAATTTCTTCTCGTTTTGCATGGGAATTAGAGCGTCTCTAGTGACACCGGCGCTATGAACAATGGCATCAATTTTAAACGGTAATTGAGAGATTTTCAAAGTCAACTCTTCTAAATTTATCGTGTCAGCACTTAGGATTTTGACTTTACAACTAAACTTTTGCGTTTTTAAAGCAATTTCTTGATTCGGTTTTCTTCGAGAGATCAATACAATGTTTTCTAGGTTATAATTTTGATCAAGATGCTCAGCTAAAGTGAAACCAATTCCAGAAAGTCCACCAGTGATCAACCAGTTCTTTGCTTTCAACTGGACTTTCAACAACTGCTTTTCTTCAGCTAGCGAATTTTTAGTTGAAAATCTGTACCGAACGAGTTTTTCATTCAATGACACTGAGATTTTTGGGTAAAATTCGGAAGCAGCACTTTTCAACGCTGAATTGATAATCGCGGAGAACAAAGACTCAGTTTTGATCATCTCAAATCGATAATTACCCTTTGATCTCCATAAAGTTAACAAAAAATTCTGGAAAGCTGAAAAGACTTTCGACGTTTCGGAGAGATTCAAATTTGGAAAATCATTGATTTGAAAATGAATTGCTTTGGATTTTCCTGCTGTTATTCCTGCTGTTATTCCTGCTGATTTTCTTGCTGTTATTCCTGCTGTTATCCCTGCTGTCATTCCTGCTGTTATTCCTGCTGTTAAAACTTGTTCAGCTCCAATAAACGCACTTCCATTGAACTTCACTTGATCAAATTTCACTTTTTCATCGATTTTCTCTACTCTTGGTGTGGTTAAATAGACTATATTTTCAAGTTTTCCTTTAGTTTTTGTGTTTTCGAAGTCATTCGAATCTTTTGGAGTCTTTTGCTCAGTTTTGGAGCTAATTTCCTCTTCAACTTCCTCAACTTCTTCTTGAACTTCTTCAATTTCTTCATCAACATCTTCTTCAACTCCTTCAACTTCTTCTTCAACTTCTTCTTGAACCTCTTCATCAACTTCTTCATCAACTTCTTCTTCGAACCTCTTCATCAACTTCTTCTTGAACCTCTTCATCAACTTCTTCTTCAACTTCTTCATCAACTTCTTCTTGAACTTCTTGAACTTCTTGAACTTCTTGAACTTCTTGAACCTCTTCATCAACTTCTTGAACCTCTTCTTGAACCTCTTCATCAACTTCTTCATCAACTTCTTCTTCAACTTCTCCTCTAACTCCAACTGTTTCCATCACAAACTTCACAAAGTCCCCAACTGTATTTTGATCAAAAACATCATTTGTTGAGAATTCGTGACTTGGAAATTCTTCATTCAAACGATTCACAAAGTCAACAACTCCCAAAGAGTCAATTCCCAAGTTGAGAAATGTCTGCTCATCAGTGACCTCCACCTCATTCGGGATCACTTCAACAAGAAGGGACAAAATCTTTTGCTTGATTTTAGTCAGTTCGTTAATTGCTTTGACAGCAATTTTAGCCCTTGGTTCTACTCGTTTTTCTTCTTTTTCTTGAACTTCATTACTTTTGAGCTCATCAATGAAATTTAGGCCAATCTTTGGAACTCCACACACCAAAACACACCTCTCCAGTCCTTCGTATAGCTCAAAATCTAGCAAATATTGATCATCAGTCTTCATTTTAAAATCAAGAATAGAAATTGAGATGATTTTTTCGGAGAATAAGGCAATGGCTTTCTGGAATGAGATGCTGAATGGTGAAAGAATGAGATCTGTGGATAGTTGGAGATCTGTGGATTGTTGGACAGCTGTGAATGCTTCAGCTGTGAATGCTTTAGCTGTGGATGAAGCTTTACCTGTGAATGTTTTAGCTGTGGATGAAGCTTTAGCTGTGGATGAAGCTTTAGCTGTGGATAAAGCTTTAGCTGTGGATAAAGCTTTAGCTGTGGATAAAGCTTTAGCTGTGATTGCTTCAGCTGTGAATGCTTTAGCTGTAAAAGCTTTAGCCTCGCAAAACTTGAAAAGAGCTTCATTCCCATTGATTTGAATTCTGATTTCATTTCCAGAAATCAATGTTTCGATCATTTCTCCATCTTTTGGATGTTCTAGAGTGGATGATTTTAGAGTTAGAGTCGATTTTGAACTTTCAAGAGTCTCTAAAGCTCGAAGAGCGAAAAACCAAGCAATTGTCTTCACATTTTGATCTTCAAACAATGAAAATCGATAAGATGAATAAAGATTTTGATATAAAATGTCATTTCCTTTTCTATTTTCCTTCCCATTTCTTTCTAATCCCCTTTCTAATTCCTTTCTAATGCCCAATAATGAATCTTCTTCTGGAATTGGTTCATTATTGCACCAGAAATCAATTTTTCTAAAGGGATAGCTTGGTGTTTTGAGTGAATTTCTAGATTTAGATTGATTTAGATCAATTCTCAACAACTCATAGCACATCAAGTAATCTAATCGACTCTTAATCACCATTGCAGTCTTTCTTTTGCTTACGAGCTCACTCAAAGCTTTCACTAAACCCAGCTTTTTCTTGAGTTTCCAAAAGTTTCTCAATGACTCAAGCGGATTGTTCTTTTTTGTTTGTTCTAAATGTCGATCAACTTCCACTAAATCCTCCAAAGAGATACTTTTTCGATAAAACATTATAGAAATCAATAAATATTCGGAATCTGTGTGAAGATGGACATCAATGGCTTGAGAAATGTTCAGTAAAGGCTCAGTAAAGGCTAAAGCCGATGCCATAAATGGAGAGATCTTCTGTTTCATCCAGTTTTTCAAGGATTTCTCCAATCTCAAGTCTCGAATCACGGAAAGTTCAAAGTTTGTCAAGAAATAGTCAGCTTCTTGTTTAATTAGGCGGGTTTCAACAATGTTTCTATTTTGAATCAATAGCAAAACTCCAAATTTATATCTTGGTTTAGCTTTCATCGTGTCTTCTAGACAAGCCAAACAATGAAATCCGTTTGAAATCCAATTTGAAAACTCGATTCTTAAGCTATCTAATGAGTCTTGTGTTTTTGCTGTGATCCTAATACAATGATACTTTTTGTTTTGATGAGAACAGCTGATTTTTTGAGTTTTTGAAATAATAGGGGCAGTTTTTGAAATAATAGCCGCAGCATTTGTTCCACTTATTCCAAACGAGCTCACTCCAGCAAATAAAGCTTCGATTTCTTGACCGATCACTGGAATAGCCAGCTTTCCCATCTTGATCAATCCATTCAAATTCGAGAAATGCAGAGTTGGAGGTAAATATTGGTGTTCAAGTTGTAAAGAAGCTTTGAGTAAACCCGTTGCTCCAGCTGCAGCTTCTCCATGTCCAATTGAAGTTTTTGCAGAAGAAACCATTGCTTTATCCAATAACTCCGATAAAACATTGACTTCTATTGGATCTCCCAGTTTTGTCCCGGTTCCGTGCGAATCCCAAATCTCAATCAACTCCTTTTGAGCTGTTTGAGCTCCTTCTAGAATTCTAGAATTCTTCCATCCTTCTCCATCTAGAATCTTTCCATCTAGAATCTTTTTAAGCAACTCCTTTTGAGCTGTACCATTTGGAGAAGTGAGTGAAGCACCCTTTCCACAATGGTTTGACTTAACATCAAGAATCCTGATGCCACCATTGGATAGCAAAAGAGTCTTGGATAGCAAAAGAGCCACACATCCGTCAGCTCTCGCATATCCATTCGCTTCCGAATCAAATGTATTACAGATTCCATTCGGTGAGAGCATTCCCCCATTTGCTCTTTGTCCCAATCCCCTTTCTGTAACAATGACATTCACGCCTGCAACAACAGCATACTCACATTTATCTTCTTTTAAAGATTCAATAGCTTGTTCAACAGCAATCAGTGAAGAACTACAAGCTGTATCTATTGTTACCGAAGGACCAGTGAGGCCAAAAACGTAATTGATCCGTCCACTGAGCACCGAGGCTGCTGAGCTCAACATCGACAAAGCGTCAGTCCGATCCAGCATTAAATCTGGATACTCTGTGCCCATAAATCCAAGGAATACACCGATTTTCTTATTTGCTAAGGATTGACCTTGATCAAGACACTCGTAAACACATTCGAGCAGGATTCTTTGCTGTGGATCCATTACGGAAGCTTCACTCTTTGAAATCCCAAAGAATTCGTTGTCAAAGCTTCTAATGTTGCTAATAAAATACCCACCTTCAAGCGATTTTCCATACTTTTTTCCCTTAATTAAAGTGTCTCTTGTGGGAATTCTTGAAGCTGGGATTCTGGAGTTGAAATTCCTCCCACTAACAAGCGACTCCCAGAATTCTTGCGGATCTTTTATCGATCCTGGCAATCGACAAGATGAACTTACGATGGAAATCTCAAAGCTTTCATCCTTTTGCTTTCCTTGTAAGTCTTCAATCGATTGAAAGTTTGTGTCGGTAATGGTTGAGTCATCAGAATCGTCAATCAACTCATCGTCTTCATCCACGTGCAAAATTTCATCGGATATTGTACTATCCAAAAATTCAGCCAACTCAGCAATTGTTGTGTAGTTGAAAAGATCGACTAAATCCACTGATAAACCGATTTTCTTTAAACTCGTGACAAGTTTTGTGATCAGCAATGAGTTCAATCCCATCTCAAAGAAACCAATATCGTTGTTGATTTGGATCATTGGAGCCAATAATAAAATCTCTTTCTTAATCAATTCAATCAATTTTGTACTCCGGCTTTGAATCGAGTGTTGCCGCTTCAAATTCTTTATTGGTTTCGCAAATTTCAGCGATTGTGTCCCGGATTTGAATAAACATTGGAATGAGATCACAAGCTTTCCGTGAACATCTAACAGACAAATCGTTGAGCTTAGCAATCCGCCTTTAAATGTGTAATTGAAATAGCCTTTCGTAGCTGAAGAGATTTCTCCAAAAAGAGAAATGTCTTCAAAATGGAAAGGATAGACGAGAGTGAAATCGTTTTGGGAAAGAACACTGAAAACGACTGCTTGAAGGGCTGCCTCGAGGGGAGCAATGTCACGATTCACCTGAAAGAAAGACTAAGTTTAGTAGCTCTACAGCTCTACAGCTCTACAGATTGAGTCAGGATTTGACTTTAACTAGGTTCTACAAGTCTAGTAAACACAGTTTCTGGCACAGTCGATTCTTGGATTCAAATGAGACAGGATGCTTCATGTGAAACAGGAGGCTTCATCTGAAACAGGAGGCTTCAAGAAACAGGAGGCTTCAACTGAAACAGGAGGCTTCATGTGAAACAGGAGGCTTCAACTGAAACAGGAGGCTTCAACTGAAACAGGAGGCTTCAACTGAAACAGGAGGCTTCAACTGAAACAGGAGGCTTCATGTGAAACAGGAGGCTTCAACTGAAACAGGAGGCTTCAACTGAAACAGGAGGCTTCATGTGAAACAGGAGGCTTCAACTGAAACAGGAGGCTTCAACTGAAACAGGAGGCTTCATGTGAAACAGGAGGCTTCAACTGAAACAGGAGGCTTCAACTGAAACAGGAGGCTTCATGTGAAACAGGAGGCTTCAACTGAAACAGGAGGCTTCAACTGAAACAGGAGGCTTCATGTGAAACAGGAGGCTTCAACTGAAACAGGAGGCTTCAACTGAAACAGGAGGTCTCAACTGAAACAAGAGTCTTCAAGTGAAACAGGAGGCTTCAAGTGAAACAAGAGGCTTCAACTGAAACGGGAGGCTTCAACTCATTGAAACAGCAAAGTTTTTGTACTACACTGCGTTGCAAAACTTTAATCCCACCCCATTTTTTATTCAAAACCGTGCTACAAAAGGCCGCTCACGCCATTGCATCGCAGCCACCATAGCTTATTTTGCTGAAAATATGTGACCCCTTTCGTAAATCATTGTAATAGAGAGCAAATCCATCCAGGCCATCAAGTGAAAAACGGGTACGTAGGGGTTACAAGCCCCGGAGTCCACATATATGTGCCTACTTTCATTCACTTCAACAATACATCCAGGGTCACCGATTTGTTGGACATGATTTTCGATTTGCTTTTGTTATTCGATTGCTGTTCAACATGGCGATTCGATTGCTAGTCGATTCGAATTGTCGAAGTTGCTGTTGTTAAAGGATCCATGTCCATATATGAAGATTGAGGGGCTTATAACCCTTAAGTACCGAAAAATGTTTTTCGTCAGTCTAAATTCGTTCGTCAGTCCTTTGCTTTATGCTAATTTTGGCGGCAACCGAAAAGTACTAAAGGTTTTCAATGGAAATGGACAAAGAAAGATCAATTCTTTACCTTTACCATAGTACCAAAGTACCAAAGTACCAAAGTAAGCAGACTAACAAGAAAAGACAAGAATTGACTGTGCTAGAAAGTGTGTTTTTTGAAATTCTAGCTTTTGCTTTTGAAATCCTAGCTTTTGCATTTAGATAATCATTTAGATAAACATTTATTGGCTTGGTGGAAAAGTCTTTTCCGATTTTTTGGGATAGTACCTTAAATTTGTCCAATTTTGACGTTTTATTGCTCATCCTAAAGCTGAATTCAAGACGGATCGATTGGTCAAAACCGTTTTGAGATATCTCTTTTCTAAAAGTTTTTACAGCTATTTTAGTAAAGGGCGGCAGAGCCAAGAAATGGCTGTTTTCTCGTTTCGTTGGTTTTCCGTGCAGAAACCTACGCTAAAACCATGTGTTTCGTGATCAGCGTCAAAAATAACCCCTAGATAATCCTTTAGGCAAATAAAATGCAATTAAAAGCTTATCAAGCAACTCACCTCAAAATTATTTAGCGCAAAGATCCCGTAGCTGTTTTCCGAGAAAGAGACCTCTTCCAGCACTTTGTATCCCCATCCATACTGATATCCGTATCCCAAAAAGCTCGAATAAATTTGATTCGCCGTATTTCGTGTCAAATTCTTGAAGCTAGTCTTCGCCAAATCGACGATACTTTCGGAAACTCTTTCGTGCTTTTCCACAACATACGAGACGACTGGAGCTGCGTTGACAATGATTTGCCCTCGATCGATATAGAAATCCCTAGCTTTACTAGCCGTGCATTTCATATTGATCGTGATACTTTGAATATTCGTGTAATCCGAGAATTCCTCTATCAGTAATCTCAGCCAAACAACAGCTGGCACAATGTTTTCGCCAAGAATCAAATGATCCTCAATGCCTAAGAAGAAATCTTTTGTTGATGAATCGTCATCATTCAAAATGTCCAGCCATTTTTCTGCTTCTGCAGCCAAGTCTTTTGTCTTATTCAACAATTTCCAATTTAAATCCTTCCCATCAACGAATTGTGAGCCAAGAAAAAGGAGATAATCTCTAAAAAATCGTCCAGAAATCGCTTCAGAGTCTTCAGAGTCATTTCTCTCTGAGCAAATGATCAGTTGATTTGTTTTGTTAGCAAAGTTTTTCAAGATTTCTTCTTCAAAGCTTTTATAGCTTTTGTTTTCATTCAACCATTGCCTCAGCTGGGTTCTTGTTTTCCCGAAAACTTGCACGAATTTTGAAGCTTTTTCAAAATCTTCCGTCTCCGCTAAAAATTGACCAATCCAAGCAGCTCCTTCGCTAAATATTTGACTTTTCAGAATTCTCTGGGTCAATTTCGAAATGCTAAAACTCGCGGCGACAATCCAAGAGGTTTTACTTTGCGGTAATCTTTTGCTAGCGTGAATGAAGAACTTCTTAAATTGATCAGAATTCTTCCAAAAGTCCAGCAAAATCACTTCATCGCTTAGATCAAAAACAATTGCATTAACACTGGGATTTAACGGATTTTCCGATAGATCTTTTCCCAAAATTTGTCTCGAGTTTGTCACAGTAAACTTTCGCTCACAACTTTCGCAGTTTTTCATTTCATTTTTCATTTTTCGCGTGCAAAGAATTTTTTGTGCAATCTTCAGCTCAATATCTCCTTTTTCAAGTGCTTGAGAAAGCTTTTCGTTGAATATTTCGTCTTCATCCGTTTCATTAATGATCGGGAAAAGGAAATATTGATTCTGAACGATTTTCTGAGCTTTCAAAGTCTTGAAACTGTTCAAATTCATCTGTGACACCGTGCCACTTAGCCCATAACAAGTCACAGCAAAGTCGAAATCGATTTGCGATTCTCTGGATTCAAAAACTTCAGGGATCTCTTCATGAACAAATGGCAGCCTCAAATTTATCGCTTTTCTCATAGCCGGCAATGGCAATTGTAAATGGATTTGGTGTGGGATTCGGCTCATTCTTGAGAGAATCACCAATTTCACAAGTTGTAGCAAGCCACAAGCTGCCTCAGTATGCCCAACGGAGGACTTAATCGAGCCAACAATGGTTGCTTGGTCCTGCAATCGAGCAACGGCCAGCTTTGTCTCGAAATCGTCGCCCATTAGAGTGCCCGTTCCGTGCATTTCCATATATCTCACTGATTTTCTCAAAGGCTTCACTATTTCTATTATTTTATAACTCGGTGACATTGTTGATCCAGAGAATCTCAAATCAATTTCGCTAATCAAAAGCTTGTCCACCGGTTTCTTTGCGCTTCTTTTCAGCAAAATAATTCCAAAAACCGATTGCGGACAGTAACCGCCACGATCCGAATCGTAGGATTTTGTCATTGGTGCGTAGAATTCTAAATTTTGCTTTGGTGAGCCAAATCTCGCAGCTGCTATCACTCCATAGTTGCTATTTTGCTTCTCCATTTCTTTCATGCAAACATCTAGAGCCACGTGCACTGAAGTACAAGTGTTATCGACGACAGAAACGAGTCCTTTCACTCCAAGAACAGCCGCCAGCTTTCCACTGATGATTGCTGGATTTCCTTGCAATAATGTATCGGATCCTTCTTGACTGATTAAATGTCGTAAACCGTCGGTAGCAAAAATAAATGGAGATCTTGATAAATCTTTATTTTCGAGTCGTGTTTTCAATCTTTCTGCACATTTCATCAAATGTTCGACTCCTTTTTCGAAAATTACTGCAGTTGTTGACGATTTCGATCTAGCGGAGAGCAACATTTCGTAAAGTGACACAAAACTTGAGCCCATACCAGGTAAATGGAATTCAATGCTTTCAATAAAAGTGTAGCTTGAAAATTTGAAGCTTGAGGCGCTTGAAGCTGAAGAGCTTGAAAGCTTTGAGATTTTCATTAACTTTTCTTCATTTTCATTAACTTTTTCCTTTTGTTGTTCTTGATTCAAAAATTTCAGCAATTTTTTCGGAGTTTCACAGTTTTTACAATCGTCATAGTCGACAAAGTGACCAAGTTTAAGCCGAAGCTTTTCCGAGAATTCTACAGAAAGCAATGAATCGAAATAAAGCCAATCAATTGCAGAATTGATTCCAGAAATTCCAGAAATTCCAGAATCGATTCCAGAAATTCCAGAAATTCCAGAATCGATTCCAGAAATTCCAGAATCGATTCTCAAATCATTCACTGGATAAGTACAAGATTCAAGAATCTCCAGAAGATTTTCCATAGTTAAAACCTTCTTTTCCAAAGTTTCCAAAGTTTCTTTAGCCATTAAAGCTTCAGTTTTTCTTGAAGCAGCCAAAATAACGGGCCAAAAGATTCTTTTTTCAAAATGAATCCTCGGAATTTCTACGAAATCTCCATTAAACTCAAAAATTTCCAAATTCACTTCTTTATTTATTGATAGAACTTTTAAAAAAGTTTCAAAGTTTAATAAATTCTCGATTTTTTCGTTAATTAAAACTTCAATATCCGTTTTTCCAAACAAATCTTGATTAAGAAGATCTTGATTAAGAAGATCTTGATTATTTTTGACTTTCGTTTTCAAGTGTGAATATTTTAAAGCGAATTCCCGTTCCCAATTCTTCGAGAATCCAGTTTTCAACGCTTTCTCAAGGCTCAACTCATCTCTTGCAACAAGTGCTGTTAATAAGCCAATCCCTTTCCCATTCACTATTTTTGGTAAAATATTCATTTTCCTTAAGAACATTAGCCACGTCAATTGTAGGATTAGAGTCAACGAGCTTTGTTTTAATGAGCTCAATGATTTCATTGAGATTTGTGCTTTCCTCAAAATCTTTAATAAACATTTTGAGAACGCTGTACTGTAGCTAGTGATCCAGAAAATCGAATCCAAAGAGAGTTTTTCGTTGAAACAGATTTCTGTCGTTGTTTTGGAGGCTTCATTGAAGATTTCATTGAAGCCAATTTCTGTAGTAAGCTCAATTTTCATCGCTTTAATCATTTGCTCTCTCGTTTTTCCATAGAAAATCCGTCTTTCTTGGAAAATTGTTGAGCTTCTAGCATTTGAAAACAAAATATCTTCAAAGTTTTCCGAAGTCTTCTCCAAATAATCAATCCAATTTTGAATCTCTTCCTTCAAACGCTTTTCGCTTTTCGCTGAAAGTGAAAGAACTGGTAGATTTCTTTTGTAAAAGGCAATGCTTTGGCATTTCTTTGTGCTTTGGCATTTCTTTGGCATTGATTTTCCATTTTCATTGATTTTCCTTGTCTCAATCATCAAATTCACATTTGTTCCAGTGATCCCAAAAGCGTTGATCAAAGTTCTTTCAACTTTTCCCTCTTCACCAATAAACATTAGCCGATTCTTCTCTCTGATTGATTCAATTGGCAATTTTAAATGTAATTGTGGTGGTAGATAGGAATTTTGACCAGAATTTAGTGCATAAATTATAGCTACATGTCCGGCACAGGTCTCATTGTGACCAAAAACTGATTTCGGGGAGATAAGTGGAATGTTTTTCAAAGATCTCAAAGATTCTAGCAAAGCTCCGGCTTCAACTTTGTCCCCAACTTTTGTCCCAGTTCCATGAGCTACCACCAGGTCCAGGATCGGTTTAGTGGACGATTTTTCTTCAACTTCTTTATCGATTACATTGCCTTGTTTTTCGTTACATTCAACTTCTTCAAGCAACTCTTCTTGGCATTTCCTTTGAGCACTCCGACTTGGAGAGGCAATCGATTTCGTTAATCCATCAGAATTCATGGTGCTTCCAGAAATCGTTCCGTAAATTTTCCAATTCTTTTCTTTAGCTAATCGTTTTGTTGATAGAATGAGAGCTGAGAATCCCTCGGATCTTACATAGCCATCTGCATCCATATCAAACGCTTTCAGCACTCCATTTGGTGAGAGAAGACCATTCGCGTCGATTGAGAGGAATGAGCTAAAAAGGTTTGACTTAAACTGGTATCGAAAATTAAGCTGCTGTTCTTTTTATAGAACTAGGCAATACTAGCTAGAGAGTGCTAGCTACAGACTATAAAGATAAAGGCAATACTAGCTAGAGAGGCTAGCTTTTTGTGAGCCAGTTGGGTCACAATTAAAGCTAGACCAAGCCGGGGCTGGCTTTTGGACTAACAGTCAGATCAGAGCTTACCAACGAACCGAGTACTAGAATCTGTGAGTCAATCAAAATAAGCAGGTCAAAAGTCCAGCCAAATGCCGTCCATTACTAGATAATGGATCTAGATACTGGTGCTGCTAGTAGTACTTTGGTAACAATATACCTAGCCTTATCAATCAAAAACAAACCTGGGTCCAAGAAAACTTGTTCCGATCACGATAACCATTTTCGTTTGTCCAGTCAACATCAAATTCCTTGCCAAATGAACCGCCGCTGGTCCACTACTGCAAGCACTCTCCACTCCAAGAGCTCCACCTTTGACGTTCAAAAGGTGAGCGATTCTAGAAAGGTGTCACTAGAATCGAAAATAATACAAAAATTACCTTCCAGCCACAAGTGACCCCATATTCCCTGTGAGCTGATATTGATCGATATCGGGGAGTAATCTCTCAAAATCATGAGCCCAACTGCTGGCAAGGATGAGTGGCTTAATCAAAGGATTAATTATTCTACAAATCATTCTACAATCCAATAATTGCATATCCAAAATTTAATTCTTCCGAAATTCCAAAAACAAACCTCGTAATGTGCAATTTCATTCAACTTTATCCCAGCATGTTGAATAGCTAGTACAGTTTGTTCAATGGCTAGTCGTTGATGTGGATCCATCGAAAGTGCTTCTGACTCAGGAATCTAAATAAGCCTGAGTAATACAGCTATGACGGCGAGTCACTAAATAACTGTCGCAGTCTAATACGATACTAGAGCCCGTATGACGCTCCGGGAAAAGTTCCGACGGCGTTTCTTACCTTTCTGGCGGCACCTTTGATCTTTCCAGTAAAACGTCCATAGTCTTCCCGCGGAACTTGCTTTTCTTCCAGAAAGTCTACGTAAAACTTTCCGCCGGAACTTCCCGAGGAACTTTCCAAGGAGAAGTACTCTCCACGGGAAAACTATGGACGTGTTACCGGAAAGATCAAAGATGCCGCCAGAAAGATAAGAAACTTCGCCGGGATTTTTCCCGGAGCATAGCATACGGGTTTAGAAATACCCCTAAACTTAGTCAGAATTTTCGGGAGCTGATCAAAGCGCCGTATACAAACAGCACCACGGCAAAAACAGCAAATGTTGGTTTTTTTTCTTATGGAAGTTGGTTTCCTTTGTTTCGTTTGATACTTTCACAATTTACATCAAAGTAATTCTTTTTTGTCTCTGTTCCTTTTGTCCTTTTTTTATCTTTTTGTCTTTGTTCCTTTGAGCTTCGTTGAAACATTTTCACATGCTTTGCCTCACGTGTATTGAATAAAATTACAAGGGAACCTTCCCAAGTTACCCGCGAGTTACAATATGAGGTAGGTTGCCAAAAGAAAGAAAATGCACGCGTTCAGAAATTGTTTTCAAAAACCGCTAATCGGTAAAACGCACAAGGCTATAGCCATTTGAATTTCGAAAAAAGGCTTTTCTCGACTTTCTGGCACACTGATTTTTGCCGGCGGAAAGGCTTTCCTTTTGCCAATCCAGAGCCTGAGCCTGAGCCAAAGCCAGCTTCTAGCCTTGTGGTTTTTCATTAAAAAAGGAAAAAGTTCGACTGCTGGCGAATCCGAACCAAGATCAAAGAGTTCCGAACGCAGCCACACTAACCACTAAGCTACGAGCTGGCTTTTGGCTTGGCGAAGGGAAGCCTTTCCTTTCGCAAGGAAGGCCTGAAAAGGCAGGACGAAAATCAGTGTCCCAGAAATTCGAGAAAAGCCTTCATTTTTTTGCGAAATTCAAATGGTTATAACTTTGTGCGTTTTGCTGATTTGCGGTTTTTGAAAACAGTTTCTGAATGTACATTTTCAGGCCTTTCTTTTGCATATACCTCATATTGTAACTCGCTGGTAACAAGGTTGCCTTGTTAATTTTGTTATTCATTCAAGCAAAAGCGCATAGATCTAGTGAATTCAAGGGAAAGCACACTAGTAATTCGTAATACAGAGCAAATTAGTTTTGATAACAACTATAAACTAAAAGAAACTGTTTTATCGTTTATAGCTCACCTCAAAGAACTCATTGTCAAAGGCAGTTGCTTGATCGACAAATCCGGCTCGAATCTCCGGTTTTCGCTGTTGAATCTCCCACAAATGCGAATGTTTTTCGGTGATTGATACGATTGGATCCTGAAATTTTAATTTTCAAATTAGCAAACTAAATCTTTACCTTTGACATCCAAGCAAGCTCTGCAAACTCTTTGTTATCCCCACAACCGGGAGCTTGAATCGAAAAGCCAACGATGACCACCTCATCGTCGGGTTCTAAAAAAAGAATAACCTTGTTTCATTGATATACTTGAAATATAATTATCTAAAGATCTTTATTGATCAAACAGTCAAAACTTATTGATCAAACAGTCAAAACTTTCATTTATCGTTCAATAAATCCTCAAATTCTTAGAACAAACCTTTCTTCATCGCCAAAACCTTATTCGTATTAACAATTGCTCCTATAAATGGAAAAATTGTTAAATTCTTCTTTCAAATACAAATTCTAGGGAGAAATTTTTGTGTCTTTTAGTTATTTTTTCAACGATTGAGCCAATTTGCTCGTTTTTCTTTTGCCGTCTCGAAAACTGTCAAGAAACCAAAGATAATTAGCTGAAAGATGGCATAAAGGGGTTTTTGGGAATAAAATAATTGAATTTCTAAACCTTTCTCAGTTATTTTACTTCTATGTTTATTTTTTAAATAAACTGTTTACTCGTGCTTGTAACTTTTTCACATTTCCTTGTTCAAGAGAACTCTTCTAGATATTTGATTTGAGTGAGATAGTGAGCTCTCTTGCCACCGATCAATTTCTTTTTTTCGTCCAGACAAGTCTTCCTTTAAGTTTTAGATTTAGAATATTTAGATTTCAACTTATTTTGAATTTGCTCTTCCTCACTAGATCGTTGGATGACAGAACTTGTTCATAGAAAACGTACATAGAACTGGAACTGAAAACGATTTGCCCGCTTATTAAAAGCGACGATGGGAGAAGAGATATATGGAATTGGAATGGAATGGAAATGGAAAATGGAACGGAAAATTGGAATTATTTGCTGAAAAATCGATGTTAAATAGATTATATAAAACTAACAGCCGAAAAACCTGTTTAACGGGATCTAAAGACAGCAAATAACTAAAGACAGCAAATAACTAAAGGCAGCAAATAACGCTGCCTTTCAAGCTTTAGATCTCATTTTTTTATGAACATTCTATTTCTATATTATTTTCTTTAGTCTTTATAGAATACCCTTCTTCATTAAACAGCTCGGTGAAGATTTGGGAAAAGGAAGATATGGAGAGGCGACAATCGACACAAATTAAAGCCCTTAGAGAGCCTCACAAATGAAAGGCTGACAATTTTCCAAAGAGCGTTTCTTTAGAAAATTGTCAGAAATTTAAGTGTCATACCATAGCGCTTTAAGTTTAGCTTTGAAAAAGAGCTTGAGTCGTTGATGAGGCTACGTCATCCGAACATCGTAATCTAAATTCGTCAAACCAGCAAAAGGCTTTTTTAGCGAATAAGCAGAAGAGTTACCAGTTGGTCATAAAATAATACTCTAGCATTGCATCCACTCGGGTTTAAATTGAAATTAGAGACTTGGATTCCACATGATTTAACGAGCACCCAGAAATGGTAACGTGTCATAAATCGAAGTCTTTGACTTGCTTGTGCTGGTGGTGGTTGCACTCTAGCCATCCTTTCTCCAAGCGTCTCTGCCACTCTTGTGCTCCACCTCGTTGCTGGTCTTCCGATGGGCCTCTTCTGGTCTCGTGGTAGCCACTCTGTGATCCGTATCGTCCATCTGTCGTCTGCTCTTCTAGCTACGTGGCCGGCCCATCTGAGTCTTTTTCTCTCGATCACTTCCACTGGATCTCTGAGTCCCGAGAGCTGGCGCATATCCGTACTTCTTGAGTCTATCAAGAAAAATGTAATTTATTTATTTAAAAACTTGTCTTAACCTTAGTCATTCAGTCTTCTACACAGTCATTTATCAGGGAACATCTATTCTACTTCAGGGAACATTTATCCTACTTCAGGGAACATCTATTCTACTTCAGGGAACATTTATCCTACTTCAGGGAACATCTATTCTACTTCAGGGAACATTTATCCTACTTCAGGGAACATCTATTCTACTTCAGGGAACATCTATCCTACTTCAGGGAACATCTATTCTACTTCAGGGAACATTTATCCTACTTCAGGGAACATTTATCCTACTTCAGGGAACATTTATCCTACTTCAGGGAACATTTATCCTACTTCAGGGAACATCTATTCTACTTCAGGGAACATTTATTTGCGAGTACGCAGGGGAAATCACTTCGAAGGCTGAGCAATTGAGATGGGTAAATGATTTTGAAGTAACTTGTGATTTTGAAGTAGATTTTGAAGTACCTCCACGGCATTACACTTGTTATGATGTTAAATGATTGCTTGTTATCTTATTTTGCTTGTTATCTGTCGTCATTATCTTAACCTTTTTTAAAATAATCTCTTGAATCAAATTTAATTCCATTTTATTCTTTTTAGTTTGTTGTAGGCCTTTCTTTTGACGGCTTTTCTCTTTAAGTGTAATGCCGTGGAGGTATTTTTGGGGGTAGTCATTGAGAGATTTTGAGAGGAGACAAAGATTGAGACAAAGAGGGATAAGCGAGGACTCGTCGAGCATGAACAGAAGTGCAGATTTTCAAGACATTAATTTCACAACCACTATATCGATTATCTCTTATCCGATTGACAAAAAAAAAGCTTTGTTTACCGGCTAGATTCCTTTTGTTTTATTTGATTTCTTTAAGCCCAGTCAGTTTTTCGGATTTAACCAACTTTATTGCTTGTTTCCGATAGGAAAGTGGGTTCAAAATTTCTCAGAAAAGAAAATCTAACTATTTTCTTATCTCAAATTGTTCAAGACTTGTTCTTTGTTTTCAAAAAATTGGAAACGCACTTGTTCTGGAGCACTCAAAGCTTAAATTTGAACTGAAGCTTGGGCCCTAGAGCAAGGCCAAGCTGCTAGAAGCCGGATTCAAGTACGTATTGTGGGTCAAGGCTGTGGCTAGGCCAGATCAAGCAAGATCAGGTCAGAATGCAGAGCTGTAACTGGTTTTTAACACTGATTTTGTTTGACCTGGTTTAACCTGGTTTGACCTGAAGTCTGATCTAACCTGGCTTTACTATCTGACCCATAAAAAGTACAGTCGAACCTCTCTATAACGAGCCTCGATATAACGTAAACCTCTCTATAACGTAAGGCGTGACCGGTCCCGGCCGACGTTAAGCTATATAAAACGGCACTCTATATAACGTAAACCTCTATATAACGTAAGCTATAGCCGTCCCGTGAGTTACGTTATAGAGAGGTTCGACTGTACTTGAATCTGGCTTCGGGTCTAGCGTCTGGCTCTGGGGTCCAGCAGGTTAGACATTGTTGAACCAGAACATTTGACTGTTTGACTGCTTGAACATCAAAATTGCCATTGCTTATGCAAAACGAATGATAAAGAATTCAATTCTTCTCGAGGAAATGCCTTATATATCTTTAAAGGCTCAAAACCTAGGTATTCAGTGTACTAAGCTGAAAATCCACAGTTGTTGCTTCTATTGGAGGCTGCGCTTCTATTAGAATAAATACGGTATTTCAGTCAAAAATGAGTACCCCACGAAATGAGGCCTTCGATAAAGCGAGGACACTGCAAGAAGCCGAGAAGGCCGACGAAGCACTTGAGTTGATTCGACAATATGTTGAAGATCAGGTAAATAACTGACAAAACTTATAATTATTAGGTTGGTGAATTGAAAACTGCGGGACTTTGAACTAAAATTTATTGAACATAAAACCATCAATTCATTCCATATCATTTCCATTATGACTGACGACTTGTGCCCATTTTACAGGCAATTTGCGGATTCCTTTTTCGTAGTAGTATTTTGGTTTGTGTGTGAGACAAGTGTGAGACTCAAAAATGGAGGACTGGACTCTGAGAATGGAGGACTGGACTCCCAGTTTGAGCACTTTCTTCAAAAGAAACCCATTTTGGTGTCAATGGAAAAGTTGTAGAGAATCAAAAATTAGGCTTATAGCCAAATTTCCAAAAAGATACACTTAGTAGTTTCGATTAAAATGCAAGTTTTGTGAAAATTCGTAAATTTAGCATTTCTAGAAAGCCGGTTTTTGAATCGTTCTGAAAATCTGGATATAAGCTTCATTTTTGATTCTCTACAACTTTTCTATTGACACCAAAATGGGTTTCTTTTGAAGAAAGTGCTCAAACTGTGCCATATGACAATAGCCCGCAGTTTTCAATTCACCAACCCAATACAATTCACCAACCCAATACAATTCATCAACCCAACCCAATTCAATAAAATTTTAAAACTTCAGGAGACTGAGCTTTCCGTAAAAGAAATCGAGACATTGAGTTACATTTTGCAGGAGAAAATGACAAGGTTAGTTGCACAAACTATCGCATTTATTTCTTTTGATTAGTTTATGAAGTTTGCTAATCCTTTTCTGACAAGGGAAGGCCACGAAATCAAGCTGGCAAATCAAAATAAGACCTAGACAATCCGATGCAGAATTTTACGCTGTTTCCGAAGCTGCTGTCCGTTTTTGCTAAATAGAAATCGGAAAATCGGAATCGCAAGGAATTTGGCAAACAAGTGGCAAACAATGGCAAACAAGTGGCAAACAAACAAGTTTTTGTCCTCTCTTATACAGAAAATTTCTACACTTAAACCATCCTGATCAGAGCCACCTAGCTCTCCAAAGAATTGTAGCATTGTAGCTGGAGGGAAGCCTGTCAAGGCGCTCACCTAATTGAATCCGTTTTCAATTGAAAAATCCAGAGCCAGACTTTAGTTTACACTTCAAACTTTCCAGGTTTCACAACTTATTTCATAACTCCTTGCGTACGCACGACAAGGAGTGGTTGCGTAGTGCAGTGAATTACGTCACGATAATGCTAAGCTGTAGATCGAGGGTTTGACTCCCTTTAAGTTTTTCTTTCTTTTAAACAGTTATTTTTTAGTCTTTCCTAGTCCCCCTTCTCTTCGTAATTGCCAAATATACAAAAATTTTGTTTAAATCTTTCTGTTCAACAACAAATAATATAAATAACTTAACAAACATGATAACAATCGATAAAATGAGTAAAATATAGTTCAATACTGCATTTAACACAACACATAAAAGCGTCTGAACTGCAATTCATAGCTTTGCTTGTCGATTGTTGACTTTGAAGCAAATCTCAATTGCATTTCGAGACGTTATCCGCTACACTACGCAACCATTTCTTTGTCGCGTTATAAGAAAGGCCAAAAACTTGTTTGCCAAATTCCTTGCGATTTTGGGCTATTCAACAAAAACTGGCAGCAGATTCGGAGTCAGCGTAAAATTCTGTATCGAATGGCACTTTGAAGCAAATGT